TTTCGTGAACAACTGAAAAAAGTACATAAAAGTAGGTTATCCCACCTCCGACTTGTGTAATTTTTCTTGCAAATGCAGGCCAATGAACTTTCAAACTTAGACCAGAAATTTTTCAATTTGGATACACATATGGGAACAAACGATGGCTGTGATGATATTACAGTCAATCGCTCTGGCGGATCTGTTAGCCAGTACAGCTACGATCCTACCGGTAAAATAGATGAGAAATAGTTCAGATATGAATGGAACTAGCGTAGCGCATTTTTGTGTTTTGATGTCGTCGTCGCACACACACACACACACACACACACACACACAAAAAAAAACGAATCCGAGGGAGTCCACGGAAATTTTCGAAAAAGATGAAAGTAATAGCCTTCTAGTGAAAAATACAACCTTTGATGACAGAAACTTTTGAAGCAATTGGTCGATTAGTTGAAGAGAATAGTGAATTTTTTTATATAAAGACAATACGAACAAGAAAATGGTGAAGAACAAGAACAACACATTAACAATCCATACGCACGCTTCGTGACTCATGATACAATTTAAGGATCAAAGATCGCGCATCGCGCCTTCATGAAAATTCGACATCACAACATAAATTGACTTTATTATTAAAATTTACAATTTGTTACTAGTTTGACATCTATATCACGTTGTATAAACTATTAGTCTTGCCACGATGAGTAGACATCTGAAAAGAAAAGCAGAGAGAAGTAAATACAAAGAAAACATTTCTGGGTGTCCGATTTGGATCTATTATTATTTTGAAATCAGCGGTTCTGGTTTTCGAAATGTCAAACCAAGATTTTGCGTGTTTCGTTTTCAAATCGTACATTGAAGAAAATTCAAAATGCATCAATATTTTTGATATATTACATAATAGTACATCTATTGAGTTCTCTTAAGACCGTATTTTACGGCTGTGAGGAATTTTTCATTAAATAGATGAATACAGAGACGCTTCGCTGGTATTGGCCACTTTCCCCGAAAAATGATGTGTTTTTTGTTCGAACCAGCCCGACTTGCAGATTATTAGCATCAGCTCCATTTATTTTAGTTTTTTTTTTTTCAAACGGAACATCTGCCCTACAGTTAGAAGTCGGTTTAGTGTGACTTTTTATTGTACTGAAAACCCCGATTTTGCAATCGCCCGGGTTTTGGTTTCGGGTATACCCAGTGGGAGACCCCCATTCCCCATCACTTACATCAGTGATTTTCAACCTTTTTGTACCGCGGAACACTTTTTTTAATCTAATATTGTGGCGGAACACCAAACAAGATTTTTGGAAATAAACTACATTATACAATTAACATCGATCGTTTCGGCATGAAAATAAAACAACGAAATTAATAATATAGCCTATCAAGTTTGACACATTCCGATTCAAGAGCTAAAGTACGGTACAAATAAATGTTTTGCGAGTTTGCTTATGAATACTATGATTAGTTAGAAACAGAAATGGTATTTTAATGTGAGATTTCTCAACGGCTATCAATTTCTCGTGTTTTTTTTTACGCAACAGGAGTCCAGAAGGTTGCAGCTCGATTTGGAAATTAATAGAAACATTGAAAATTGGCAACAAAGCGATTTTTACTGTTCAATTTTGTCATAATCGCTACTTTTTTTGCCCCCTGAACGTTTTCCTATTACCGTCTTTGTTCTTGTGCGAAAGTATTAATTCTTGCCGATCCGCGGAGATCGAAGTTTCATATTTTGGTATAACTATATGCGTTCACATCGGCGACAGATGATCATGACATGGGCGGCTTTGATCTAACTTATTGCTGTTTGCAAATTAAACGTCCCAGTTTTAAGCGAATAATTTTATCATTATCAACAACGGGATAGACACAATTATTAAGACGATAATTGAGTTTCTTATGCTCCACACTGGTGTCAGTGTTATTTCCGAAATAAATCAATTAGATACTGTGATTAGATAAATCTGTGATTGCTTGAATCCTGAATGTTGATTTAAAAGCTGAAATAAAGGCATTTCTACGTGGTCATTAGACGAGATGACAATGAAGAGCACTTCTTTAACGAAATCTTACATGCGCGACCTGATGCCAAAAAAATTGTAAACAATTTTGTGCCCAATTGCTTTTGTGTCTAGTACATTGGTTCTCAAACTGGGGTCCGCGGTCGATTGGGGGTCCGCGAAGCGATTTTAGGGGGACCGCGAGACAACATCAACTTTGGCACATGAGCATTTTAATTTGAAGCAAAATTTTGATGTAATGCTTTTACAGTGCTTTTACAGCATCGACTTCCTCGTTTACTTCGTGACATTGATCAATCAGCAAGATGCAAAAAGTGAAGTAACAATGCTCCCTTTTAGCATCCGCTCAGACACTTTTCTCACTCAGACAGATTTTCAAGCGTGGTCGTAAACATTACCTCGCTTTCGCGTTTTTGAACTCTATTCGTTAGTTTTCTGTTGTGTTTCGGACATTTAAATATAAATCAAATAATTCAGTGATCACTTTGTCTTCCTAGGAGTTTTAATTTAATTGCAGTAATAAAAAATTAGTGTAGAAATAGCTGTGATAGACTAGGCTTAAATTCTTTACCGGTAAATTTAAAAAACAGATTGTTGTATGCGATGGATCATAATGATGGTTTGAAACACCCTCGTTTTACAGGCGCTAACTCGCAAAAGCACTCTTAAAATAGCACCGACAATTTTGCAATGGTATAGGAAGAATTTTTCGGCGGTCAAAGGTCGGGGAAAGGTCCATTGTTTATGGACGGCATGTGCATCTGATTGCAAATTTTCTCGGGGTTATTTGAAAATGCCCCCCGCCACAAAAAATAAATGTAGATATAACGATTCATATGTGAAATTTTGTTTTGTTGTGATAAGTTCTGGAGGAAAAGAAAAACCATCGGTGACACAGTCTTATCCCGATGTCGCTAAGATGGCACTAAAAATGCTCATTTCATTTGCAACAATTTACGAATGTGAATTTTCTACGTTATTCGCTATTAAAACAAAATGTCAAAACAGAATGGACGTGAGACACGATATGAGAGTTGCATTATAAAAAACAGAACCCAAAGTAGAACCAGTGGAAGCCAAGCAGGCGCACCCATCTTATTGAACTGTTTTCATGTCATTTTAATAGATGAATGCTTGATATACCGCGTTGTAATTTGCTTCCATTTCTTTAGTGGACCGCGAGTCATCAGAAAATTTGAAAGGGGACCGTTATGCATAATTTTTCGAAATTTTTGACGCTGATTAGAATTAATTACTTCAAGTTTTAACGTTTTCTTTTCCAACAAACAATACCGCGACCATTATCATAGCTAAAATCGTTACCGAGAAATTCACAATTTTATTTACGGAATTTGCAATTCAACACTTCACAAGATGATGCCACGCCCTTATTATTACTACAAGAAAAGCTTCAAAATGCAACGAATGTAATCAACTCCGATGATAACTTCATTCATGGTCGAGTATAATGTTGACATTTTTAAAACATTATTTGGTCAAGAACGGAATGGATCACTAAAAATGCACGCCGAGATATTAGAAAATCCATTTTAAAAGGGAATATGGCCTGCCATTTCATTCTCTGGTTTCAAGTTTTTTATATCGACTTTCCAAAACTCTGACTCGCCATTTTAAAATCGACGCTATTTATATTACTCGAATGACGTCATAATACTTAAAAAATGCCATTTTTCGCGGAACACCTGGAGGTCTCTCGCGGAACGCCGGTTGAAAATCACTGACTTACATCACGTCTGGGATGATTCTCTTTGGTATTGAATTGTCGCCAGAATTGCTAAAAGAACTTAGAAATTTAAATTCGTGGCTACAAAGAGCTAAAGTTCAAATGAAAGTTTTTTTAAATTCAAGCTACAAAATGGTGAAATACCAATGAGAATCTTAGGCAGGCTGCAAGTAACCAAAATAGCTATGACATTTTAATACGGTATATGGGATTGATTTGATGTGTCTTCTATTCTTACACGTATTATAGAGAAATGACAACGACTTCCATCATACCATAAATCATCGACACAACGTGTAGTGTGCGGTATAAATAACGTTGGCAAACTCACAAACCTTAATGTTATGATGTCATAAAACCTCAAATTAATCTTATTTTCAAACAGCAGACTCATCTTAAACCAAATAAATACGTGCTTGGTCAATTTCGATGTCTGTTATCTATTTTTAATTAGTTATCATAAATATACTAATCAAAAAAATGGACAGACAATTTTTCAATGTAGAACACCTGAATGTAGTTCACTGAACAAATGTTTCGCGGAACGCCGACTGACAAAAAAAAACGGTCTTAATATACATGTTATACTGATGCCTCTTATGCAGAAAAATATTGTATTTCTCGAATTTGCACAGATATATTCACTTGGAAACAAAATCAATCACTTTTTTTAGTTCGTTACCAGCCATATATAAATTGCGTACTTTCGGTCTGTGCGTTCACTTCAGGGTTGTTGATGCTTAATACTTGATAATACTTAATACTATATTGTCTATTTATTTTTTGTCAATATAAACATCTTATCTTGAAACGAAACAAATATTTATATACATAATATTGTAAATTAGTTTTACGTCCTCTATTCTTTGTAAGCAATTTTGAAAAGCAATAATAGAGACACACGCTCATGAGTTACTTCTGCTAAGTCTCATCAATTCTTATTGACAATTATCAATTTTCAAAAACGATTTTTTACCCAATACGTGTCTCTACATAAAGTCACATTTTATGTTAATAAAGATTTACTTTTTGCATTTATATCGAGTACTGAATGTAACTAGTTATCTCTGTACGTTTCCGCGCTTGGACGTTTGACGAGATATTTTTCCAATTTATCTACACTTGAATTGATTACTTTAGTAAAATATAATACGAATATTTAGCAAAATCAGAAAAAGTCAAAACTTGACAAATTCAATGTTCAAATTGGATGTTTTTTTGTGCACAGATTAATCGCTGGCGACTAATATTACTTATTACTACAACATGGCTGTACAAGTTCCGGGACTTATCTCTGTAATTGTATTTTATGTTTTGATTCTTGTGGTTGGAATATGGGCGACACGAAAAGTGAAAAATCAGAATTCAACTACTGAAACTGAAAATATGTTAGTTGGAGGAAGAAATATGGGAATCTTTTTGTCGTTTATGTCCTTGACTGGTTAGTTTGAAGCTTTGTGGAAAGTATTATATTGCTTATTAATTTATGAGGTGCACGTATTTTATAATCAGAAAAAATGTGCATAGAATATATTCTGTGGAATTTCTAACTTTTGTCTTTGATATATTTTGCACGACTATTCACTACACGGTTGTTAGACCGTACTGAATGCGCAGAGCAGAGATATAAATCGCCGACTGTGTAGCGATGAAAATTTCTCTCCCAGCAAGAAGACTAGTTTAACTAAGTTCGGATGGATGATCTTGTAAAATTAATATTGCTCAATATTTTGTAATTCGTTGCTTCAGTGTTTGAACGACACAATGGTTAGATCTAAAATACTGTATGTATATCCTCCCCACGTTTATGGATTTGTTTTAGCATCTTGGATCACCGGACCCACAGTCAACGGCGCTGCGGAAGGTGTGTACGATTCAAATCAAGGCCTTTTGTGGGTAGCACCAGCTTTATTTGGATATAGCTTATCGTTAGTCCTGAATGGAATTTTCTTCGTGAACAAAATGCGTGGAAAAGTATGTAACACTTTATTTTATTGGAAACTTTATGTGCCCAGAATATTTAACGCGATATCAGGTACTACAAAACATAGGAAAATTCTAGGATAGTCCTGCCTATATAAAACATATATATCTTACATATGTGCTCAATAATATTTTTATAAAACTAAACTAAAACAAATGCAAGTATTAATTTTGAGTTGTTCCACTACCAGCTATTTGGAACTTTCATGCCATCGCCCTCATTTGTATTAAATATAACGGTTTGAATCGGTTGTGTAAATGCGATTCTGATTGTTTCATGAATAGATATATATATGTGATTTATATATTGTTTAATTGCGTGATTAATTTTTATTTGTAGGGATATGTCACACTGGTTGATCCAATGCAAGCTAAACTTGGTTTAGTCGCTGGTGTAATTCTTTCTGCAGTACAAATGGTGTGTGATTTATTCTTTCAGGCTGCAACTTTGGTTGTTCTGGGTGAGATTTGATAATTTATTCGACGTCGGTGTTAATAATAGTAAATGGCACGAGTGTATATTGTTGGGTGTATCAGAAAGTAATAGAAACACATGTTAAATAACATTTTGGAAACATAAAAGACTTAAAATAAATAATAAAAAATGATTTTCTCTAGACCAGCGTTTCTCAACCTTTTTTGGTCGCGGACTATTTTCTCACCGGCGAAACCCTTTGCGGACTCAAGGTGCGTTTATTGCAACAGTATACTCTGTGTGAACATGCAATAAAACCGAACACAACAGAATTTTAACGAATTTCAACAATGGCCTTTTCTGTCGCACAATATTCAATCCATGACAAAGAAAAGAATTTAAGATGTATTCCTATTTTAACTTAATTGTGTTCATGATAATTCGCGGTTGCGTCGAATTACGACAAGATAAAAGCACTACTTCTCTAAAATACAATGGCAATCTGAGAACATAATAGTGTGGGAATATAGTGCCCGAATATATTTAGTTTTGATACATATTTTTTGCGATCTTGCGAATTTTTTATCGCTGTTAGAAAAATCCTACTATCTGCTATAAATTTTTAGAAAGTACAACTTGATTTAGTACTTATTAAAAATATATTTAAAGTATATTAGTAACTCAAGAATACATATTCATCGCCATGGTTGTTTATTATTAATTTTATTGTGATCATTTTAATCTGCGTTTGTGTTGACGAAATTAAAGCAATACTACTCAGACAATAGGATGACGATCCGTGAGCACTAAAATGCGTGGTAAAGTGTCCGATTATATTTTATTTTGATTCGTTTGTTTTTGTGAATTCGTCAAATCTGAGCTGTTTGTACAACACCTACGGCAGTACTGTACGTACCAATGTGGAGACAAAAAAATCAAAGAATTCTGAGAGAAAATGCCCTGGTACGGTAGCATCCAAAAGTTTGCGATTTACAATGTTTAAAAATCGTTTTTAATCGGTCGCGGACCATCATAAAACAAAACTTATGGTGTTCTTCGTTTTATTCTGAGTATTTTGTATTGACGCTTTTCAATTTAGAAAATTTGGGTTGCCACCATTGACACCAACCAGAAAATAAAAAATTGTTCCTCGTTGTGAGAACTCGCGAGAAACACCACTTAGGTATTTATCGAAGCGTGTGCAGACTCGTGTTTTCGTCGGAAATCCGCAAGTGAGTTGTGAAATCCGGTTCCATTACATTTGAACCCACGGCAATTGCACCTGCATTCCATTGCGCCCATGAAACGCCCTTTTTTTGTTTCACGGATATTTGAACCCATACTAACCCTAACATATGGGTTTTAGCACCCGCATATAGATTGAATCCGCGGATATACACATGGGTTCAAATGTACGGTCACCGTGTAATCCAATCGTCTGATTAAGCGCAAGTGACCTATCGCGTCACCTGTTACCAAATTTTTGAATAGTAAATTGAATGTTCGAATATATGCCCAGATATACTCAGTAACCAGTAATTATTGACTCGATTAATGTTATATTACTAAACTTGCTTTTTATGTTTTATGTAAATTCTTACGTAAATGGTGTCGGGGGTTTCATTTTGTGATGATCATTAGCCATATTGTAGAAAAATTTTGAGAATTGGAAATAATATTATCCGTTAATCCGTTGAGGTTTACATTTGACACCAAAGATCTTCGGTTTATCGCAATATCAGGACACAAACATTCAATTAACAGCGTACTGCTGGCATATACTGGTCATTATTACTGCAACAGCTTAGGTGTTTCGAAAGTATAACAGCCCGGAAGTTCAATACATTCGAGTATCTTTTGTTTGATTATTTCTTGCCCAAGCCTCGTTTTTACTAGGTTTGTGTTTTTTGTAATTTATTTTTGTGTGTGCGCTGGTGGGCGGGCACATGATATCTCTCATGTTTTTAACTTTTTAAGGTTTTGCTCGCCCTCCAGAATTCTTTATTTAAAATTTGTGTATATTATTGGATATTCAAATAAACTATCTATCTATCTATTTAAATCGCAACGTGGCAAAATTTCTGGCTTGTTGCGAACTCATTCAAACGCTCCGCGGACTCATTTGAGACCGCGGACTCGGGTTGGGAAACACTGCTCTAGACTTTGAGTTATAGCCCAAGCCAATTTTGCAAATAAATCTCCATATATAGTCATCATCCATCATTCACTCATTGCAATGTAATTTTTTCATTAATGTCATTTTCTTCAGCTTAGGGATAAAAAATAAAACCATTAAAAAAGTAATATTTTAAAGATAGAAGCAAAAGCTAATATACTTAGTGTTATTGGTGTGGGCTATTTGCATTTTGTGGTAGCCTGTAGTGCAAAAATGAGTGAACGAGACGTAAGATAACATCAGACTGTTCACAGACGCCCACCACACCCTGGATTAGCACTCTGTTTTGTTAATATATCTATATGAATGTAATCCATTGTTGTTCTGGACGCCTGTTTTTATACTTATAGTCATATTTTGAGGTGGATTGTGAGTGAAAATTCATGTTGGTATTGACGTTGTGTTTTCCACGGCAATATTTCTAAAAACATGATGATTTTAGAATAAATCTAATCATGTTTTCAGGTGGAACTCTGGAAACTATAAGTGGAATACCAAACGTTTGGGCTGTTTTGCTATCTTCAGCAGTTTGCGTTTTTTACACTATGTTTGGTGGATTATATTCAATTGCTTATACAGATGTCATACAAATAGTTTTCGTTGTCGTTGGATTGGTAAGACCTAGATAAAAATTGAAATTGAATTTCGAAAATATTGAATCATAGAATATTCAATCCATATCAAACTTGAGATTTTTCAGAGCATTTGACGAAGTAATAATTTTGATTTGCGACAAATATAAACTGAAAACCATTACTTCATAAGTACCGAGAGACCAATCGCAGTTTTGTTTAAATAGGTTATTGCCATACCATTCGTGCTTACAAGTGAAGTGGTATCTAGTATCAGCGAAACAGCATACACAGGTCCTGATGGTTGGCTTGGAACGTGGGATAACAACTTCACAGGATCGTATATTGACTTATGGCTAATGACTGTAAATATTTAAGTTTTATTTGTATTATTATTGTTTATTCGCTTTAATCTAATATGCTTATTTATTCAAAAAAATAAAAAACCGAGCGAATATTATGTATTATATTATGTATTTGAAACTAATGATATTTTATTGCACCGCCGATTATGTTAAGTACAATTGTCTTGAAGGCTTCATCAGTTGTTAACAAGTAACTGTTGTTTTTACATTTTTTCTACCAAATCAGTCACTTTGGTGATATTAGATTAATTTTTACACCTATTCGAAGAGGTTATGAGTGAAGCTATTCATCTTTCAGCTGATGGGTGGAATCCCAATTCAGGATATTTATCAAAAAGTATTGGGCTCTAACTCTTTGAAAAATGCTCAACTTACTTGTATACTTGCTGGATTCACAAGCTGTGCTATTTGTACTCTTCCGGTGATCATCGGAGCTGGTGCCAAAAGTGCAAGTAGGTTATCACCAACTGAGCTGCGATGGGAACTAAATAGAAATTGAATGGACTAAGTATTATTTCTACAATTTTCTGTTGTAGATTGGACTATCATTGATTATAAAGATGCAAATGGTTCAAGTCCTTTCGATCTCGGTGATCAAGCAATAATTCTGCCCCTGATTTTAAATTACACTGTTCCGGTAGTCGTTTCTATCATTGGATTAGGAGTAATTGCAGCAGCGTCGATGTCGTCACTAGATGCTGCTTTATTGTCAACATCCAGTGTATTTGCAAGAAATGTTTATCAAACAGTTATACGAAAAAAGGTATTTAGGAAAATGATTTTTTATTACCCAAATCATCAGTTCTCATTTAATTTTCAATTAACCCTAAAACGACATTTCACTTATTGTATGCCGGTATTTAAAATATACAGACTTCAATGAGTCATATTTTTCCATCCCATTCCATGGCAGTTTATGTATGTTTCATTCCATCCCAATTCTCTTCTCTATTCTCATGGCCAATCCTGGTATATAATCTTATTTATCCGGTGTCCTACCACTTAATAAGTATATATTAGATATAGAAAGCTATTTGAAGGTTAGCTCTTACGTATTTGAGTTGCAAAAAAAAATCAAATGTGTGATGGAAATGACAATCCGATATATTTCAAGCCATTGAAATGTAATTTTGAAAACTTATTATTGACTTTTGCTAATTCCCTTTTCAGGCTTCTGATAGAGAGTTAGTTTGGGTTATCAGGATAGCCGTGGTAATTGTTTCAGCTTTATCGATATTGATAGCGCTGTCTGTGAATAGCGTTCTCGGACTCCTATATTTAGCTGGAGATTTTTTCTACTGTTTGGTATTTCCACAGGTATTGTTTACTTTAAAAATAATTTTGTTGTACTTGTGCTGTTAAAACAAATCCTTCATCACTATTTGTCCACATAGGCGATTTTTTAATTTAATAACATCATTAATTAAAAGAACGAATTTGTAAGACTGGCTCTTTGCACAATTTACAAATTGATATGCCTCATGTAAATGATATCTCTAGATAATTGGGATTTAAATGAGATTTAGATTTTTTTTTATGATAGCGCGCAATAAACATTCCCAAGTGGTAAAAATAAAATACAAAATTGTAGATAAAACTAAAGTTTGATCAACATGGTATAAACTCTAGATTGAAGCATTTTTAAAAAGCATCGTGTTTTTTTGTTTTCTTCAGTTCACTTCAGTTTTGTTCTTGGACCCCAATGCATACGGAGCAATTCCTGCCTTGATTGTTGGTTTAATATTAAGGGTCGCAGCTGGTGAAAGTTCTTTAGATTTTGAACCATTATTCGAATTTCCTGGTGAAGGAAACTACCCATTCAGAACCGTAGCTATGGTTACGTCTTTCTTTACTCTTACTGTTTTTTCGTATATTGCAAAATTTCTCTTCGAAAGAGGATATATTCCTAAAAAATATGATTTTTTGAAAAGCAACCTTGCCAACGAAGAATGAAAAAGTAATACGAAAGATGATGGAGTAGACATGGATCAAATAAACTAATATGTGTAATAGGCAATAATATGGAATGTGTGAAATATCTGAGTATATCAATTTTAGGTGATAAGAAAAATGCCCTAAAAGTGAAGGTCCACACAATTCATTTTAGTTGTTTATGAATTGTGTGTTCTAAATGCACACATCCGCATTTCCCCGAAAAATGTTGCCTATACATCATTATATTTCTATGAGTCATTTTTTATGGTGAGTTATCACTCTAGTCATATTTCATTCCAATAAAAATCCATTCATTTATTCAACTTATTTCCACATAATAAATGTGTTGCAAAGGCTGATTTGGCTACTTACTGTAAAATCTTAGAAGTGTATAATCTTACATTTCATGCAAAGTACGAAACATTGCCATACGCATTCGGTAATATGGATGTAATATGGATTACTGCAGTGGACCGATTAAAAAAGTTTAGAAAATAATATTTATGAACATAAAAATAAGGTCATGGAAATTATTGAGGTAATTAAAAAAAATAATGAAACAAATGTGTCGATTAATAACCGTGATTCGGTTCCTAGAATAAAATAGAAAATTCCTGAGAATAGTCATTAAATATTAGGTGTTATTAATGCAATTTAAAATTTCCCTCGCATGAACATCATAACACAAGCTTCTCATTCAGTTACAGTATCAAACTAAGGAGAATTCATTGATGGAAGTGAAACCTTGGATTTGCCATGGCGTTGTCGAATTCGTACAAAATGTTTGCTCCTAATATTTAGTTTTTCACCACGATAGTACATTCAAATAAATATATAACTACATATATCCTAGCCTAGAGCCACAGTTAATATTAGTTCTGTGGTTGTGAATGAATCAGAAGACTCAGATTCCGGATTTGTGGTTTATTATACGTCAACTTCACACTTAAATCAGCATAAAACAGAGGACACAACAAAACGCTGCCGCCCTCCAGCACGTCCATAACTTTTTTGTTATTCGTTCTGAAACTTCAGAACCCGAAACTAGGCTGCCAAGTAAATAGGCTATCAGCAAAAATAACTCATATTTTACTGATGTGAAAAAAAACGAGATCCCATTTAATACAAATATATCTCTTCGTATATACTTCCATAGCCTATTATAAGATTGACCGTTGCCTATAGATTACAAATATTACAAATCTAATATTTCTTGAGTTTACAAAAATTTATTCGTCTGGGGAACAAAATCTAATAGATTTGTTATTAATATTGAATTTTCGAGTTGAGTAACTAAGATTATTTTGTTTATAATTTTTAAATCGTTTAAAGGAAATTGAGTAATTGAGTGAGTTTGTGTTTGCGCCAATGTTATTCCTATTTTTTGTTATTCTTGGCAATGTATATTATTAACCTTTCGTTGTTGTTAACTAGTCTCTTAACTGCAGTATATAGTATCGCAATTACCAATGCGTCACTTTATCATTGATTAATTAATAATTACAAGTTCATCACTGTAGTGATTCACGTCGGTACCGGAGCACCATCTTTGTAAAAACGATAGGGGACCAGTCTGAAGAAATACCAATGTCTAAAACGTGTTTCTATGGAACAAAACTTTGCGTATAATATCGGGTCCCGTAAAAATATGTCGACTTCTCCATCTTCCATTACTAAATATTTGAAAGCGATTGATGCATTTTCACGAGATAGTGCGACACCTTCCATCGATTTAGCAAAACGATCTATGTGTTCACTTTTTGTTCAATAATAAATTTAACATTTTTAATATATCTATGACGTAAATGCTTCGTTATCAATTATTCATTTATTGGCACATGTTAATTTAAATGTAAACTCATAATAATAAATCAATCCGTCGTCTTACATGAAAAAGTAACTGTTCGTTATATTGTAGCTCTACCTTTTATCTATATTATGAAAATCAACTATAGTTGCTTATTAATTTTCCACGTATTTAGACGGCGAGCGTGACGATTATTCTCATTTATTCAAATTTATTGCATTCAATATTTTGGTAAAATATAACATCAAATACATAAAAAAGATATACTTGTTGAATTTTGTATTCAGATCGTCTTACTGTTTATTTACAGTTTCTGTATTCTTATAATGGTTCTACTGAAAAAGTAAAGAAAATTACAAACTCAGCATGCAGATATCAACATTTAACAAACTGGTTTTACGGTCGTTCAGACTGTTTATTCAATAATAACCGTTCAAAACTTTTACCATATACAACCATACGGGGAGTGACAACCCTTCTTTACAACGACTCAACTATATTTGTACTTTGAACCGCTCGGATATGACACTTGTAACTCCTATTTATTTTAATAGTATCATCGGTCGCACTTATCTACCCAACCACAATATTCAAATTAAGTATATTTCATTTTATATCTCAATGGAGGTTAAAATTACTATGTTCCTATATATACAAGAATATATATAGAGGAATATATATATATAAAGAATATATATATAAGAATATATATCTAAGAATATCCTATAAGAATATCATGGTATGAATAAAAAGTTGTGCTGTAACTGATCAATTGGCCACGATAGCATTTAGGTTCGTCACCCCTGATCTAGACTTAACAAGTTCGCATTGAACACGAGAACATTAAATAATAACGAATTTTATAAGTCTGCTAGTCATTTTCGGAGTGTATCAAAGTTCAATTCTGCTTGCCAGTTTTACTACTATAAGGCTTTAAAAAAAACATTACTAGTAACGAATAAAAAAATTGAGCTTCGAGTGAGCTATAGAAAACAAAAAATAGCATTATACGCAGGGAAAACACTCCTTGGGCCGGAAATAGAAAATCATTACCACTAATAAATATACAAAATTGACCAGTGATAATTTTACAAAAGTTAGAAAACAAAAAAATAAAAATTAGGGCCTGAGATATCTGCGTGGGTGGGAACAACACTGCTGGGGCAGTGAAAAGAAAAACATTACTATATTGATAAATACAAAATTGAGTGGTTAGAAGTTGACAAAGGTGGATACAACAAAATAGCAATGGTGTCTTATGGGGACATCACTAATGGACTGACAAAGCAAAAGTATTACTAATCATGAGTTAGTCAATCGCATATCTTAAGCATCCCGTTCCATCACACGAAAAGATTCATACGGTATGCTAGAAATGGTCTAAGTTTATTAGCTGCTGATGTATCGAATTCTGCAATGGGAACATCAACTAATTCGAGAGATTGTTTTTTAGGCACCTTTTTGTATTCAATCAGTTCTTGAGTGCTCTGTTGAGCGGTATGATGTTCATGCAATGTAAATGATTATGGAGGCTGATGTTGGGATGATTTGAATTAGTTAGAATGCGAGATCATGTGTCCTCGACAGTTTTAGCGAGCCGTCCAAATGTCTGACACCACCAGTATATTCGAAAATTAACTACAATCGCCGTGTCTGCCTACCCTAGAATTAAATCTTGCAGTGGGATTATTTTATGGTTTTTACAAGAGCATCATTAACTGTTACAAGTTGAAATTTTCGTCTTCTAACTTCGTAATAAAATGATGTCTTGCAGAATACGCTGCTAATGAATGTTTCTCCAAGCATCAATTTCCTAGTTTATTTTCGTAACAATGTCTAAGGACGTAACCAAGTCAATTTATGCAGTCGCTCAGTCACTTTTTTCGCTCAGACAGATATTCAAGCATGGTTGCAAACATTGGCCTGTTTTTGTTGTTCTGTGTGTTATTTGTCATTTTTCAGTTGTGTTTCCAAAACTTAGTCGCAAATCCCATAATTTAAATGTCGTTATGTCTTCCTAGCAACTTTAGTTTAGTTGCAATAATCAAAATTCAGTCCCGAATTAGTTTCGATAGATTAGTACACCATCGGTTCTCAACCACTGGGCCACAGAAACATTTTCAGGCGAGCCACAAATCTATTAAAAATTGCTTATTGATAAATTAGTTAAATTTGATTGAGTTCGAAATAAATGCTGTTCATCTGTAATTCTGTTTTTTGCTACTAAATGATAATTTTAAATATTAACATGGAAGTGCTTATCTTCGCAAAAACGAATTTTTTGTTTTTACCTCGCACGAGAAAGGTAAAGGACCACAGAATTTTTGGAGCACCGAAAGCGGGTCACGATAGAAAAAAGTTGAGAACCACTGGATAAGACTAAACCTAGCTATCAGTACATATGAGAGGCCACAGAGGCGCATGATTGAATGTTTTAATGAAAAACGATGGTTTTAGAGATGTAAACCAGTTTCTAGCCTATACCAAACATTTCAGAAGAGTTTAGATCTTTTTTTGATTAGGTACGATATTACCAGAGGATTTATAAAAGATTGCGCGGCTATCTTAAAACCACTGCATTATCTAGCTTTACAGAGCAAGAACAACCAACAGTCTCACAAATGGATGTCTAAAACTGCAGTCATTCGGAAGAATGAAATCAGAACAGAATATGAATTGATGCTTGTCCATCATAATCGTACCGCAACACTCTCTTTAGTAATCGGCGCCAGCCAAGTGGCAACGGCCAACGGGAGCCGTCCTTCAGCTACGTGTTTGCGGCAAATTGTCATGTGTGGGATTCCATTCCAAATCACACCATTTAGCACAAATCAATAGCTCGAATATGCTGTGGGGTATTAGCAGGCGTATTCTGCAATACATCATTTTAGCACGCAGCTAAAAGGCGAAAATTTCAACTTGACAGATAACGATGCTCTTGTAAAACCCATAAAATAATCTCACAGACACGCAATTAGAGTAAATCATTTCCGAATAAATTGATGACGTCAGACATTTGAAAGGCTCACTTAAAAATGTCGCGGACACATTATATCGCATTCGAAGTAATTCAATTCATCCCAACATCAGCAACAGTAGCATTTTTTATCCTCCATATTCATTTATTTACCTTGCATGAACATCCAGTGGCGTATCTATACGTAAAATGGCGCCCTTGGTGAAGTTGCGCCCCAAGATCGTTGACTGAAACTTTTTAATGTCTGCTGTTGAATTGAGGTACTTGTACGTTATTATTTTAGTAAAAATACGAGTTTCAAATATTTTCAATTTGAAATTCTTTTATTGAAACATTTTACGATTTTAACTTTTTGCCCTTATATTTAATAATAGTAATGTTTTCCTCTCCACTGTCCCGGCAGTGTTGTTCCTATAACGTGGGTATTGCTGGCCATAATTGCTATTTTTTGTTTCCAAACTTTTGTCAAATTTTCTCTGCTCTATTTTGTATATTTAGCACTGAAAATGTTTTCCTTTTTACAGCCCCAGAAGTGCTATTCCTGTGCATGATTCTTTTTTCCCCATAATATTTGCCATCTTCTCAATGCTCAATTTTTTATTTGATACTAGTAATGATTTTCGTTATCGCAGCCCTAGTAGCGTTGTCATCGATAAGGTTATTGTTAATAGATCTAATCGCTATTTTTTCTACTTTTGTGACCTTTTCACTACTCAATGGTTTATACAATTTATTTTTTTCATTGTTGCACTGTGACACCTGAGTTCAAATCGTGTCGCTATGTGATTGGCCGCGTGACATGTTGACCACGTTTAGCTTTTTGGGGTTTGAAAATTACTCGTTAATTCCTTTCACCACTTGATTTTATGTAGCCCGCTAGAAAAATACTATAAGCTCAAAAAATGTTTGTTTCAAATTATCTGATGCAAAAATACTCATAATTCTTAAGAGCGCCACATACTTGCATACTAAACACGCACACGTCGTACCTAAAGGAATACCCAGGTCAAATGTCATAAAAGTCTTCTCATGAAATAAAATGAAACAGCATATTTTGCATGAAATCAGATCAGATCTCACACACCTCAACAAATACAATACACCCTAATATTTTTTAATGGATTTTAAAATCTAGTAATAAAAATTCAAAAGCAATAGTTACGAGGAGAAGCAATATTGTCACAACGATATAACACAGCGATCAATGTGTACACATTTTGTCTGATAATAAATTAAATACTAAAGATACAGTTATAAAGGAAGTCACAGCTGCTTCGTTGTTACTTTCTCATACATCTTTTTATTGATGCATGTATGTCAATTCCAACGAAGATTAATAAATCAATCAGTCATCTTGCATGAAGCGCTTAAAGTAACTTTTCGCGATGATGAATATCTACTCAGACTTTTATGCAACAACCTTCATTTCCTGACAGCGGACACATCACATATTCGCACATTACCTGTCTTCCTACTTAAGAGACTGAAATAACGTTCCGTTATAACGAAGCGCTTTTTAATTGAGTATGATAAGCAACGAGCTGCGGTTTCATTTTGGGCGTATCTGGATTACGAACGGCACCTTTTTTCAAAGTTTTCCGAAATAATTGTATTCGATATTTTGGTAAAATATACAAGCAAATACATAGTAAAAATACAAAGTGAGATGAAGTGATATCCTGAATGAACTATGTATTCAAGCTGACTTGCTGTTTATATTTGTACGAATAGTTTTTCTACAGAGTTACTGGTAAATTCTATAGCTGCTTAAAACATGGCGCTGCAAGTTCCAGAACTTATTGCTGTAATTGTGTTATACATCTTGATTCTTGTGGTTGGAATATGGGCGACATGGAGAGCGAAAAATCAGGAATCAACAACTGAATCGATTTTAGTCGGAGGAAGAAATATGGGAATATTTTTGTCGTTCATGTCTTTAACTGGTTAGGTTAATGTTTTTATAAAAGTTTTGTTCTCCTTATAAAATTATTCCATTGTTAATTAATTTCTATATTTTTTCCTTTATCAGCGTCGTGGATCGGCGGGCCCACAGTCAACGGCGCCGCAGAGGGTATGTACGATCCCTATCAAGGGTTGTTGTGGGTAGCACCGGCTATGTTTGGATTTAGTTTGTCGCTCGTTCTGAATGGAATGTTCTTCGTGAACACGATGCGTGGAAAGGTATGTCACATTACTATTGTTATGTACTTAGTTTCATCTGTGCAAATTATTTACTGCAAAAGTAAGAAAAGTCTTTCAAATAAAATAACCAACAATCTTAATTGCATTGAAAACTTTTTTTAATAATAATTTTATATAATTTACATTATGTCTATGTATATTATTATTATAGTTCAAGATTTGTTTTTATATGAAAGGACAAGTGCCAAATTTGCACAAGTTTTTTTTTCAACTTGGACTTTTATAAAATTGCATAAGATCAGCAAAACATCACTCTCATTTCTTTCATTTGTTTTATTGTGATACTGTTTGATTAATAAATGCCTATGTGTGAATACATACAATCATAATTATTTACCCCTTGCGTACAGGGATATGTCACCATGGTTGATCCAATGCAAGCTAAACTTGGTTTAGTTGTTGGTGTAATTCTCTCAACAGTGCAAGTGGTGTGCGATTTATTTTATGAGGCTGCAACTTTGGTTGTGTTAGGTAAGATATTTAATATTTTACTAGATGTGGGAGTAACTTATAATATAGTAATTAGACGGCACCGACTGGTGGGTGTGTCACAGACTTAGCTATTAACCTCGAAGATTAAGTACAATATCAATATCTTCGTCAATGATTATTGGACACGAAATGGACATATAGGTCGTTTTGTTATTATGATGTTATTATTGGTATTATTCTTGTTGTTACCTTATAAAATATTTGCTTCTCTTATTCACTAAAACACCAATTGCTTTGAAATTTTCAGTGGTTAAAGACTGTAATTTTCGCTAGAAAGATATTACTTTTATTTAATTTCCAAGATTTCTATGATTTCGATGAGATCTGATATTTCATCCGAATTTTCGCTATATTTTTATTTGACGCTACGCGAAACTCGGAGATTACCGGATTCGGATTTCGGATTTCGTGTCCATATATTTGAGCATCGCTATCTTGTTATAATTCAGGGGTCACCAAACTTTTTTGACCGCGGGCCGGGTATGACTGACGGGCCGGATGAATATTTTTGTCAATGCAATACAATAAATTCACAAATGTTGGGAATATCGCAGAATATAGATCGAGAACACCCTAGGAAAAAAATTAACAAGATTTCTATATCTAGACAACTATCCTGAGTTTAGCTGTTATCAAAACGTTGGTGTCATGAATTAGAAATGTTACAAAATCCGCGGCAAAAAATGTACGCATCACGTCTGCTAAGTACCGTTACGCCGTGTTGAAATACCGCTCATAAAAACGACTGCCTGCTGTAGCTTGGAATTCTATGAAATTTTGACATAATTTAGATAAAATAAACAACTATTATCTGGTATTTGAATTTTTTCATTAGCGCATAAATTTCCCAACATTCGACGCTTTTAAAAATTACGCTCCAGTTATACGTAGTGCAAATTATTGATATTGTCTATGGACACCAATAAAATTTATATGGACGTGTATATTTCTTGTCTAACTTGATACGTACCAATTTTTATGAAGTTCGTACAATCAGAACATCGTTAATTATTACCCACAATGAACCACTGTCAAACTATCATGCACAACTTCAGCGTTTATTTGCGACGATCTTTCGGCGGTGTCAATGACCGTTGCCAGAATAAAATCCTGAAATTATCTCAATATACCATAGATGTGACGCACATCGAAAGATTAGTGATTGATATGTGTTATTTTTCCATATTTAGTACAGTTCTTATCAAAAAAGTAATACAATCATTATGGAAAAAATTGGCTGTCGGGCGGTACTAAAATTCCGATATCTCCGTTAGTTTTTATTTAAATCGGATGAACTTCAATTTTTTTGTAACATACCTACATGAATATCCGCATTAAAGCAGTACAAAAGTTAGTGTGGCTTTTGAAATTGGAGCAGTACGCGAGGGATTACAGTACTGTTAGCACAAAATGCACATTCGACGTTTATTTTAGCACGAAAAACAAACAGTTTCGTCGAAAGCAAGCGCCACGAGTGTACAAGTGTATCGCAGAAAACGTTACGTACTGGTAGCATTCAAAGTCGCAAAAACGAAGTTTTGTTTACAACCACGACTGAAAATCTGTCAGGGTGACAAAAGTGTTATTACGTCACTTTTCTGCATCTTGCCGATTGGCCAATGTTACGAAATAAACAAGGACGACGATGCTCGTGAAAATCTTCCTTGGAAAAAAATTTAGCCATTTTTGCGTGTTATTGCGGACCGGATAAAATGACGCCGCGGGCCGGATAAAATGACGTCGCGGGCCGGATCCGGCCCGCGGGCCGTAGTTTGGTGACCCCTGTTATAATTGATGTATATTTGCATTTGCCTGCTTGCAGCGAGTACACCCATAGTTAAACCGCCCATCACTTCGATTTAACGATCATTGTAAATTTTTATTTCATATTCTCAAACGTCGAGTTGGGCGCATACGTGAGGAGCTGAAAAATATAAATATAGCTAATGATTTTTTATTCAGAGCAACAATTAAATATACACAGTAACATCAGATTAGCTATAATTCTCTTTTTAGGTGGAACTCTAGAGATTATCAGTGGAATACCGAACGTTTGGGCTGTTTTGCTATCTTCAGCAGTTTGCGTTGTTTACATTATGTTTGGTGGCTTGTATTCTATTGCTTAAACGGATGTTCTTCAAATACTTTTTGTTGTATTAGGACTGGTAAGACTTAGATGTATAAACCGAACTGATTTTTAGTAGATGTGAGATCATATATTTTAGATAAGTTCTGTTAAAAATCATAATCTTGCAATTTTTACCCATCAGTCAATCACATTATGATAGGCGTGAAATAATACCTTAAAGCCTGTAATTTATCGACAATTCTTGAGATATTCATCATAATATTTCATTATTTTGTTTAAACAGGTTATCGCCATACCATTCATGCTTACAAATGAAGTAGTATCGAGTATCAGCGAAACAGCACACACAGGTCCTGATGGTTGGCTTGGAACATGGGACAACAACTACACAGGATCGTATATTGACTTATGGCTGATGACTGTGAATATTTAAATCGTATTTGTAATAGTTTGATTTAAATTTAAAAAAATAGGTTCTAAACAAGTTTTCACAATACCATGCGCAGAGAAGCTTAAAAACGTTAAATTCTTGTCTTAGAAGCTGTAGATGTTGTTATTATGTAACTTTGCTATTTTTATTATTCGAAATATTATAATAGGATTTTGGTCGTTTTTGTGCCCGATTGATGACATAACGAATCAATTATTTACTTTTTAGTTGTTGGGTGGAATCCCAATTCAGGATGTTTATCAAAAAGTATTGGGCTCTAAATCTTTGAAAAATGCTCGACTTACCTGCATACTTGCTGGATTCGCGAGCTGCGCAATTTCCACACTTCCAATGATCATTGGGGCAGGCGCGAAAAGTACAAGTGAGTGATCACTAGTTTATATAAATCACAATTGAATTTTGATTTACACTCAGTAATTCTTCGCAATTTAAAATCTGAAACAAAGCTGTATTTTTCTAGATTGGACTGCAATTGATTACAAAGATGCAAATGGTTCAAGTCCTTTCGATCTCGGCGACCAAGCAATAATATTGCCTATGATGTTAAGCTTTACAGTTCCTGTAGTCGTTTCTATCATTGGATTGGGTGTGATTGCAGCTGCGTCAATGTCTTCACTAGATGCAGCTTTATTGTCAACATCGAGCGTATTTGCAAGAAATATTTATCAAGCAGTTATACGACCAAAGGTATTTAAGATAAGCATTTTCACCATGGAAGTAAACATTTCCTGATTAACTTTGCTACTAAACCGTATTAAAATATCATTCCACCTATATTTGGAATGTATTTCTTCGAGTCGTTAATGGCTGTTACTCATTCATTTTTCAGGCTTCTGATAAAGAGATTGTTTGGGTTATCAGGATAAGCGTGGTTGTAGTTTCAGCTTTGTCAATAATGATAGCATTGTCCGTGAACACCGTTCTTGGACTCGTATATCTTTGTGGAGACTTCTACTACTGTTTGGTATTTCCGCAGGTACTGTTCATTTTTCAGAAATTGGTTTTGCAACAATTCAAAAAATGTGTCTCTGTTATTAAAAATTTCTTCCATTTTCTGTATGTAGAATGCTAGAAAAAACGCGAGTCTATTTCCATTTTCTGACTTCAGTAATTAACTGCTAACCAATATCAAGCCAAATATCACAATTAATAGATAACACAACGCGATATTCACGCCAAATCTATATGTCTATATGTTAATGACACATATGGGGAGTTGGATATTTCAAGGATACATATTGGATATAAATTGCGGTTACAGTGCGTTAAAGTGACATTCTAAAGTGATATGAATTTATATAGTACTGTAGATTGACATATTTATATTAATATACTTACCCAATAAAATATTATTTGTTTGTTTCAACAGTTCACTTCAGTTTTGTTCCTGGATCCCAACGCGTACGGATCAATTCCGGCCTTAATTATTGGATTTCTCTTGAGAATCGGTGCTGGTGAAAGATTCATAAATTTTGAACCATTTATTCCCTTTCCCAGCGAAGGAAACTATCCATACAGAACCGTAGCTATGGTCGCTTCGTTCTTTATTCTTACAGTTTTTTCATACATTGCCAAATTTCTTTTCGAAAAAGGATATATTCCTGATAAATATGATTTTCTGAATAGCAACCTCGCTAACGGAGGAAGAACAAACAAATTGAAAGTGATTGAAGTAAAGCTGGATTCAAAAAACTGATAAATGTAAAGAATACAGAATATAAAAGAATGAATTCCAAATGATTGCATCATATGAAGAATGAGTTCTAAAATTCCTACTTTTATTCTAGCCAGTGATTGCAAGACATCTGTGGTAAGATGAATGTCGACAGTAACTTTTTTCCAATAAACATTTATTTGTGTAATTATTTCCATTTTCTTCTCCAGTAAAAAAATGGATGCGTTTGTGCACTGTGTGCTATACACACCTGGATCGAGCTTAATACCAAATGTAATATTGATATTGAAAAATATATCGTAAAATAAATAGTCAACATTATGTAAATAAAAGAGTTGAAAAAACGACATATGATGTAATGATTATTCAATTATGGACAGTTCAGGGACATTGCCTAATGCCTACATAACACATAGCCTGCTTTGTGATAAATTATTAATAAAGTGTGATGTACATTTAATAAATGGATATGATCCAAGCAACATTAAGCGTTTATCACAAATGTAAAGTAGATGTATTAAATTGCAATAAATCAAGCATCTCAAATGTCTATAGGTGCAAATGTACGTGTGTGCAAATGTGCTGTTTCCTTCCCTGCCCTATCACCTTACGCGTATAACCCACCGTAGAAACAAGTGCGAACGTCGTTGCCCGCGACGGACATATGTAAAGTCATACTATAGTTGATCCTTTTCACTTTTAAATAAAACGTCACCGTTCAGATATTTGCATATATGTATATATATTTTTGAGTGCTGATAACAAATGTAATCTGAGGTTGATGATTAGACCCGTACACACTGAGACATATGGGTCAGGATAATGTGTCTTACCAACTTCGGAAATCTATAGTATGGAAAAATACTAATAAAGAAATATTTAAATATGATATAAGAATATGTCACATCGTAGCCTAATTCCTTTAGATTCCTTCATATATATTTTGCTAGGTTGTTTATGTAAACCCCAATCAATGATCATTACCATCTCGACGGTAAACAATCAAAGAACGTTCAAATAAAATCAAATATTAGAGAATTACAATAAATTTCGCACTGCTATTGCCACCTGTCCAGTTCTTCCAAATTCTCATCCACAGAATACTGCTAGCTTCCGCTTTATAGAAAGAATATATCTGCGCTATTTATGTGTTTACTTTTTCCTTCGACAATTCTTCTCTATTATATCAACTTATTACCAAGGAAAGTGATATTCAAACATATGAATTTCATCGAATGTTAACTGGATGATCATTAGATCATGATCAAACCGAGGTTTCATGGGCAGTGATATATTCATTCAATCAGTAAGTGGACCGGGATGTGGCTAATTTATTAAGCATGGCTTCTTGTCGCTCTCGCAAAATGCTTTTTGTTAAATCGGTTTCGCTTCTATATGATTTTAGTGTGAATGGTATCCTGGATTCCCGCGGGGGAAAGTATTGTGTGTGCATTTGCAAAGCGCATTGTAAGGTAAATGTGAATTTATTGCACAATTTTTATGTTATTAAACAACATTTGCTGAAAATAAAGCCAGTCACTGTATTGAGGAGTGAACAAAATCTTATTATATTTCACAAATTATGCCATCCAATGCCCAAGTTGGTGGATCAGTTCCCATTCCTTGATCTTTTGCAGATGAATCGCTGTTTACAAGGATGAAGACACCAGTTTCTCCTGCATCCGGATACTTAGTTTTGGCCCACCTCACATATGGTGCCGGTGTACCATCGCGTAACATCACAACGCCAGTCTAGAAATATAATGTTGTACATATATATGTTTATATTGGTGCGTATGTTAAGCCATGTATTATATTTAAGGTTTCTCACACTTTCACACCGAGCGAGGATCTGGAATAATACTTATTAATGGGCCAGGACTTAATTTATTAAAGCAAAATATTATCATTCGACGTACCCAGCGCTATAACACCGCAAGTATAGTTTCAGAAAAAGGATTTAAATCCGCGAAATTCAAGACAGGATTTTTATATAGCCAGTATTTAAATCCGCAAAATTCAAGCATCTCTTCGTCACTGATATCACATTAAATATGCTCTATATTGCATGTGCTGCGTTATTCAGGGTACTAATATTCGTACTATTATGTTGTATGAAGCCACACAAAGAATATCTTATAGCCGCGTGACAAGGTCGCGATATGCCTCAAGTCGAAGATTCAAATGCGTTCCATTTTTAAGAAGAAGGTTAAAAACCACTGCTCTAGAAATATTGAAGAAATTTTGAAAACCAGTATGGAGTGAGTCACTATCTCAATTAGGTATAACAAAGTTCATGCACATGTGACTGTTCTGAGTGACGGTATTGAACTTACTTTTGAATCTGCTTTCATTCCTGTCCACATATACACCGAGCGTGTTGATACATATAGTCGAATTTTTTTCATCAAAGTAGAAAGATGAGTTTCTGAATAGACATTCGCTGCTTTTGCTCCTCTGGAAGCGCAAAATAATTTTGCTTTCTTCAAATCAATGCTTTGTTTTAATAAGTATACGTAAAAGCAGTGATTCAGATAACGAAGCGGGCAATTCGCTGCAAAATAAATACAAACATGAAAAATAAAAACGCGATAGGACAAATACCAAAAAACTACTCTGAGATTTTCACTGGCTTGACAATACAGTTCTATTGAAACATGAACTGACAGTGATTGGCAGCATTTATCATTCCATCATTGTGTTTTAAAATTCTACAAAATAGCTTTATATGGAACATAGTTTAGCTACTGATAAATATCTATCATTGTAGACCAGTGGTTCTCAAACGTGTCGAACTCCCGCGTTATTCTGCAATCTTTCGTCCAACCCCGACGTTTTGAAAAATAAAAGCTGGGGGCGCGATCAAAACTTAATGAGGCGGAACACAAATTACATCAAGATAATCATAACTGCACAAGGTCATCCGATTAAGTTTTTTTTTGTTCAACATATTTCTCAAAAATCTGATCGGAATGCAATTGATCGGAGTTTTTCGGACAAACTTACAACCACCGTGATCATCGTGGTGTAACTTCAAATATCATTACAGTCTGTCTAAATGATTATTCCTATGCCATGCAGGGGACCTAATGCCGGAAAGATTTTATGTTTTTTTGTGGGTGGAAAGGGAAAAAGACAAAAACAGCAACTTCGGAGATCATAAAGCTGAAACAATACCCTCAAAACGGTGATTTTCCATCAAACTCGTTATTTCACCCCAAACTTTGAACATTCAGCATGAATCCCCAACGTTTGTCATAACAACTCATATATTTCAAAGCTGAAAGCATGTAAAAACGCTATCATGCAGTAGTACTTCCAAACGTGCGACATATTCGATGAAGTTTACTGAGATCAATTATTGTCAGGTCCACAGAAATTTATATCCGTGCGAAATAGCTGAGCTAATCTATGAGTTTGAATATCTGCTGTGAAATGGAGTCATTTTCACATAATTAATAGGTGGGATGATAGAAATACTTTAAAAAATACAAAGGTTTTAGAGGGCTTTCGTCGAACACCTGGAACAGCTCCACCGAACCCCGGGGGCTCGATCGAACCCAGGTTTAAGAAACAATGTTGTTGACTAATCGAGTGGATTAGTGTAATTTACCAGGATTGAGGTAAAAATTGTAACAAACCTTTATCATTGGATTCCAGTTGTTTATTGATGTTGGCAATTTTTCTATTTGTTTCTGCTATTTTTTGCTCCATTTCTGAAATTCGATAAAAACAAGAATCTATTGAGAAAATATTTCTAATGATAATAACAGATATAACAACATTGTTGTGGTTTGAACCAGATTTTTGTGTCAATATAAAAAATGCGTAACGTAAACAAGGCAGTTGTAAATCTATAGAAAAAACTCCCAAACTTAGTCTTACTTCCAGATTTAGGCTCCTAATCAATATCTTGAAACTGAAACTGACCATTTTCGAGAGCTTCCACTAGTTGACGATTATCAGAAACAGCAGCATGGAGATTTAAAACATCGTCATAAACTCCTGTTTCACAAGTTATAGGAAACGCCTTCCGTTCCAAATATTCTTCAAGACTGAAACCGGGTTGATTCCATGGTGAGGGATCGCATTGGTTGGCGTTGCATCCTCGTTTGAAACGACAATTAATGTTACTGCCCATGCATGAAACGGAAATCAGGCAGCATGCAATGAATATGAAGTTGGGTAATCTATACATATTCTATATATATCTAATTTGAGACAGAGTACTGTAAGGAAAAAATTATCAATAGCGGTATTTGACCTAAAGTATATGTTTTTATATATCCTTCATATCATTGCATGGGAACAAAGCCTCGGTTGTTAGCAATGTATCCTAGTATAAGAATAGAAAATATACTTTGCATTAAAGATTTCGTGTTGCAAGTTGCATTTTATAGGTCTTGAGAATTCGAATTGCAGAAATGAAGTACATTAAACATATATATTAGAATTTACAACAGAAAATGTTAAATAGATACTGCTCTCCAGGCTCACCATAACAATGCAAAAACTATAAAATTGGTCGTAGTTTTTGGTAGAACATATTTCCTGATCAATAATAAAATCGTGACACATAGGCCACAAAAACTAATTGCCGATTGCTCTCATTTACCTATTCTCGTTTTTTGTCACATGACTTCACGATTGTTAAAAGAGAGCAGTGTCTTCACAGAACGCGTTCGAGAATATGTCATTCATATACATAGGCCAGGGGTGGCGAACCTGCTTTCGACCGCAATCGACTAAAATCTTCAAAATAGCTCGTGATCGGTAATAAGGTCATACACAAAAACTGAATATGCAGATAACTGCACACATGCATACAAAAATTCCTCTGTTGCCAATAGGCTGAATCTATCGGCTTATTCTTAATGAAATCGCCCACAATTTTTTTATTATTTTCAATTTGATTATGTAATTGTACCAGGAGTAAATGTTTCATCATTTATTCAAGATTTATTCAAATGATACAATTCAGATATAGGGCCTGTTTTACAAGAATTGGAAATTCTTCAAAAAAAAACTTGACAAGTATCCAAGTATTATCTAAACAGCGAAAAATAAATATTCTCAAACCACCCGAATATCGCGTGTCAGCCAAGACACGCGATATTCGACACGTTCATTCCTAAACCTTGGCAACGGCGAACTTGCATTTGATACGTAATGATATGCTATATCGTTCGTCATCCAAGACACGCGATATTCAGCACGTTCATTCCTAAACCTTAGCAGCATCGAAACTCGCAATTGGTACCTAATAATATGCCATATCGGATTTGCCCAATCTCAAATAGTGTATATGTATATCGTATTTTGCGCATGTACAGTACTGCTTTCTTACTGTTTTAAACCACACAAGAGGCGCTGCACGAAACTGGTTTGAGGCAATATTTTTCGGGGGTATTTTATTAAATTCACGCAATATCAACGGCGATCGACTACTCGAGACGTGGCGATCGAGGTGTTGGTCACCCCTGACATAGGCGAACCTTCTTTACAACTCGTGGGTTCTAAATTAAAACTTATTTTAATTAATAAAGTTTGAATTTCACTTACATCAAAGGATTATGCTTCAAATCCGATCTGACCCAGTAAAGGACCATTATTTTTTATTTTTATTACAGACACTTTATTCATTCTAATAATCGCTACACTCCATGCAAGTGGCAACAATCGCTGTAAAATATGCGGATTCTTAACTGGTGGTGGTTGCATAAGACAAACAATGAATATTATCGCCTATTACTTTTGTGTGGACTAAATCTACATTAGCACTCGCGCAGCCTTTCAATCCGATCAATGACATTAAACAACATGATAGGCAACTCTGACGCCACTCCATAAGACTACAGGCAAAACATTGTATTTCATGATACACTCCAATGCACATATTTCTCGTCGCCTTTCGCGTCCGTTTTCCGCTCGCTTTTGCTACTCGGCGTCTTTTTTACGTGTAGTACCTGCCTTTTTGCGCCAGTAACGAAACAAAATAATCTCTATATCTAAGAAGTTTTGCTTACTTGGAAAGCTGAAATAACAGGCAAGCTGTAAAGAGCAATTCTGGACATCATAGACTTTTTTTTTATCAGAGAAGATTACAAACGCGATAGCGGAAAGATTTGTGTGGAATATTTTGCAGATAATGACAAAGTTCAAAGTTAGTAATTTTAATGTTTAGGCTTAATCATTGAAATTTCATTTAAAGAGGGTGTCATACAAAACTGTGCTGCGATACAATTCCATAACACAAAGTTTGCACCTATCGAACTTGCTTTTGTAGGTCAATTTATTAGACATATTACATATTCAGTTAATCGTAGGTAACATTGCTGGTACATAATGCATCGTAGATAGGTTTGTTTAAATTTAGGAATTTAGCTCATAGGCCCACTAATTAATATTATCTTCTATGCAGGAGGTTGCAGGGCTGAATTCAACTTGCAGCCTTTACCGATCACCTGACGATGCTCATTTAGTTTGGCTCGAGCAAGTCTTCTCAAATGCTTGTGTGGATGGAAACTACCTATATTTTTTGCCTTCCTCCGATTTTAGACAAATTTATTCTGAGGGATTTCGCATATAATTCTCACTGATTGTTGGCTGTTTATAATTCCTATTAATTGTGAATTCTGATTATAACAATGAGTTGAAAATTTTTTTACCTAATTTACTGGGACCTATTTCTTGTCAATACTCCAAGCTGAGGTAATAAACATGACAATACATTTATGTCATCTGGAAGCAAAATATGCACACTAATTAATAGTTTGGCACATTGAGATAATACATCATGACAGAAAATACAAGTTAAAGATATGTATGACCATCGCATGGTAATTAAAATTAATAAAAATTAATAGGGGCTGTGGAGTATGGAAAGTTCAAGACAAAGAAAAGAACAAATGTTCATAGCTCATGAACTCTCAATTTTGCCTCCATTGCTTTGTGAAGGCCAATATATTCCGAGTGGCTGAATTGGTTTACCTTTATGATAGCAACAATTTTGTATTTAATATAGCGAGATTATTTCAATTTAATTGAAGTGATATAATTTCCCAAAGCAATGCTTGAATCGTCTAGAATAGATCAGTGGTGTCAAACTCATGGGTTTTCGAGAGCCGCATTGCATTTTGAAAATTGTAAAAAGAGCCGCAAACAGTTTTTGATAATGTATACTCAATTTTTAAGATAATTTTAGTTTGTGACATATATTGTGATGCAACTAAACAGTTGGATTAAGTTTTATTATTTACTTAAATTTCAAATGCAATTACATATTAATATTTGCATTCCACTATTATTGCAACATTTGCAAGTTACAGTATTTATTATAAAAAATCGTAGAATTCTATGTACAACCATCAAAATCATTTTTTGAACAAGCTTTGAATAAGGAAGAATAATACATACACTAAAATAACTTAATCTAAATATATGAACCTAAAATTAACAAAAATACTACAGTATAAACTCAATGTTTTAATAATTACATTTGTCCTGGCGTTTGGCATCTTTTTTGTGTCACCAGCATACTAAGGCCAGTCTGAAATGATTTTATAGTACCAACTCTAACTAACGAGGCCACATGATCATGGGTTTATCTGGATCTTTACGAATGTTTAATTAATTCCAGTAATGCAAAAAAGTTACTTTTATCATTTCATGTATAGATCAGTAAAAAAACAAATGACAGATTTTTTCGACAAGACATTTCGCACTACATTGCGTGGCATAGGATTGCTTGAATTATTATTGATATTGATTTTTAGTAACTAAGTCGTTGTATAATTATATTAATATACAAACACATGGAAATTTTCTGTTCGAAGTTGGTCTTCGAATTTGTCATATTGACTGCTGAGCTTATTGTGTTTTTGATTGTATTGATGGAAATATGACAAATTAAACAATGTGCTTCAGAATTTGTGAAGAGCAGAAATGTTACAACTTTCATTTTCTTCGAAAATGCCACCTTCTTCATGTACTTTGCGTTTAATTTAATTACTCAAGTGTTTTATTCAAGTATTCTTTTGCTAGCTTGATGTGTATTCTTAATTGGGGTCAAAATGTGGACAAAAAAAATTTAATATTCCAAAACTACTTTCAGTAAATTGTTTTCTGTGTGAATAATCAATTTCACTTTAGAAGGTTTGAAAAATCTATTACATTTAGATAAAAAAAAAAACTTCCAAAATACTATTACAATTATTGTTAAGCGTTCGAGGGCCGCACTGGAAGTTCTCTGGGGCCGCGAGTTTGAGATCCCTGGTCTAGATTGAAGTTGTTCAAAAATATATAATAGTATTTTATCATGAATGATGATTATACCCCTTCCGGAATTTCTTCTATAGTACTACCAAAAGTTGATGAACCAAATATAACACAGGTGCAGTGAGGTACCCGTAATCCTCATTTCCAAGCTGTTTAAGTATGTCTGGCGTGTTTTGTGCCTTTTTACAAATAAGACCGCTTATGCAATCTTACGCTTTGGAATTTTTAGTTATTTTCCTCAAGCCCTGCAGGATGTGGGGGCCATACACAACTCTACCGGAGGGTCAAATGTCTTTGCATGCCTCCATAGGTTGTTTTTCTATTGCAATTTCTATTTCAATTGCATTATATTTCTTGGAATCACACTGTCACTGATATGTCGCCAGACTTCTGATATCTCCTCGTCTGCTATAGTTGTCCTGTGAATAAATAATAGAAATTGAGATTAGACGAATAGTTGAAAGTTTTGCTTTATGTCGGCTTAATTTCTTGATTGATATACTTACTATTTCTGCTATTGCCTCTTGTGCTGCAAGAGTCTCACAATGCTTAGACAGGTTTGTCCACAACTTTCACATCTGAAGAAGAGAGGAGATTTATTAATTTTCGTTAAGAATAAATAAAGCAGTCTATATGATTCAGAATGGAAAAGCTAATAAATCCAATATCTCATGTTTTATTTAAAAAATATTTTACTGAATTGGTATATAAACCAACTAATAAAGGGTTTAGTCAGAAAATTACAAGCATTCGTGGCTCCAAATACTTGAGAAATCAGACTATACAATATAGACCGGTATGAGTGAAATGTTAGGTGAACTTGTTAACACTTTGATTCAATACGCAAATAAAAGTGAATGCGTAATAGTATGTTACAATGAGCAGCAATCAACAATGAGTATATATCCTCACTGATTAAAAAATCTAACTGGAGGTGCATGAACTATTTGAAACCATAAGGGGTAAGTAAATATGTAATTTCGGCAAATGGGCAACTACGTACCGTACTGAATTAATAACTTCGTAGTATTTGACAAAGGCTGGCTTTCCCACATGTACTTAACAGTGCGATGCCCGGGTGTGATATACAACAATAGTATTCACCTTACTTTTTACCGATTTCTTTTTCCCCCAACTTTCAAAAATATCATTAAAATCGACAACAACTGTCAAAGCAGGCACGAACACCATTCGTGCTACGCCTTGAAAGCAGCACACATCCGCTCGTTTTCGTCTCGTCAAGTATGTGCATTGGAGCGTGCTATCGAATACGATCTTCGGACAAAAATGCCGGAGTTGCGCATCATGTTGTTTAATGTCATTGATCCGATTTATATTTCTGTCTGCAGAATAGGGGTTATGCAAACGCATATCTGAGTTTCCCGTGTTAACCTAACAATCCAAATATAACCACGAAGTCGAAATACCAAACATTTGTATTGTACAAGACTACTACTTCAATATGATAATTGTTTTAGATATCAAAACGTAAACGCGATTGACAAAGCGAAGTTAATAATATAATAAACTTATTAAAGCAGCAATATTCAGCAGAACTCAGATGACCGAAAATAAAAGTACATGCCGAACCACTTTCCACTACGCGTGAAAAAATGAAGTAATCCACAATATAACGCTTTCGACATATACTTGTTTGTAACAGAACATTGAAATGTAAGAGAAAGATGGAGCTAATTAGAACACGAATTATAAGTTTAAATGTTTCATGCAAATAATAATTCTAAGTGATTTTCCATTGCACAAGAGATTTAATTTAAACATACCATTCCCTCTTGTCGAAAGTCTTAATCCTAATTCTCTAAAATGTATAAAACTTCATAGGCTACATTTTTTTTATGTTTCTCAGAACATGTTGATATAATAAAATCTCGCATTTGTTTACAAATGAAAGCAATGCAGTGTGAAGCCTTTTACGCGGAATTGTTACACCTATGACTCAGTTATCTGCATAAGCAAGTTGATAATAATATATCCAAGCGACGAATATATACTGGGTAAGCCGTCTTATTATCGACTTTCCTTTCCCCGGGTTAAATATCTTATCGTTTTATAGTTGCCAATTATATAGCGAAAATTATATGAATGGATGGTGAATGAATGACGGTGAATGATACGTATATCATAATAATTTATTACTTTTACATAAGAGTAGCATAATCTTTCCCACGAAATAGCAAGTATGTTTGTAAGCTTCCGTTAGGTTAGTTAGAGTGTTAGGGTTAGACCATCGTCCAACTTCTTCAGACAAAACAATATATAGCTGCAAATATGAAAGATCAATGTTCAATTGATGTGAGAGAGCTCCAGGTTGTCCATTTGTATATTTTCCATTGTTTGTTTTGAGCTTTTGTTTGCTATATGTTGTTGTTTGAGTTTGTTTCAGAATCATTTTCTTTGATTCAATCTTTCTGCATAGCTCACAGTTGGTGATAGCGTCGATTCCCAGAGCACTGAAGTCGTAGTCACAGTGTGGCCTTTGGTGTTGAAGTGGTTGGCAACTGGTGTAGGGGCTTTATTCAGAATATCCCTGATATGGTCCCAGATTCTGGTATTCCATTTTCTGCCGCTTGCACCAACGTAGGTAATTTGCAATTTTTGCATGTTATCTGGTATATTATTTTTGCGGTGAAGCTGATGCTTTTCAAAAGCTGGTAATTTTGTTTGTCCTATTCTCAAAGATTTGGGTTTGGAATGAGTGCAGACAGGTTGTACAACTTTTCCTCTTGTATTCAGCAAATCCCGCTTTGGTTGCTTTGTTTTTGATATCGGTTTCAGTTTGGCGCACACTAGCAAGTTTCTAAGAGTCGTCATTTCCTATACCTTACAATGGGGGAATTGTGGAATAACTTTTGTAGTCGGATGTCACGGTGTAGGATATACTGGTGTTATTGGAAAATTTTCCTAATTGGTCGGAGAAGTAGGTGATATGTGGTTACAAGCGGTGTTTCGCATATTTTCGTTTTTTTACGCAGTTTTGGTAAGCGTACTTTTGTTCTGTCTTTCTTGTCTGGTCGATGGCTTTATCTATAGAAGGTATTGGATATAAGGTATAGTTTTTCCTGCAACAGGGATTGCCACACTACCACACAAAACCATTGGGCTAGCAGACAATAAAGTTTGATATTCGTTGCTTTGAGCTCTTCGAACTCTTCATGAAGTATTAATTTTGTTTCAACGGTTCACCTCAGTTTTGTTTCTGAATCCCAACGCATACGGACCAATTACGGCCTTAATTGTGGGTTGGCTTTTTTGATTCGGTGCTGGTGAAAGATTTTTAGATTTTGGAAAAAATTTTCGTTTCCTAGTGAAGGTAACTATCCACATACAGAACCGCGTGGTCGTTTCGTTCTGTACTCTTACAGTTTTAACATACATTACGAAATTTCGCTTCGAAAAAGGATATATTCCTGAAAAATATTTTTTGAATAGCAACCTCGGGAACGGAGGACGACGAACAAACAAGTTGAAAGCGATTAAAGTAAAGTTTGAGTTCATAAACTGAACTACTACACTACACTATATACGATCAGGAAATATACAACTGCAGTACATTCACGTATAGATGAAGAGTAACAACATATACAATTATTTTTCAATTTAACTCAAAATTCTGTGGAACCCAATATTTCACCTAAAATTCATGGGAACCAAGCGTGGCCGCCCGCTTTGTCCTTCGTTTTCGTTCAACAAACTCGGCGAGATCTTTTGTACAACGCCCTGCCAACAAAAAACATCCCGGCCAACGCTTAAAATGAAAAAATTGGTAATTATCCAGTAAGGGTTTGGGTAGGAATGCAGATTGCGCTGGAAGTTCAAATCATTCCTAACCGTGGTTCCATTACATTTGAACCCGTGTACATCTGAACCCACGACGATTGCACACTGCATACTATTGCACCTATGGAAATGTTTTTTTGTTTTGCGGATATTGAACCCAACTAACCCTAACCCACTGGTTTTAGCACCCGCATATAGATTGAACCGCGATATACACATGGGTTCAAATGTACATGGTTCAAATGTACGTGGGTTCAAATGCACGGTCACCCTAACCGTACCCGACTGAATAATTACTAATTTGTTATTTAAAACGTGGCGGTAGTGTTTTTCTCAAATCTCACATTTTAGTCTTAGTGTGAGGGGCTTTGTACAAAAGATTCACTCGGCGGTGATCGCCCTGTACCGAAAGTCATGTAAGTCAGCTTCAGTTTTTACCATTATAAAATTTGAGTAGACTAATAAAAACAAAATGCAATATTGGGAAAACATCAATGTGGCAGCGAGTGAGACACGTAAGCAAATTGTTCTCATATTGCTGTTAATAATCGAATAACCTAGTGTGCTACTTATAGTATAGAATATAAATTCGGATAAATTCTGTAATTCATGACTAAAATGCGGTATATTTCACCCTTGTTTTGTAGCAATCAGCAAAATTCAATGGATAAATTTAATGTCGCATGAACCAAATAAATGTCTCATGTATTACATACCGCCTTGAGTCTTTTGAGAACCTTCGACCTAAGAAATATTGTATCATCGCTTGAGTATACCATAACTCGTCCCACGAATGAGAGTCATACGATATAATATTTATGAAATAAAAATGACGAGCGTTACGTTTCATTATGTACGACTTGTTGGTACTCCGTTGGTAGATAACCTTGTCGCAAAACCTGCCCGCGTTATTTGTATCTTGAACAGGTCGATTGAAACATTTTCTGAGCACTTTTAAATGTAATGTTTGATTACTTATTACAATTTTTCAACAAAAGATTCTTTTAATCATGTTGAAATCGTGCCAAGCTCTTTCAACTCGTAACAAAGGCAGATATACTTCATAGATTACGAGAGCTTACAAATCGTTTGCGAAAACAAACTAAACAATGGGCGAGTACAGACTGGGTGTTTATAGTCGTTACGACTTTCGCCGGAATGAATGACATGGAAGATATACTGGTCACACAAGCACAATAGTATTGTAACAAGAGTCGTAACGAATTCCGATTTAGTCGCTCTTGGAAACCACGATCGCGTAGCACAATAAAGGAAAGCGACCGCGGTACTGGATCGATTGCCCACATCGACTGTTTCGTCTTGTTGCTTAGAAACGAGCGCGTGTTGACGACTGAAATTTATACCACGTGATTCACTCCGCCAATGAAATTACAGCGAAGGATCGTTGTCATGCGAGAATGGTATAAAAGACACATTTCACCAAGCCGCCTTCATTCATCTGTACCTGCAGGAGACACGTAACGGTCTACGCGAGTCGGAATAAGCTAATAATCATCTTTTTCATCTCAACAACTACCTTTATCTAACCAAACAATATGGTAAGTGAAATACTTTTGTATGTATATATTTATGACTTTGTATGTTTTCTAATTTCGCAATTTTTGTCTACGTTTTAACTATATAAAATCTTCATAACATAAATTAGATATTTGTTCATAATAACGAAGTCGAAATACGGATTTTTTTTCGAACTATTTCAGGGCAAGTTTATTTCATGTTTTCAAATATATTTTTAATCATTAAAGCTCGTATTGTAACCAAAACTTAAATCTTCCTGTAGTATAGCTAAAGCTTCGAATTTATTTCGAAAACAAAATTTTGGTCATGAAAAAGGGGCATTACAGAAGTCCGTTCTTATTAGCCTTGAAGTTATTTTTATTTTGAATACTTTAATGTGATATCAGGCTCGTATCGATTTGTGTTTTCCACTCACTGCGGACGATAAGATTATATTGGTTTTGTGAAGCACCCTCCAACCACGAGAGTGCTCTTCTGTTGCGTTTCGGTAGGCACACAGGTCATCAAAAAATCTTGCGTCACAGGCTACTAAAATATTTATGGAGATTTAATGGGAGCGGCCTCTCAAGTCGTGCGAAAACCCAGAGAAAAATGTCATTTCCGTGGAATTAGAATTTAAATAAATTATTCAAAAGTACACCTCGATCGATATACGATCGTTGCCGAAAGTATTGGAAAAAATTCTAGAATATTGATTGCTGTTAGAAAGTCACTCTGTGGGCTTTTGTATGACATCATTATGACAACATCGACAGACTGTCGTCAAAGTAGGACATAATATTTGAAATCGTATGCTTTACGACAACATATTTGAAAATCTGTTTTCAGTTTAATGATTAACGATAAGATATGGATGACTGCGCGCCTAACTACGACCGTGCTTCACATCGCCTTTGTTATACATAACTAAACAAACATAAAGTGAAATACTATTCCAACGGTTGGAATGGGCGCGCCCTTACTTGTTTCGTTCCAATATTTTCCCGCGTTATACATACTTCGCGATATACATACGTTATAACATTAGCACTTCATCCGTTTATACCACGACCAATACGCGTATGGTGTTTGAATAGCTCATAATCTAATTCAAAACCAGCACGTTTATTTGAATTTAACATTTTAACAGCGCGAGTGCATCTCTATCCACGTCGGACAAGCCGGAGTCCAAATCGGCAATGCCTGCTGGGAACTGTACTGTTTGGAGCATGGCATCCAGCCAGACGGTCAAATGCCAAGCGACAAGACCATTGGAGGAGGAGATGATTCTTTCAACACCTTCTTCAGTGAGACTGGTGCGGGAAAGCACGTTCCTCGTGCCGTTTTCGTCGACTTGGAACCAACTGTTGTCGGTAAGCTTACGTCATATATACTTTGTCTTTTATTTTGTTATTTATGATGCTCCACGCACTACTCGTTGAAAAAAAATATTCCATTTTTTTGTGTATTATTAAAAGTAACTGGTTTTCCTAATTGAGTATTTGATCATTCCGTCGTAATTTCCAAATACCTTGGTCTCTTTGTCGCAACATCTGCAAGGGCGTTTCTTACCCTTGGACGATCATTACTATAGAAGCTAAGATCTGTCGCAGCATATCCTACCACTATTTAGTACATTAATACAATTATTTCATTGTTAGATGAGGTCCGTACCGGGACCTAAACAGCTGTTCCACCCCGAACAACTCATTACTGGTAAAGAAGATGCTGCCTAACACTCGGCCCCGTTGGTCCTACACATTGGAAAGAAATCGTCGACCTTGTCCTTCGATCGTATCCGTAAACTTGCCGATCAATGTACCGGTCTCCAAGGTTTCTTGATCTTCCACTCCTTCGGTGGTGGTACTGGATCTGGTTTCACTTCTCTTCTTATGGAACGTCTATCCGTCGATTATGGAAAGAAATCAAAACTGGAATTCGCCATCTACCCAGCACCCCAGGTAAAAAATTAATTTCAGAGAGAAACAGTAAGCGTGATGAACAATCCTTATTTGTAATAATTAAATTTATCGCACAGGTCTCCACCGCTGTTGTTGAACCATACAACTCTATTCTGACCACTCACACTACTTTGGAACACTCCGACTGTGCTTTCATGGTAGACAATGAGGCTATCTACGATATCTGCCGTCGCAACTTGGACATTGAACGACCAACCTACACCAACTTGAACAGACTCGTTGGACAGATCGTTTCGTCCATCACTGCATCTCTTCGTTTCGATGGTGCACTCAACGTTGATTTGACCGGTTCGTATTCAATTCATTTCTTCTTATAAATAATATAATATATTCTTCTTGTAATAATTCTTCTTATTTGTATACCAGAATTCCAGACCAACTTGGTACCTACCCACGTATCCATTTCCCTCTCGCAACATACGCTCCAGTAATCTCTGCAGAAAAAGCATACCATGAACAACTCTCAGTTGCTGAAATTACCAACGCATGCTTCGAGCCAGCCAACCAGATGGTATGTAGAGTTGTATTTGGTTTAGCAGCGAGCAATATCAATGAAGTTCAAGTTTGTCAATAAAATTTGTCCATTTCTAGGTAAAATGTGATCCACGTCACGGAAAATACATGGCTTGCTGCATGTTGTACCGTGGAGAACGTTGTCCCCAAGGATGTCAACGCCGCCATTGCAACCATTAAGACAAAGAGAACCATCCAATTTGTCGATTGGTGCCCAACTGGTTTCAAGGTCGGAATCAACTACCAACCACCAACCGTTGTGCCAGGAGGAGATTTGGCCAAGGTCCAACGTGCCGTATGCATGTTGAGCAACACCACCGCAATTGCCGAAGCATGGGCTCGTCTTGATCACAAATTCGATTTGATGTACGCCAAGCGTGCTTTCGTCCACTGGTAAGTCGAGTGTTTGTATATAACAATAATGAGGCTTTATCATGATAGGGTCAAGATTTTACTGTAATTTTTTTTTTTTTTTTTTTTTTTTTTTCTGAAAATATAACAAAAAGACTAGTTATAGAATCAGATAAGCAGAGAAAACACACATCAATTATAAAATCTAGATCATTTGAGACAAAAAATGGGACATATAAATTTGCGTTCGATTTCGGCAGGGTCTACTTTTAAAAATTCGAGTCTCTGAAACGAAGTCCATTTCATGCAAACGGTAAACGCCAAAAATCTTGATAAATTATATAGGCTACTAAAATATTTATGGAGATTTAATGGGAGCGGCCTCTCAAGTCGTGCGAAAACCCAGAGAAAAATGTCATTTTACTGTAAAAAACAAAAATATATTATTGATCTTCAGTTAACGTACATAAACTACAACTAATTACAATGCGTATTGCCAACCAGGTACGTCGGAGAAGGTATGGAAGAAGGAGAATTCTCTGAAGCCCGTGAAGATTTGGCTGCTCTTGAGAAGGATTACGAAGAAGTCGGAGTCGATTCCGTTGAAGGTGAAGGAGAGGAGGGAGAAGGAGAAGAGTATTAGATGAAGCAATAATCACGACCTACCATCGTCGACACAATCACTACACAACGACCACAATATATTCATAATTTTCCGTATTTCATATTTTGGTTTTAAATAATTTTCTGAAACACTCAGCATCGGAGTTGAGAATAATTTTTTTAAGTTGATACATTGTTTACATCTTTTAATCTGGTGATTTTGCACGGTGTTATGGTTTTACAAAACAGAGAGAAAAAGGAAAATCGATATAAATATGTATTTTCATTTTTGGGACGTGAGGAACGAAGAAAGCAAGCAGGATTTTAATTTCACCGTGCTCTTGATTTTTGGTAAACATTAACAGAATGCGTATACAACATAGCCTACATGCAAGTCAAAAACATCATTTTCAGAATTATGCTGGCATGATTTGCAGCCAGTGGTGAATGTGAACCATCGATGAAGTTGTTCAGAGTACAAAACGATTTATATTTCAACATGGCTGGGCGGACGCGTGGTAATCCGGTAGTTCCAAATCGACACCAAATCATAATCCTTGCCTACATGTGGTGGTAAAGATAGCTTGACTTTCCCGTGATTCATGTACTTGAAGCGATTGAGCTATGAACGCTGCACATAGGTGTATATGATTGCTAGGCGTCGATATTCACAAATCCTTATACAGTGTTTATTTTCTGTTGCATCACAACTGCCAACACTTCCTGTTCCTAATACATTTTCAATCCATAAGAACTAAGGTGAGGCGACAGGAAAACATAAAACTGTCAGAATGGCTCAATAATGTTTTTTGATCATCGTCAGCTCATTCCATTAACGTGTCGCGTGTTCGGGATAAAACACAAACAATATTTTGCGTGTTTCCGAATTGGGGATAAAACACAAACAATATTTTGGATTTAAATTGTTGATGTCCCTGTATTCAATTTACTTTCATGCAATGTAGAGGTTTTATTAAACATATAATTTCTTATAAAAACAAAAAGGTACTGCAAATATAAAACGTCGGAGTACGATGATCACTGTTGAAAACAGATTGATATTCAGGTGCAGAAATGAAACAGATGGTGATGGTTGATGTTGAGTTCAACACCGCTTGTGCTATCTCGACTCTTTCAATCCTCGTTGAGAAAATTTGGCCATTATCGTTGTTAGTCTCACCAAATCAAATTCCTGCTACACTGAAACGACTTGAATAGTCCATTCAAACGGTGGCAGCAAATCTGGCGCCATATTTAATTTCTTTAGAGATGGGGGTAAGATCTGGCTCCATAGCTATTGATTTTTTTCTTTTGGTATTACGCGCATAGTTTACTGTTATAAATACATTTTCCAAATATTTGCCAATATTGAATATTCAGAAATTTAGACATCATTTGTTTGACTAAGTAGCCTTGATATCATATTCTGCTGTTACAAATTATTGTGCATAATCTGAGGTGTTGGAATTGAATATTTATTATTATATATAATTGTTTGTAATGAAAGTGTCCCAAATCATTGCATAAAATGGTATAAAATGTTACACCCTGTATAAGTTTCTTCTATACAAAGCCAATACGTACCCGGTCAACCAAATGACTCTTCTTTATAACACTTGATCCATATTTCAGTTTAATACGTTTATTCGAAGGCTAATGACCTGTAGAACAGTGTTGTGTATGCCAAATTTTGATTTGTTCTCACTTGTGTTCCTGATTTTATTGCACTATTATGTGCATAGCAGAATGAAATTCATCTCCTGTTTGCGTGTTTAAAATCTAGTCCTTTTCAAGTTCACATTCATATGAATACTTAAGTTGTCCAAATAATTGTTATCTTTGAATACCTGCATTATTACTCATTTCGTTTCGGACATTCTCAGGACCATGACTGTACTATCATCAAAAAATATTACATCATAAAACAGTAAGTTCAATTACCGCAAATTAAAAAAAAGTGCATACATCTGTAAAGATTAGAAATAGCCGCAAACCCAACAAGATGCCAAGGTTCACCATACGATAGATACATCTTATCGGCTTCGCCCAGGGATAAATATAAAATTCCAATGCAAATATTTAGTCTGTTATTACACGCGCTTTTTCGGCTATGTACTACTCAGGCCTGCCCAACTTTTTTATTCAGTGTCGCGGGACAATTTCACGTGAGAGAATTCCCTGCGTGTCGCAAACGTTTTTACCAAACTTAACTACCAGGCAAGTTCTGATTTGGGCTACGTTAAAATTTACATAATACATAAAAAGCAAGTTTATTTACATAAAATCAATCAGGTCAATACTTACTGGTTACCGAGTAGGTCTGGGCAAATATTTGAATATTATATCGAATAAAAATATTAGAATATCAGTTAATTATCCGAATATATGGTAATAAGTGACCTGGACACGGCACGTCACTTGCGCCGTCGCTAAATCAAACGCTTAGATTGCACAAAGCATATGGGAATTTCTGACGAACACACGAGAATCTCCACACATCTTAACAGTCATCAAATGTGTGTAACATTTGTGTAATATTTTTGCCATTGGTTAACTTATTTTTGGACACGTAGTGGACATAACGATCGTTTCAATATTATGTTGTTGTTCTTGTTCTTGTTCTTTGACACGTTTTTAAAAAGTCGCTTTTCTCTTCGAATACTGGACCAATTGCTTTGAAATTTTCAGTGGTTAAAGATTAATTTTTTCGCTAGAAGGCTATTACTTTTGTTTATTCTTAAATTTTATATGAATCCTATGAGTCATACAAAATTTCGCGGTATTTATTTTTACTCATGGGAACACTGTTTTACACCTATTTCAAGCGGTTTCGCGATCGATTGTCTTGCTCAGTACTACAGCTACTGTAGGTCGGTACTGGTAAGTTGCCATACCGGTACCGTAACGCAGTGAAATTGACTTATTCCTTCCGCGGTATTACTAATGCTGCAATGCAAGTTTTATAGCCTATCGTATGCGGAACGGAATATCAGACCTACAGGTTCGGTACCGGTACTGGTAGCTCAGTACGTAAGTACGATACTGGTACTGGTGCCGGTACCGGTGTCTTACCACAATGAAATTACCGTAACTTATTCTTTCACGGTCCTACCAGTGCAGTAATGCAAGCGTTGTAGCACTTGTAGCCTACTATATTTGTTTATTTTGATGAGAGTCTACTGGAAACAACATAAAATTTGAAAGGGAAGAATTGTTCTGTGATCAATTATCTGTCCTAAAGTGTAAACAACATAAAATTTGCAAGGGAACAACTGTTCTGTGATCAATTACCGTATATGGCCTACAGTGTACAGGTAAGATGCTGGCTGACTGCTAACCGGTACTGGTAGCTCAGTACGATACTGGTACTGGTGCCGGTACCGGTGTCTTACCACAATGAAATCACCGTAACTTATTCTTTCACGGTCCTACCAGTGCAGTAATGCAAGCGTTGTAGCACTTGTAGCCTACTATATTTGTTTATTTTGATGAGAGTCTACTGGAAACAACATAAAATTTGAAAGGGAAGAATTGTTCTGTGATCAATTATCTGTCCTAAAGTGTAAACAACATAAAATTTGCAAGGGAACAACTGTTCTGTGATCAATTACCGTATATGGCCTACAGTGTACAGGTAAGATGCTGCCTGACTGCTAACTCAGTACCGCTTGACACGTTTTTAAAAAGTCGCTTTTCTCTTCGAATACTGGACCAATTGCTTTGAAATTTTTAGTGGTTAAAGATAAAAATGTTCTCCAGAAGGCTATTATTTTTTTTTCGTTATGGCGTCATCAAAATTATGTGACTCTACGTGTCCATATATTTGAGCATAGCTCTCTTGTTTTTTATTCATTGGATCGTTTTGATATTACCATATGTTGTTGTTCCTCATTTATTCTTTTTCCTCCTATCGTTATCGTTTCTCTTCAATTAGTGGACCAGTTGCTTTGGAAGTTTCAGTGGTTGAAGATTGTATTTTTCACTAGAAGGCTATTACTTTTTGGACACGTTAAGTGGCCATAACGATCGTTTCAAAATTTTGTTGTTATTGTTATTGTTATTTGTCTCCGTCTCCATTTTTAAAAAATCGCTTTACTCTTCGAATACTGGACCAATTGCTTTGATATTTTCAGTGGTTAAAGATAAAATTTCTCTCCAGAAGGCTATTACTTTTTTTTCTTGCTATGACGTCATCAAAATTATTGCCACTGGGTGGCGCTACGTGTCCATATATTTGAGCATAGCTCTCTTGTATTTATTTCAAATATTTCTGTGAGCTCTATGGAATTTGTTTTACTGTTTGCTATGACTTTATCAAAATGTGGGGACCTTGAGGCGGGTCCGCAAACGTTTATCAGCGTATCTCGTGCTCAGCGAACGTCAGTGGAACTCGTGCTTAGCCAAATTGGTAAGTTTTGTACCAGAATTCAATTGAATTCGCCACGCCACCGCATCTCTGATCACCCTGCTAGTTTTACAGGTTCCAATCCCATGCGGGGATAGTTATGTGCAATGTTCCCTCTAATTTTTTGTAGTATGTGTGCGTAGAAATTTTGGTGTGTGCGCACTTTTTTGGAAATGACTAATATTTGTGAAAAACCCAATGAAAAAATTTTGGCTTTTTAACCGGATAATAAGTGGGCCAACAACAAACTTTCTCAACCTGCCAACCGAGCACATTGTTACATTACATCGAAATACGTCTGTGCGCAGTAAATCTATGCGTGCGCAGCCTCTGAAAGCTGTGTGCGCGCGCACACCTTAGAGGGAACACTGGTTATGTGCGAGAGGATTGCAGCTCTTCTCCCACTGAGGGTGGTTCACACGACCGCTGGTCGGTTACGACATATCCCACCATCAAGTTCACGCTTCCGAAAACGAATAACTTGCTAACTAATCCCGCCATAGAATGGTAGGGGTATTAGTGGGTGTGAAAAGTTGAATAGATAACGCCAGTGCTCATGCAAAAAATAACCAGAATTCAATTGAATTCGCCATCTAGGAATACGCTCGCCACCGCATCTCTGATCACCCTGGTAGTTTCACAGGTTCCAATCCCATGCGGGGATAGTTATGTGCAAGAGGAATCTTATCCTAAAAACTACCGACATTGGTAGGCATATTTGCATTTTCAATTGAAAGAAATCTTTATTAATGGTCAGAAGGTGTTGTCTGATTGTTTCGTTAGTTAGCAGCTAATCTATCTATCTGATACACAAACTTGGCACTGTCGAATGATGATTAGTGTTTAATTTCTTTTCAGGAAAAAGAAAAGATAACCCATTATCAGCTGCTTATGTCCCATCAATATTTGAATTTTCGCCATCCCCAGAGAGAGAAAAGAATAGTTATAAAAAGGGGGATTTCGAAGAAAGGCAAAAGGCAGGACCATTTCAACAAATTCTGTTAACTTGTATGCGTTGCAATATCACTTTGCAGTTGTTAGCATAAACATTTAATGTGTCTTTCGTCTAGACCTATCACACTTTAAAAGAAGCCGCCTATATAGGCTATACCCATTTTCACTAGAACCATAACACTGTAAAATATTTGATAGAAATTACCCCCAAGGCATCATATCTTCCATTTGAAAGGGCTGTGGAGGCAGATACCTTTTTTACTGTAAATTATGGAATGTTACTTCCAGGATATGTTATTCTTGCTTATAGATATCTTTATGTTAGTGACTCCAACTGACCCATGCATGCCACACTGAAAATTCTCTTGTGTACCCATAAAATAAGGCTGTTGGAGCCTTCAGACCTTGAAGACAGTGGAATCTGAGCACGATGGATTCATGTGAAACACGTAATATGTATTTAGAGGCAAAAATATCCCATCCTGAGCAGCACCGATCCACAACCTCCTGCCTATGGAATCAAAACATTAGACAAATTGGTGTAGGGCCTACTGTGCGCATTCACAAATCTTTGCGAATCAAGTGTGCCTTTTGACTAAAGAAAATTTAGCATTGAAATGGTCAATCTCAATATCAACCTAGTATCTGCATATAAAACCAAATATATATTTGGTACCATGAATACCATTTGCAAATTAGCTTGGGTTACACCACTCTCAAATAAAAGTTTAGACTCTTAAGTCATATCTCATAATATTCTTTAAACAAAAGGTTGCGGCTAGCCGGCTACCCATCAGAATTTCCTTTCAGATCACAAAGTCGCAATATTACGCTTCGCTAAGTTTCATTGGCAACTGTATCTGGTTGTAGTATCGGTGTCCAACTTTAGACTGAAACCTTCACTACCAGACCCACCGAAACATTTTTTTTTGATAGGGTCGATTGAAGTTGCTTTCGTTAAAGCACAATGAACACTTTATCTCCACCAATCCAGAGTAATCACAATTACTTTGTCATTACGATAAGCATCGATAAATGGATACTGAGGATGTATTATCAAGTCACGCAAGCTGATTTCTTGTGCCACTGTGGTCTTGTTGCAACTTATACTTTGCCATCCATCTATTCCATGGTCGCACCCATATTTGTAAGATAATGAATACAGATAGAGTTTTCATAAAATCTAACGAACAAGTAGTGCAAAATTTAGGTCCATATCCCACCACAGCCACTAGTCGTAAATGAGTTTGATTCCGGGTAGCATATCCTTTTTACCAATGACAATAAAAAGACATTTGGATCAGTTGTACAAGCACCATTAGGATAGAATTTATCTGATCTGGGAGGGGGGAGGCCTACGCCTAGGCCTACCAATACCAGTAGTTTGTCATCTGCTTTCCATTAAAATGAAGGAGTTTATAAATATACTTAAGGAAAATTGATAACGGCACATTATCACTCACTATCAACGAAATCTGGAAGACTTGTCCGCAAACAGTGAAACACAAGCGAGATGACTTCTGGACTTGACACCAAGCAGTCCTGCCGATAGATGATATGCACATTGCGCGACGTTCCGGATCTTTTGAAATCAGTGGAATATAACTGAAGATCCATTTCGAACAATACGAAATAACCATTTTCAACAGCCAGACAAAACGGAAACGTATAATCCGACTTGCAACTGACAGGAGCCAAATGGACGTTTTTGATTTTTAGCCGTCCAGTAAACAAAGTCACGTGACCCGTGCAAGTCCCCCTATGCCTATAATACAGTAACATTTGCCATATCTGGGCTTCCGAGAGACTAAGTTGCTCTTTACTCCCACTTTAGTTCGCATGTCTTCAGCTGATGTTTTGATTGCAGTTTTTTTGGCTTGGCTTATCCGCATTAATCGTGTTAAATGCAGTCATATTTTGAATCTCTCTCAGGTTAGTATCAAAATTGATATAACTTCAAATACTATTCGTGGTTTTATTTCTCGAACTATTCAGGGTTATCTAAAATTGGAACAAGTTGTCAGGTGTGCTAAGGGGTTTCAATTGGAACAGCGTAAACAAAATCGTCATGGTTTTCCCCCGACCTTTCTTGGGCTTTTCTGTATGTTTATTGTTTCAGTTTTGATTGACAATTTTAATATTCCTATTCTTTGATTCTACAGTTACCGGTACCGGTATCTATTGACATTGTGAAACTGCACCCTGATATAATGGCTACCGTACCGTACTTAAAAACAAAAAACTCCAAACCACACCATTCAGCAATACCATGATACCCATACAGGAATAATACCGGGGCGGTGTGGCTCAACGGGATAAGCATTGGGAATACGCTCGCCACCACACCTCTAATTACTCTGCGTGGGTTCGCAGGTTCGAATCCCATGCAGGGATGGTTATGTGCGAGAGGATTGCTGGACTCCTCGCCGCCGTTGGGTGGTTCACGTACCTGCTGGTCGGTTACGGCTTCCTCCACCACCAAGTCCATGCTTCCGAAAACAAACAATAGCCTATAACTTATCCCATACCCGACTTGAAATGGTAACCGGACGAGAGGCCATGGTTCGCCATCGACTTTCCTCTCCCCCGGGATAAATATGTAAATCCTATCCTAACGTCAGAACGTACCGGTACCCGTACTGTACCGTGAAAAGCACAAATGACGCACAGAGTGGAGCTTTCTGGGGGGAAAAAGGTGATATTTGTACATAATCCGAGTAATCTCCTCCAGCACTCAGTCACTGTCTGAATTTAGCAATTGCCTGACATTAAATCGCTCTTCTTTGCTTTTTGGTTGCGTTTGCTTCTCATTCCACCTTCTGACCTTTATGTATTGGGGTCGTTTTTCTCATTTTTATTTCACTTACCTGAATTCATGGGATTGGGATAACACTGATAAATAATAAGAAATTTATATTTCCATTCTTTCAAGTCATTTAAATTAAGGCATTATGCTGTATTAGATCAAAAACTGTTCAAAAGGTATAACAGCTCGAAAGTGCAATACGTTCGCATATTTTTGTTTGTTTATTTCTGGCCCAAGCCTTCAACTAGGTTTGAGTTTTTCGTAATTTTTATGTGTGTGTTGGTGAGCGAGCACATGATATTTTTCATGTTTAAAACTTGAAGGTTCTGCTTGCTCCTCAGAATTCTCAATTTGTGTTCAATATGGAGTTTTCGAAATAAACTGTATATCTAAATATCGCATATTTATACCTTATCCAATGTACAAATGTCAGAATGTGTGAACACTCAATGAACTTTATCTTTGCACCTCAAATTGTCGTCGCTTGTGTTAAAGATATTGGAATATTAGCTTTTAAAAATAACATATTTTTGTTTTATATGTGACGAATGAATTTTTTTTGGCCCGCAGTACAGCACACTATCCAAATTCCAATGATTTTCCCCCCATTTGGCTCAATAAAACAAACATTTATATGTGTCTCACAAACGAGGGGCGTCTGGAACCACGTCAGATGCTTCATATCGCGCCATGCTTGTCTCAATAATAATCTAAATTAATCGCGGCCGTCAGATGACCAAATTTGATGTTTTTGCTAAAAACTCTTGAATGCTACGGGAAATTTTTTTTTCCTTTGGTAAATCAGATTATTTTTTCCCAAGGAATTCAATGATGACGTTACTAGATCGGCATTTTTGTAGTATTTTGTGCAATTTAATTATACTGTATTATTGCCGATATTGAGGGACAACAATGTCCAGACGTCTCCAAAAGGAGGGGTGTACTTAAATGATGTAATTAAAGTAAGCAATTCCTATAATTTACCTAATTTCGGACATGTTCAGGGAGTTGAGCAACAGATTTATCCAAATTTTAAAATATACTGCTATGAAGACTTCTTTAAAAAAATCCATTTAGTTATTGAATATTTGTTTACAGGAAATAATCCTGGTCTTGAACTACTGGATGATTCTCCAGTCGGTGATGGCGATGATGAACGTTCTATCGATATGTCGGGTGCATTGTCACAGATTGCACTCCAGCATTCCCACAGTCCCAATTCTGGTCCACAGGGAAGCATATCTTTGCAAAACCAAGCGCATTTATTCGGAGATGAAGATGATTTATTTGTTTGTGGTCGTTGCAAACAACAATTTACCGATTTACAGGTAACTTCAACTGATCAATATTTTTACTGATTTGAACGAGAGGCTGTGGTTTGGCATATGATTAAGCTATCTTATTGGCTCTCCTCTCTCCCAGGATAAATATGTAAATCCTATCCTGTCCTAAACACCATGGAGTATCTGTCAAATTAAAAACATGTCATGTAGTAATCTTTCGATTGTGAATGTGATTAAAATACATTTATCACAGAGATTGTGCTTATGGCATATGTTAGTCCTCTAAATGGTGATTTTCAAATTTCTAGTATGGGTTAATTTGATGTTTACATTAATTGCAAACAGCTGAAAAATCTAATTTTTTGAATTATTTTCATGCTGGTTATCAACCTGTTTATACATCAATCTTCTTGAAGTAATTCTACCTACAAGTTAATTCAAATTTCAGTGTCAGTGAATCAACTATTTGATGTTTCAATGCCTTCTCTGCCATAAATCTTTTTTGAACCTTCAGATTTTTTTGCTCCACAAACGTGAGGAGTGCATCACCAGACAACGAACCATACAAAATCAGGAAGAAGCCCTACCCATGATGCAACTTCAACAAATAACTAATGATCAGTTACAGCAAAATCATCATATTGACGCTTTACCTGGGACTGTACTCATTGCAGACAGCCAAGGTTTGATGTCAAGAGGTAACAACTGAATTTGCTGTGCCAAACTGTGTGAAATCAAAATAACTTGAAATTTGTTTTCTGGTATAATTCAGGACAGCAAGCAATCATGATAAATGCATCACAATATTCAAATCAAACAATGGAAAATACAGCCGGTTTGAACCTAACACAGGATTCCAGAAAAGATAGGGATTTGTCATCAACTGCAATCAGGTTTTGTTTGACTTGTTTGGTTAATTCGATTCAATGACAACACTTGGTATTTTAATTCCCATTTGCAGAATTTTTTTAATTTTAAGAAGCAAACTGTCCCCAGTATTCATTCCCTTCAAATATTTAATGCTAGTATCTTGATATCCATATTCTGTAGGATTCAAACAAATGATGTCTATTCATTAAGCAAATTTGATATTGTTGCGTATTTTTTAATCGTTACAAAAATGTCATTGCTTTTAAAACTTCATTTCGGGTGAGGGTAAAAAAGTTGATGCAAAGTAAGAATTCATATATATTAATAGAATGGCTACCAGTTATCATCTAAATAGTTGTTTTATTTCATAGAAATACAATGGAAAACATGAATCTATTATCAACAACTCCACAAAATCATATCTCGTTAAACCAAGTTGGAAATCTGGTCCAGTATCCTGGGAACACAGCAGATATATTACAAGATAATATGAATTATTCAACAAGACCTGGAGATGATTCTGTTATATCTGAAGATATATTGATCAGTTCAACATCAGCACAGACAGATTTTGGTGCGGAGTGCCAAATGCAACAGAATGAAGGTACTGTCAATTTTTTGTGGTCCAGGACAAAGGTCTGACCGGTGAAACACCTCTTAGGAGTATCAGTACCTCTTGGTGTTTGCTTCCCTGAGCCCATTTTGTATGATAATTTTCAAAAATTTACCACCTTAAGCTATTAAACTTCACTCGTGGCTCCTTAGTTTCTTCAGCGAGATTGAAGAGATTTTATCAAGCGATCAAGCCATTTTATCCATTTATTCCAGCCAACAGTCGAAAATATTCAAGATATTTCGCTATTCTGTGATTGCTAATTTTTTTACTATATTATCAGGAGGTTGCAAATTCAGATGACTGTTTTGATGTCATTACTCCCTTATTACTGCACACCAGATTTTAAAATGCAACTTGACTAGCCCTTGGAGGGGAGTATCACTATTATAAGGACCCACCAATACCCATTTTAGTTATATACACCAGTGTTGTCTGGGTTATGACACAACAGCTGCTCCAGATTGATGCTATTTATATAGCTCACTGGCACTATTTTTTGATGATGCTGTAACCCCTTTTTCTAACATACATGGCCCTTGTATATGTCACATCTTGTAAGATCCAATATCTATTCTTATTAACCTCAAGTTATACATAATACAACGACTTTATGGTTTTAAATTTGAATTTCATATTGCTTGATCCGTTTGATACATAAAATGTTACCTTCACATTCTTCCTTCAAATTTTTTAGTGAACCAACAGCAACTAGGATCTCTAGGAATTGGAATGGTCACCAATACCAGTATTACATCTCTCATGCAGCAACTTCCATCACTGCAGAATCCAACTATTCATCAGCAGAACAATTTCACTAATAATCAGCAACAGCAGCAACAAGTTTATATTCACATCTCACCACAGACCCAACTCGACACCCAAAAAACATACACTTTACAACCAAGGGATCTAATTAATGTTTGTATTTAATATTTTTATTATGATTGTTTGATTTAGAAAAGTTTCGAAATAATGAGATAGCACAGCGGACAATTGACTATATCAGTTAAGAGAACGAAAAGATTCTGAAGTGATCGTATGCAACGGAGAAATTTGCATACATCATTAGATATTCTAAAATCTAATTGAAGCAGCTTTGTTTTTGGTATTCTATTGTATACAATAGATAGAAAAATGAATCTGAATTCTATTTTTGCCTGACTTTCAGTATCGGTCGGTATTTGCGTATAATGACATTGGCAATTCCTCAATGAAGGAAATTTAGATATCTGTCTGAACCCATGACTTTATCATATGGAAATTGGAAAATAATGATATGTATTCAAATATCTGATTTGTTTTGGATTTCTCTTGTTTGTTTCAACTCATTCAAGTTAAGGTAGTACCTTTTTGGAGTTTAAAAATTGGCATTTTTAATAATTTGGCATGAATCTTGTAAAAGAAAATAAAAGTTTATGAACTGAGATTCTGACTTTTTATCTTAAAATAGAGTAGTGGCAGCTTTAATAGAAATAGCCTGTCATAATACTATCATTCAATTTAGCCACCAATTTGAAGTCAAGTACATCAGATCAAAAAGATTCTTTGTTTTGGTGAATTTTGAGTTTTTGCTCGCAATTTTAGCTTATGACACATATCGGTTTAAGAGTCAACTTTATCTTTTTGAAAAATTGATCTCTATCACATCAGCTTGTTTATTTATTTTTTTATTTCAGACGAATTCTGCTCTAGGATTGAATTTATCAGCCTTGAATTTAGCCCCATATACAGTTGCAACCACAAATGGAAATTTCACAACCATACAACAAGATATTCAACCACAGAATTCTTTGGTAAGATTTTCACCTGTGCTAAAAATAATGCATGTTGACTGTAGATTTTCCGCAGCTTTTTCTAACATTTTAACAGGGGTATTCCATTAAAAATGTTCTATTTCCATTTCATCTTTCAAAGTTCTAACTGAGGCCAGTCTGATTCGTTCTTAAATCTTGGCCAATTGCTGACTTTAGAAATAAATATAAATCTTGAAACATTAATTTTAAATCTTGAACTCAGATGGTATTACAGTAGTTCATTCAGTGAAATCATGATTTATGCACATACGCCATACAATACACTATTATATTTTAATTAGGCCATTTCCCATCAATTATGGCCTTATCACATTATTTCACTCATAGTTCCCTATGTTGAATGATTCTATTTGTTTCATGCAATAAAATTTCTTTCCATTTTTTCACCAGAATCTTACTAAACATACTCCCATACTTGCTCGCCCTGAAAATATGACAACAATACCTCAGCAACAAACTATTACTGGTTCTAGTATTGCCATAAATGAAGAAGTATCCAATGTTCAGAGGTATTATATCCTTAAATTATCTCTAGTCCATGATTTTTTTAAGATATCAATCAAATTTGGTTATGTCCTGTAACAGTGGGCCCAAAATCGAAATGGATGTTATTTTTATAATGTATTGATATTGTTTTAATGTTGTAATCCGAAATATGTTTTCATGTAGTACAACTCTTAAAACTATTTGCTCTATTTTTATTTCAATTATATTTTTGTCAAATTATAATAAGAAAAATAGTTATGATTTTAGTGAAAAAATATCAAATCTACTTTACTTCAAATTGAATTATGTTTAATCATAAGAGTTGATTGACTATTGAATTTTAATTAATTTCAGCACACCAGGGCCTGACTCGACATCTGAGGTGAAATCGAAAAAGAAAACAACACTAAAATTTACATGCCATTTCTGTTCAAAGGGATTTTCAAGAGGATTTGATTTGGAGCAACATGTCAGAAGCCACACTGGTATGCTTGAGTTATAATGCTTATAGTATTTATCTGTTGCTGTTGGAATCCAGAGACATGGTTTTTAGTGTTGTTTTGAATTTTCATGTGTTGTTTTATATGCAAATATTCAGATATTTAGAATTATAAGATTGGAATGACCTGTGTGTTCTGTTACCTTACGTAGTTTATGAAACCTTGGGTATGATACACTAATGTAGTTGAAGTCTTAAGAAAAGGATTGAGCTGGCCCGTACCCTAACCTGATATATCCAACTTATAATACTAACAGCATCAGGCTATCACACACTATACATTTCTGATATATGATCTAGCTGCTTTAGCGTTAATTGTGATGTTATTTCAAAAAGTCAATTTTTTCATAACAATTTGAATAAATGAATGATTGTATAAAATTTGAGTGAACTTCGAAAAGTGATAACACAGAAGCATTTTCCTAATATGTTTATAACTTTTACCGAATATATTAATAGATCAGAGAATAATCCGAATAATCAAAGTAAATGGGAATTACCTTTCACATTCAACAGGTGAAAAACCATTTCAATGCATTGTATGTGGAAGAGCATTCGCACAGAAATCTAATGTTAAAAAACATATGTCAACCCATAAAGTATGGCCGAAGAAAGCACTCGATTTTTTACCCAGTCTTATTCTATTGGATGAAGGCAAAGGTCTGAGTATTAGTATTGATGTTAGATGTTAACAAGCATGTTTTAAGCGTGGATAAGCAGTTCTGAATACTGTGGTATATCTTTGATAATTCTACCTATACCATTAGCATCGATTTATTTTAAATGAAATTTGATATCACTGGTAATGAAATACATAACAAGATACGGCGCTCCAGAAGTGTTTGTAGTGTGTACCAATATGGAGGTAACTAATTTTGTTTGCCTACTTTACATAGAGTTGTGTAAAGAGACTGAAACCTATGGACAGGGGGGATATTTGATTGTCTAACACAGACAGTCCCCGAACTCGTAATAGAACTAAAATAAGGAAAATTGGAATAAAATTATGGCCTAACCCTAACCTGGTACACACACTACTGGAGTACCAAAAATACCATGTTATAACTGACATAAAATTTTTAAAGGTTATTGTAAGATTCTTTAGAACAAGTTGAGTTTCCTTGAAGAAGAAATTATCGAAATGGTATAATGGTATTCCCCAATTACTAATGAAGGGATAGGAGAAAAAAACAAAACAGTGCAAATTCATCAGAATCCAATGATAACTTTTTTCAATAATTAGATGTTGCAAATTCTAAAGACAAAGAAGATAATGCCAATGATCCGATTTCAAATAGGCAAAGTAGTGAGTCTCGGAGCAACTCGTTTTCTTTTGTTTCAACGACAGTGCACTCATGTCCATATTGTGACCAAGTATTGGGTTCATTTAAGGAAAGAAAGTCTCATATGCTGAGGCATAAAGATAAACAGGTATTATGATTGATCATGGAATAATTTCGAAGTGAATAATTTACATTGTTGTGATAAAATGGTTGGTATTGCAAACATTTTATAAAAAATTATATTTTAATTTGTCATTCCGTGATACAGACTGATAGAGCATAGTATACATTGTTGCAATTTGAGATACAGTTAGAAAAATAAATTCGGATGAAAGCCATTATTTTTATTTCTACATATCAAAATTTCATCTCTTGTCTATGTGATATGGCCTTGCTATTGCACCTCTGATTACCCAAAGGGTCCCCGAATTGGCCTTGCCTATTCTCATACTCGACATGGATAGTAATCGGACTAGAGGCAGGGGAATTCCTACCCCTGAATGTTGCATATTTTGCTATTTCAAGATCTCAGATCATACCATTTGACCTTCCTTTATTGGCTGAATATCATTTATTGATAACAAATTAAGTATTATTGTCATTCTAGTAAATTTTTCTCTGCATAACCCTGGTTATAAATCTTTAATGCATATCTTTATAGTAAAGTGCACTTTCCTACTTTTCTAGTCAAAAACAATTATACCCTATTTTTCATGTATCATCTGTACTTGAAATGATAATAACAGGATGTGAAACCAATTATCATTTTACCGAAAAATTATTTTCAGGTTTATAAATGTGTTAAAGAAGGATGTGAGCAAACATTTCAAGATTTAGATGATTATGTAGAACATGTCAAGGTTACATTTTATTATTTTATTTTTAAATAATGTTTTGTTTCATGTACTATAATTGTATGTAATATAATGTATGTATATAATGTAATATAATTGTTTAAAATGTATTTATCTTTTGAATTATAAATGTATTCAATAATCAGATTCTTTTTAGCATGCTTTTAAATCATGCAAAATAGTATAGTATGTTTCAAGAATTCCTGATGAAAAAAAATTAAAGAGTTTAGATAGTTTATGGAATTATTTTCGGTCACAAAAATATTTTGGCTTTTTCTCCAAAAATACCAGGTTATGAATATAAGCAATGAGGAATTATAAGGAAAAATTACCCTTTTCTTTATAGCCATGGCATATATTGAAATTTTAAGCAAATTCAGGCCTTGAACTTTTCATGTTCTTTCACCGGTATGGTTAGACCCTCCCTATTCCACAGTTTTTGAATTCTTTGGGTACTCTTTTGAAAGCTATAATTTACTTTGTAGTTTAATTTTATTTATGATTGTCTATTAGTAAGTACTGTATTTTGAGGGCTGGTATTTTGAGTATAGGCAATAAAGCATACAGCGCTACCTGCCCTGGCTTATTATGCGTACAATTGATTTTTGAGAAAAAAAGAATTTAAAGCGTGCCTTATGTTCCTAAAGTATGATAATATTATTCATTATTTATTCATTGTTGTTCAGGTCCATGAAGGTTCAATGACATACAGATGTCATCACTGCCATCATATATTTGATACTTTACATAATCTTGGTGTTCATCAGTATCAAGCACATTTAAATGATAAATCAAAAGCAGCTAAGTAAGCCAATTTATTCATTTGGATTTGGTGGTGATTTTTTTTATTATGCAAGCAAGATTATGTTAATATAAATATTGATTTATTGATTAGATGTGGCACATCTATGGTATGTCACTGTCATTTATATTAGAAAATTTGGTACTCCCAAAGTATGTGAACCAAGATGGCAGACACCAGAACTTAGTTCGTTCAGGTACAAATACTACGGGAGTCACTTAGCTAGTCCCTGAAATCGTAATAGAACTAAAATAAGGAAAATTGGAATAAAGTTATGGCCTAACCCTAACCTGGTACACATACTACGTTCCGGGGTCCGCCATCTTGGTTCACATACTTCAGGAGTTCTGAAAATTTGCTATAACAACCTGATGACATATTATCAAATATGACAGTTATTTTAACATTACAGATACCCGCGATTATATTCATGTACATTATGTCCTGGTAAATTCTCTCATCCTGAATTGTTACATAAGCATTCAATGACAGAATCTCATAATCATCCATGTTCCTTCTGTCCAAAAAGATTTTCATGTGACAGATATTTAAGAAAACATATTGCTGCTGCTCATTCAAACAAGCCACAGAAGAAAGTAAAGTAAGTGTGTAGCCAATAGTAAGGGTATTATTGTAAATGTCTCTTGTTAGAAATGATTACCTATATGTGAATAATTTGTTTTTTTATTTCGTTTTTCATATTTAATTTTCGATTTTGATACTTTATAACAAAGAACGAGTTAACATTGTTATTTTGACTGGTGCTTGGGAGCCAGAGCATTGAGCCGTAGCAATGCTGGAGCTGGAAACAGCTTACCATCTTAGATAGACGTAGAGCCAGAGTCTCCAGAAACTTCAGTAGCTCCAGCCTTTAACCATCCAATTATTTTTGTGCATTTATAACTTTCCAATGCTCAATTCAAACAATGAAATCTATTCATTTCAGCGTATGCTTTTTTAATTTATTTTCTAACATTAATATTAAAGTTTACAGTTAATTTTAAAATTTTCATATAATCACATCATAGTTTGGAGTCCCAACTTTGTGCAACTGCATTTGAACTGATGTTTCCAGCTTCCACGCACTGCTTTTGACAATGCTTTTTGCCATATTTGTATTTTCAGGTGTGATATATGTGGTGTTAAAGTACGAAGCATATACTACATGAGATCTCATATGATGATTCACACTAAAGAAAAACCATTCAAATGTTCTATGTGCCAGTCTTCATTCAATCGGAAAGACAAATTAAAACGACATATGGTTATACATGATCCTGTCAAAAAATACAAGGTCTACTTGTACTACAACTCATTTCTACTGTTTTTTGTAATTCAGATTTCAAAAGTTTTAAACTTAATTTAACTAATTCAAGAATTCAGCTTTAAAAAAGTATAAGATTATGGTAATATATTCAAATGCTGCGAACTAGCCGACATCTCAAGATATCAGAACTGAACGCTTCTGTTTTATAGTTTAAACATTTATCACATCCATTTTTTGCTGGATTATGACATTATAGATCTCACACAGATGTCACATAACATAACGTTTCATGTAATTTGATTGTAACAATATTATAACAAATCAAGTTGCAATTGGAAATTCATTACGTATATATATTGGCAGATAAAGTTTTAAGCTTCATGCTTTTATGTAAATATCACTACTCGTCGTGGATCTTGACTATCATAAATATCATATTTTGTAATGTCCTGCATTTATTTTAGTGTCCTCTTCGATCAGTATTAGGATGTACAAAGGAATTCAGTCGTCCTGATAAGTTGAAAGCTCACATAATTTGTCACAATGGTGCCAGGCCACATAAATGTTCATTCTGTCCGAAGACATACACAAGAAGATGTTTTAAGGTAACATTTTTATATGAATATATTATATTATTGGCTTTCCTCCCCGGATGAATATGTAAATACAATTCTATTGCAGGTTGCACATGAGCGAACTCATAGTGAAGAATTCCAGTGTCAGGCATGCAAGAAAGGTTTTACCGACAATCTTCGTCTTCATTTACATAAGTGTAAACCTGTATCAGAGAACGATGCCAACTCAGCCATTGCATCCAAAAATGTAAAACGACGAACAAGACCCTTAGGATTGAGAAAACCTATCAAAACCTATGGAAATGAAAGCCATTTGGAAACTGAACCAAACTTAGTAGGACCTATGTATGCTATACGTAGTGGATCCAAAAGGAATTTTCGCAAAAAATCCCAGAAAACGGCTCAGGATTCTGGCGATCTATCCACTTCTAGTACAAGAACTGATAAAATAAATGTAGAAATTGAACTTCCGGAACAAGACGAAGCAACTTCCGGTGATGAATCTGAGGTCGAAATTGATGTTGAAGCTGATGATATTGATTGTGTTATTTAAAGCATTTTTTCCCTATATGATTTACAACGTTGCAATATTTGATATCTTTAATAAAGTTATTGCTTTTCACGCTTCGTATTGTTAGCTTTCAAATCATCTTCTATTTTTATCATATAAATTCCATTAATCCTTTAAAATCTGGGCGGAATCATTTAGCGATATTTCATAATCGGCATTGAGGATCATATGCGTCACGAGTTAATCACGGTTAAATAATCCGAGTATGTTTTGATCACGAATGATTTAAAAATGAGTATGATATTCTTGTATATTGTTACAGTAAGTAAGATACTTGAATGAGGTCGTGCCATCCGCAATCTGTTTCAAATATTAATCAATCTCTAATAATTCGTCTCTATTTCCCATGTGTGTAGCCGTCTCATTTGTTTGTATATATGTTTCATATACTTGCAACCACAACAAAAAACGAAATTAAACCCTTTCAATTTTCATCATGGTCATAGCGACATTTCAGTATTATGACCGGGTGAAACCCGATATATATACGCAGCTACATCTCTGTTGAGTCCGGCGCTAAGTTAATTCTATCATAAACTGAATAATGAAATATAAACAGCTTTGTCAATTGTATTTTTCGGCGGATCAATTATAGTCTTCATTCTTGCCGATAAAGAGAAATAATCGTTTCAAATGGCTTAGTCGACATTTTGAAAAATCCCCAACAATAACATAACAGTTTCAACATAACAACGGGGTCTTCAATTATCTGAATCTATTTCGTTCACACGAATCCTTTTTAAAATTACCAAACTTTTGTTTTCACTTGAAGTAAATACCCGTGTATCGGACGCCGAATAATTTACAGATAAACAAGTACAATTATTCACTCTCTTACATTTTGAAAACAAGCATTCAAAAAAGGCTACGCAGCAAATCCCGTTGTTTACGACATTAAACCACTGAGCAGAAAAAAAAAACGATTGCGTAGATTTTTCTCTCACGGTTGTTTTTTTATATCTAATTATTCACGGTAACTCCGACTGATTTTCACTCAATCACGCTGTGGTCTTATCCGTCAAGAAGGCGGGAAAACAACTGATCGTGCTCCAGAGTCGTTTCACGCAACACCCTTTATTCTAAAACTCAAAGACCCTTCAATAAAGGCCAGTCATGAAAGACCAGGGCAATACCGCAGAGAATAGAGGATGTCGTATAGTTTTGCGGTTGCAATCATAGATCTTGCGGATGCTACCATAGGTTTTGTGGATGCTACCTTGTGTTTTGCTGGGGCTATCATAGGTTTTGCGAATTGATCCGCTTCAGAACCCCGACGTTATTCTACTTATACTGTATGCAGGTTGACTGTGATTAGTACATTTATTGTAATATGAAGCCAAAATAGCTTCACTACATATTCACATACCAAAGATTCATGATTCGAACTGGAATAATGTCTGTTGGCTAAACCATGCAATTAAATAAATACCAAAATAGGAGGTGCCGTTTCCATTCATCAAGTGTATAAAATATGGGTATGTTCATACTAGACCGGTCCTCTGTATCCTGTAGCTGAGTGAAATCGAAACTGGGTCAAGATCATATCTATTTTAAATGAGAATAAGCAAATCATGTTATTGTTATATATATATATTTTCTTCCTATATTAATACGAAATCAGCAGCTTTTAGTATGCAACAACACTGGATTTTCTGTTCGTCTACCAAGAGTTGTTTACAGATGGTGGACGAAAGCCTGTAGTGTAGATCTCTTTTATAAAGCAATTGGCCAGGCCAATAATAAGAATAAAACAGAGATCCTTTGTATTAATTAACGGGCCAGAGATATACTATCCTTCTCGGCCCATAATCAATATGCAAAGGACACTGTTAAAATACTGGGAATTTATTTTGGTAAAAACCAGGTCAATACGACTTGGAATGAAAAAATATATACTTACCATCAATAAAAGAATTATTAATAAACATCGAAAGTTATTAGTTTTATCTATTGTCAAACCAGAAATCAGGCGCAAATATACGTTTTATAAACTGCAAAAATCATTTCACCAATGAAGCGAAATTTATATAGTATCAGACATATGAATGTACATGTTTGTTGTGATTTTCTTTTAAATAAGGTGGCATGACGATACTCCAATCCACAGGCAAGACGAAATTCTGACGACGTATTAAAGTAGATTGCGGGAATCAATGAGAACTGTCTGTGTGCGGTATCGTTATAAAGCAATATTTTTTTCTCGTATTGCGTCAAGAAATATTTTTGTGAGGACTATTGTACGGGAAATATTTTTTCATTGAAAATATTGCTGCTGTTTGCGAATAGCTTAAGTGTGCGAGACAAACGGATAAAACAGTTAGTGTTAGTGATCCAGATGCATTAATAGCGTGGCACGAGACTCACTACCAAGTGTTCACTGGAGTACTTGAATTAATCGCACCGAAATTTGCTTTGTACGTATATGGAAACATGTGTCTCAACATTTTCAAAAAATAAATTATGCTATTTTCGGTAGGCGTTTCGCTGTGCATCGGCGCTAGGGATAGGTTTTCGATTAGAAAACTCATAGCGGTAAATGTCAGGCAAGAATCTTGTTCCAGTTTCTACTCGCGAGCATGTGGCGGGCTTGACGCAGAGAAGCAGATGTCGCAAATTTGATTCCATCACACACAAAACTAGAATTCCAACACCCGTATACTAACTTATCTTTTAAAACATTTTGGACCAGATTAAAAATGTTGAATTTATCCGTCTTCATTCGGCCGATACAAATATCGATACCAAAAAAGTGACATTTATTGCCGATACCGATACGTCTCTAAATTGAATCAAGCTTATTTTAGGTGGTTTAATTCGTCCGCAAAGTTAAAAATCTGAGTCTGAAATCTGATCTGAATTTTAAAGTCTGAGCAGTCAATCCGGAATATTAGTCAGTGAAACGTTTTATAAAAAAGTGTGGTATCAATATTCTGATAAGACTCGATACAAACGCGATTTCTGTGAAAAGTCCACGCGTTTAGGATATATCGCTTCATTTTATGGCCTTCTTTTCATTTGACATAGCCGACCGGTTCACTGTGAGATAACTTTAATGAGTTTCGCCGGTGTCGCCCATCATGATGGCCGGAGACACTATGACCGTCAGCTGCGGCCGACCTCGACTGTACGGATATCCTTCACTTCGTGAACTGTATTTCTGATAGTGCTTCACTGTGACTTCATTCCTTGTTCTGTGCGACAAAGTAGTGTAGGGCTTTCTCATAAACAAATGGTTATTGTCGGGCGGATTTTCCTTGACGCTGGCGTAGTCTAGTCTAGTGATTACTTCAACCGAGATAAAGAAAAGTTCTTCTAGACTTACCCTGCGGGTTTAAATCCCGCCCATTATACCACGGACACTATCCAGTGCTTCTTTTCTACGACTGTCAAAGGAATCCATTAACTCGACTAACTATATTTCCGAACCCTATAAGACGCGATGCCAATTTAGGATTGGCTTACGCAATAATAAAATTCAAATGTTAGATGTTTCAAATAATAAAATTTAAGTATCTCAATTAAATAACAAACGTCAGTTTTGTAGCACTGGCCGGGATTTTATCTGTGGAAATAAATGTAACCGATTAGAATTTTTAAAATTCAAATCAGTAGTCACCTTGAGGATTAACGCCGTAGCAGCGTTCTTATCACTCGTGAAATCTATTGCTAGGTGTTGCCATTTAAAATAACGTTGGTAAACTTTTCTATGTTGTAATTTGATCGTCAGCTGCCTGCAGGTATGAAGGTGTCGGTAAAATTGAAACCACGAATAAATCTAAAATTAGACTTGAATTATTTTCTGAGTTAAAGCTAGAAAATTATTTAAGGTGTACTTCATATTGGTTTGTCGTGATTGGGCACTTTGAAAGAATAAATAACTGTAGTGAGTTCACCATATTCGTGATAGCAATTTAATTAGTGTACAGGAAAAAGTTTATGCCGATAATTTTATACGTTTAGATTGGAACAGTCGTTGTTCGGGACATGAGAATTTTTATATGGTATAATAGAGCAATACCACGAAACCCTTATATCTTAGGTTTGGATGAGGCTATGATTACTATGCAGTTGGTACAAGTTGTATCGAAACTTAAAGACGGCATGAACTAAGAAAAGTTTCCTAGGAATACCCTCTAGAAACTCGCTACACGACAGCTTGGCTTCTTTCTGATAGCGCTTGGTCGAATGTTCCAGTCGTCAAACCTCGACACTCTGTTCCTACGTATCATGAAAGTTCTGTTCGTTTTTAGAATAAATATATGACAATGAGTACTATCGATACTATTTTGCCGGTACTGAATATTTTGCTACTATGTTTTGCGAGTGGATACTCCGTTTTTGAGTTTGAATTTGATGAGGAGAACAAAGTTTACGCGTTGGCACAAAGCAGTATGGGTATGACTATAAACTTTCCTAATCTACATTAGCAACCACTTTACATAATTGAGTCGAGCGGCGTGGTTAATTACATAAACTATAATTAAAATAATTTCTTCAATTTGTCAGTGCAAAGGATGTGGTACCAATTGGCGTTTTCACATTATCTCATAGCGAGATTTCTCAATAGGAAGAATCATTTTTAAATGCTTGCTCCCTGGATAAGTAAGTAAGCATTAAAAGTATGGTACACGATTGGACAATTAAACTATGTGAGAACTTTGGGGTTTATACATGTACTCGTTTGCTGCTCAGGACTATCACACAAAATTTTGGGTTGCTATACTCTATTTAGTCAAAATAAGTAATCTCGTGTTGCTGCAAAATGCATTGGGCAGTATTAGCATCATGTGTTCGAATTATTGTGAGATGCTATTCGGTTTTTGCACCGGAAACAATTTTCTTATATTATAAGTTGATTCAATTAATTTAAAACATTTGCTGTCATGGATTTTAGGTCATTGTGGTTTTGACATATCTAAAGTTGATGCCTATTGCTATTGGAATGTAAAGACGGAAACATGGAAATGTGCTTATACATGCAAACCTGGATATTTTGTTTTGGTTATAGATGACAATACTTATCCTTTTATTGTAGAAGATTGTAAGTGAGTATGTTATCTGTGAGTAAAATTACTTAATACGACATTGAATGTTGAGGCCGTCTATGACGGTAAGAAGATCATAATAAATATTTAAAAGGTCTTTTCTACCCGCAATACACGTGTTTCATTGATGTGGAGACTAGTAAGGCTTCCTTTTTCACGTTTAAGTGCTTCTGAAGTCAAGTTTAAAAACTCAACTAAGTTGAAGAAAAACTCCAAAAAATGAAATTACATAGTTTGTTATATTTTGGACTCTTAATGTACCTAAAGGTTGATATTTAGTTGTGAGATAATCCTTTTTCTCTACAACTAACTAATGGACCAATCGATTTCAGTGCTTAAAAATGGATGAAGCCGCTGGAAAGCTATTACTTTTAAATTTTGCATAAATATTACTATACGTGGCGCTGCGTTAAGCTTGTCTGTCGATCTTTTTGCAAAACTCGTTGCCCAACTAAGTAAGTGTCGATCAGTATCTGTATATTTGAACGTTGTTGTATTGTTGTGAAAAAATTATGCATTTCAATCGTTATTTTTCGGAACAACAAATTTTTCGCCCCCATCAAATTAAAAAATGAATTCCTGCTCATGCTGGCAAGTTTAATTTCCAGTTCGTACATTTATATTTTATTTTGGTGCTATTGAAAGCGATTGTGTCATTCCCAGAAGACACTGGGCGCGTTATTATTATTCCGAACCGAATAAATAACACATAATTGGACGCTTTGACGATGCGGACAAACAAACAAATTCTTTGTCCCCATTCACGTCAAATGTTGACGGCGAGAGAACGAAAGATAATGGTTTTATATGAAATAATGTTCATATTGAACATTATTTCCCTCCGGCGTGAACAATCATGCAAACTTTGTCATAGCTAGCTTACCGGAAAACGTTTGTAGCGTCAGATTGCAGAAAAACCTACAACAAAAAATACCAAAATATAAGCTTTATATTCATTTAATAAAACTTTAGTCCGTAGCGAGACTGAAAACCTTTTCTCAGAAAACACTGTTGACTTCGCATACAGGATACTGAGAAATCACTGATGAGTCAGACGCAACATGATGTGATTAATCTCATGCTTAATTAACGGGTTCAAATGGCAAATTATTCTGTGCTTCGGCGTGCGGGGGAAGTAGCACGTGATATCAATAGTAATCTATATAACATTTTTGATACTTTGTCACTAACAGCTACAAAGAGGATGAATGGCTGGAAAACAGATGTGTTCCTGAACAAGACGTTGATCATTTTTGTCTTGGAGATTACGTTGAACAGGTCTGCTATGTTTTGTAAAAGAATGAACTGTTTAGAAAATTCTAAAATAAACTCATGTTCTCAAAAAAAAAATAATCTCTTGATAGGCATTGTCAAAGCATAAGTCGTGGCAAATGATGCACAATACACAACACATTGTAGTTTCGGGTCCAGTAAAAATTATCCAATGTTATTTTTTGTAATAACTTGTCATTCAAGCGTTATTTTTAGTTTCTCAATCACGACGTATAGAAAGTTTCGATTACCAAAAAATTACTTTCAAAACATCATGGAAACAACAGATTACCATAAGTGATATGGTTGTATTGGTTTGCAATTTTAACAAAATTTTGGAAATATCACCGACTGAAAAGTGAAGATTTTAGCAGACAGAAATTTCACGGTCTCTGGTTTTTTTTGCTTTGTCGCGTAACTGTGTTAATTATTGATGATTTCTAGCTGACAGGTTTGATTACGGCTATTTGTCGTACCTAAATCATTCAATCACCATACACTATTTCAAGCCAACACGTATGATATAACAATGGAAATTTTTGCTCTGAGTATAAAGTACTGAAATATAAATGGGATAGAACAGACTTAAAAATTCATTATTAATCTCCGTCCTGATTCGCAGAATGATAAAATACAGCGTTCAAAGATCAAAGCGTCTTTTTTCATATACTCGAACACAACAAAAAATGTACACTTTTTCCAGCTACTATGTGTGACTGGAAGACTTGTGGTATTATACCATCATTAGTATTCTATTAATGCGACAGGCATATTTATTCTAATTTCCCAACGTAAGGTAAAAATTACTCTCTCCAGGAATTAGGACAACAGTAAGAGTCGGCGTCATTGCAAATTTAAATATGAAAACAACTTTTATTATTTTCAGATAGACCTCTGTCCATATTCGATAGATGCATTGTTAACTTGGTACAACGAGACAGATGATTACATGTTCAAACGACCGCCATTTCAAGCACAGTCACTTGGTTTCTTACTACAAGTACAACTACAAGTCGAGAATGATAATGACGTACAAAGAAGTTTTAAGTCAAAGAGAAAGGTAGGAAAATTGGGATCATCAGCGGGCGAAAAAGGGACAGAGACAGAACACTAAACAGATAAGCAAAATATATTTTCTGATGGGTTAGGATGAATAATTCAATCGCTTGTTTGTCTCTTGGCCAGCTCTTTCTAATTGTCCCGAGTTATGAGTTTGAGCAGTTTTAAAATGCATCAAGCGCTTAACTACTGTGATTTATAAGAATAACAAAATCTCTCTCCGCGAAATAGTAAGTTTATTAATGAGCTTTCGCTAGACCACAGTTCAACTTCTTCCGATGAGACAAAATATAACTACAAAGATAAAGATCATAACATTTGTTGAGTCAGGTTACTAACTTGACTAATTAATACAGATGGAATCTGTGCTGGTCGTTTGACTAGATTCCATATATTTCTACGTGGGAAGGACCTGCAATCTGTCCTTGAATGCTCTGTACTTTGTGTTTGTATGTATTTATCATTGAACAAAATTGTAGTTCATGAAATTTTTTTTTTTTTATAGAATACGTGCCAGGTGAGCGGATACTTTCCCTGTACCACTCTGAGTATGTGTCCTTGGCAGAGAAAGGGGAAGAAATGTGGAGGTAACCGTAGATTTTAGTAATTCTGTTCCACTTTTGCCTAACCTTAGTAACAATTTACAAAGTACTCTCATCTTAATGTACAATTTCTACCTTATTCCCGTGGCCAAATAACACAAACGGACAAAATATTTTTCAGCTGTAACTCAATGCGGATTCGACTGCAACAGAATACAATGCATGAAATATTGTCTAAGATGCAAACGTGGACGTCTTGCTGCTAAATGTTTTCAATACAAGACATTTGCCTAAATACTAATTTCCTCTCATGCTGTCCCGAATATGATTGACTGTTGAGAAGTATTTTAGGGCAATATTCTTGTCTTATATATATAAATATATACATAGCTGCATTGACTTGTATGTTTTGTTAAATGAACCCATAATTTCACGCGTGATAGCCACAACGAAATTTCCATAATTTTTATTTGCGCCTCACGAATCACATGTTCAACATATTTTCGTGGTGATCAATTAATGTAAAGGAGAATGTAATAAATTATGTGAATTATTGAAAATTTCCATTTTTTGGCATACCCAAATCTGCACATTTTAATAGTGGCGGCAAGGAGTTGATATCCACCTGACCCAACGGGATTACAATAATTATATATATTTATTTTCACTCTGAAGCTCACTCTATTAGTTGGGATATAAATTAGGCATGTACTCATCCTGATCATGGCGCCTAAGAATTCGCTAAATTCATTACATTGATCTTTTCTCAGCACCAAACTTGTTAAAAAGGTCTGTTTTTATCATAACAATTCTAATTCACGTATATATTTTTTTTTCAAAAAGTCTGGTATTGAGTATGTTAGATGAATTTAATGAGATTGATCCTGAGATGTCAAGAGTTACTAGCTAGAGCATGAACTCTACCTTTCATGATCCGTAGTCCGGTTTCATAGATTTTTCTTCTGTGAAAATACCTGGTTTTGTTTTAATGCGCTACTCCACGTTTAGTAATGGAAAGCAAACAAACGAAAGAATAAATGCATTGCAGTCTAAGAATTGAACTTAACGCGGTCAATTTCCTCAAATTAGTATAATCATGTAGAAAGGTAGTTAGCGGAGTTTTTGCTTATGACTCCCATGGAACCGCCTTGAGCCGGGGTTGATTGGACACTATTCGACCGTTGCACCGTCTGTAAACGGCCAAACGGCTCCCTCAGGGGCGCTATCGCCATATCCGAATCTATATAGACTTCTTGTTGAAGTTTTTCTCACACTTGTTTTTCTCTTGATCGGCTGTTTCTAATTGTGGCAAGCTGTGAGTTTGGGCAGTGTTAAGATACTTGTCGTGTTGTGTACGCATATGCTATTTAGTTTAGGTAAAAGGATTGATTGATATTTCGCAATGATGTATTAGATTTGCATCTTCAGAATTGAGTATGTCATTTGGTTGCCTGTTCGATTGGTCGTTAATTTTAACAACCCACTGACCATTTTCATCACTATACCCACTATCATCCCCCGGACTACATCATCTACCATAATTTACCACTAACTACTACTATCCTCCTGCTATCGACGACCAACCAATAAAACCACGTCATTTCCATCTAATTTAGCCCAATTAAAAATGTAACGAGCAGTTAATGAAACGTCTCGTAGCACACTATGCAGGAAAGGAAGCTGGACAAACGAACACAAAACATATGCTTTTGCTCCAGCAAAAAAATAGGCGATATTTTGGAGGTGGCTCAGCCTTCCACGTGATTGCAAGCAATCAGGTTATATAAATATATAAAAAATGGGGGATCATTTACAATACAACGGTATGACTTGTGCAGATGGACGTATACTACCATCAGTCTCCAGTCGGAGGACCTCTTGCGAAGATGGTTATTGAGATATGAAAACGAAAAAAAATGATTCTCAGTCCAGCTGTCGACTACAAAAATCTTGGCGTATTCAAGTGCATTCTATTGGCAAATTTCGATTTACAACCTTTTCTATTTCGACTGGAAATTTCCACTTTTAGAAGACTCAAATGTCATTCCGAGGAAATTTGAAAGTGCCAAACTCCTCCTCTGATTGCAACAGAATTGGTAGGCTATTTCTTCAAGAAAAACATTTGCGCGAACAATTTTTTCCACCACGCATTCGATTTTATATATCCAATGTAACCATTTGGCTGAGGTCAGACTCTTCGATTTTTTCAAAACTTCATATTGTTCCAAGGTCCGGTTATTTGGGAATGAAATTAGGATAGGATAGGATTTACATATTTATCCCGGAGGAGAGGAAATCCGATAAGACGGCTTATCCATATGGCGATCCACGGCCTCTCGTCCGGTTACCATTCCAAGTCGGGTATGGGATTAGTTTTACTGTATTGTTTGTTTTCGGAAGCATGGACTTGGTGGTGGAGGAAGCCGTAACCGACCAGCGGTTACGTGAACCACCCAACGACGGCGAGGAGTCCAGCAATCCTCTCGCACATAACCATCCCTGCATGGGATTCGAACCCACGCAGAGTAGTTAGAGGTGCGGTAGCGAGCGTATTCCTAACGCTTAGCCCGTTGAGCCACACCGCCGCGCCTAGTCAGGAAATGAAAGACTGCAGTTGCGCATGCTTCGCCCGCAAACTTTTTAAAAAATATATTGATAGCTACAGTTGACATTGGTCGCTGTTGGTAGGAGGGCAAGAAACTATTGTGTTTTAACGTATTCAATTGAGTTTTGATTTTTCCTCTCCTGTGTTAAATTATTTTCAGTGTGCGTTACTCTGGCTCAATATCTTTGACAAAATGTTAATTTTATATATATTTTTTAAAAGCTGTGACTAACTCGGTGACCTAACGGTCGCTTCCTTACAGCTCGTCACAATGCCTTGAAATTTAAACTACTTATTTGACATTGTTGACGGAATAAAATACTACTGCCTTTATGCGTATGCTGTGTTTTTCAACAACGCAGGCGAATGGAGAGAATTCACAAGCGTACAAAAAAGGTTTTTTTATGCTTGACTAATTCAGATCGATATATAGTAATAATGGGTCTCAAGTCTCTCGGCGCTGGCATAGCCTGGTGGTTACTTCGCAAATCAAGGTTCAAGAAATGTTGCTCAAAACAATCTCTTGCGGGTTCGATTCCCGCCCCCAACACCACGGGCGCAGCCCGGCGCTTTTGCAATTTTAATCATCATATTGAAGATTAAAAGATATTCTTCATTTTCACAGGACCCGCGATTCAAACTAAATTACGATCGTACCTTTTTACGGGACTTTTTCTCAAACTCAAATGCTCGCTGTTGAATGGTGATATATCTGCAATAATGATGTCACATTGTCGACTACGTAATTTCATTTCATCACAAGATGATAAATGTCAATAGCCCAATAACGAGTACTCCCGTAGTGTGTGTACCAAGTTAGGGTTAGGCCATAATTTTATTCTGATTTTCCTCATTTTAGTTCTATTACGACAGGCATGTCCAACCTTTTTTGTGCCGCGGGCCACTTTTAAATTAGGAAACTCATCGTGGGCCTTAAACTCAATATATATATCAGTTTTGATTTACGTTAGAATTTGCGCGTCGCCAAATCAAATTGGATTGCACAAATCTATTGCGGATATCTGAGCACAATATGTACGCATTTTTACGCAGTGCTTGTTTTAAATCAATTTTTTCCTGTATCTTTTGAATTTTTATTGAAATACCTTTTGCATCGCCTTGAAACTATGCCAAAATGTTGCGTTCTGGCAGCTGCACAAGCTGATGAAATAATATTTTTAAAAATGTAAAAAAAAATTCTTGATTTGACTTTCACTGTCATCGCGAAACTATGTATATCGCTAAGTTAGTACCTACACCAAAGTCATAAGATTTTAACAGGAATATTCATCCTAGTTACGGAAAAGATAAATACGAACAAAACGTCATGGCACCACATGATATAAACCCGATATATTAATACTCGTTTTAGTGAGATATGACTTAGATGAATTAGTATATTACATAGCTATATATCGATATATTTTTCATAAAATAAAGGCATTATTACCGTAAAAACTATTAATTTATTTGACCGTATTTTAATCTTTTAATTGGTGAATATTGGTAATTAGTACCCTGAATAATAAATAATTACAGAAACAAAAACCTGGTTGAACGAGACTTGGGTAAGAATAAAAAGCGAAAGATACGCAAATGTATTGAACTTTCGGGCTGTTGTATGCTTCTTCAAAGACGCCTAATGATAATGTCCAATTCTGATTCTTACAGTATTAGATGTTTTGAAAGGATGAAAATATAAAGTTAAATTTTAATCCTTTTTTCCTTTTATTTGAAAGATAGTACAGTGATACAGCAATATACAGAGTACCTATTTATTCACATCTATCATTAATCTTCTTTTGTAAGCATAGCTACAGAAGAGTCTGACTAGTCAATGATTCTCAATAACTGCTCATCGGGTTAACATTCAGACTATACCGGTCTTTGTAAATTACATCCGAAATAAACAATATATATATCATGACTGCCGTCCATCGAACTCATTGGGTTTTTTACGTTTTACCTACGCTTCCACAACAGGTGAACGGGAGAGTCTAGTCCAGACTCTAGACCGGGGCTACTCAACTATTTTATACCGAAGATCCGCATATAAAACTTTTAAAATATTTGGGTCCGGTCTTTCCAGAAATTATATTTCGGCACCTTTAAATACGCACTTCCTCGGCCGACTAATGATTATTAGCTAATCAAGATTGTTGTGTTCTAGTTATTTTCATATATATATATTTGAATCTATAAAAGGGATTTCATAAAAGGAAACCTCAAAAGTGCGGCTAATAATTCAAAATAAAGAATTAGACGCGGTCCGAATCGAATACTCGAAAGGTCCGGATTTGAACCGCGGTCCGCCAGTTGAGTAGCCCTGCTCTAGAACAGGGCTACTCAACTATTTTTACCGAAGGTCCGCATACAAAACTTCAAAAATATTAGGATCCGGTCTTTCCAGAAATTATATTTCGGCATCTTTAAACACGCAATTCCTCGGCCGACTAATGATTATTAGCTAATCCATATTGTTTGTTATGGCGTTATAGTTCTTTTCATTTAGATTTAAATCTATAGAAGTAATTTTATAAAAAAAAACTTCAAAAATGGAGCTAATGATCGAAAATAAAGAATTAGGCGCGGTTCGAATCAAATAGCCGGAAGGTCCGGATTCGGACCACGGTCCGCCAGTCGAGTAGCTCTGCTCTAGACCAGTGGTTCCCAAACTTTTTGTACCATCGCCCCCCTACAGTAGTTAATACAAGTTCATCGCCCCCCCACCCCCCCACCTCCCCCCCCCGGCACTGCGAACAAAAATGTGAAGTCTGAAACGAATATATTACAGACCGAATAACGAGACAAATCATAGTTTATAGTATTTTTTAATGAGATGGATGGGGTTGGTGTTCTTTAGCGAGTTTTTTATAATATTTAAAATTACCATGTTTACTGATGGAAAGGCGATTTCGTTGTTTTGATAGCAATAGTAGCACAGCTGAAAACCCCTTTTTCATCATATAGGCCAGGGGTCGGCAACCTTTTGTCGCTCGCGGGCCAAAATTAAGGTTGCAAGTCATTGGCGGGCCGCACATATTTTTAGAAAGTTGAAAAACCGAACGAATGGTACTTTTTATAATAAAAATTAAGCAGTGATACATCTCTCGAATAAAATATAGATTTATTTTATGATTGCATCTCATAAAATTTCATTTGAATATTTTCAGCGCCATTGAACCCTTTGCACTTAGCATCAACTTTTCTGCGTTTTGTTGCCATTTGCTTAATTATAATTAAATTATATGCTCTTAATTTAAACGAGTAATTGTGAAATTTATAGTGGTTAGGTTATAATATAATTTAGTCTAAAGAATATGTTCGTCAAAACGGATGTTCTGTTACTATAATTTAGTGAAGCGTCGCGGGCCGGATTATAATGCTCCGCGGGCCTGATCCGGCCCGCGGGCCGTAGGTTGCCGACCCCTGATATAGGCGGTCGGAAATGAAAGAATCTAGGATTCTACCTCATCAAAAACCACCGTGTACTCTTGCCTTATAGCATTTAACTCCCTAAATTCACCCCATTTTACATTTAGGGTTGCTAATCTTTTGCGGGTCGCATATATTTTTTGAAAGGTAAAAACGGAACAGCGGGCAAAAATCGCGACAATTCGTGAATCCAACTCAGTCGTCTTATTAAAAAATTATTACAATGACATTTAATGTGACACTGTCTTGTTGCTGCATCACGCTTCATAGCTTTACGACGCCAAGATTGGAAGATTTTCTAAATGGGCATCGCTAATCCTAGTTCTAGCTTGTTCTTTGTTATGTTCATTTTCGAAAATAATTGTTCGCACACTTATGTACTTCCAAACATCGAAATGAATATTATCGCATGGTTTGTCAAATTTTGATAAAGATTTTCTTTAAGAAGATACACTCTTACAAAAATTAAGCAGTGATGAATCCCTCGAATAGAATATGAATTTTATTTCCTTATTGCATTGCAATATATTCGAATATTTACTGCGCTATTGAACCCCTGCACGCAGCATCAACTTTCTGCGTGTTTCCAATTGTCTAATCATAATTGAATTGTAGGCTCGTTAAACGAGAAGCTGTTTAATATAATTTTAAGGATAATATAAAGTTTTGTCTAAACGTGCCTCACGATACATTCTGTTACATAAAAAAATGTAATTTACTCCTCGAGCGTAGATTGTAAATAAAATTAATTCATCGCCAAAACGTTTGGATGTTTCCCCGGGCATAGATCTCCTTGTTTACTTCGTGACATTGGCCATTCAGCAAGATGCAAAAATAAACGTAACAATGCCCCCTTTTGCATCCGCTCAGACACATTTCTCACTCAGACAGATTTTCAGGCGTGGTCGTGAAAATTACCTCATTTTGGCGTTTTTGAATTATATTCGTTAGTTTTTAGTTGTTTTTCGGAAATTTAAATATAAATAATTTAAGTCAATATTCACTTTGTCTCCCCATAAGTTTCAGTTTATTTACAGTAGTCAAAAATTTGGTGTAGAAATATCTTTGATAGACTAGGCTAAAATTCTTTACCGGTACTTTTAAAAAACAGATTGTTGAATGGCATGAATTGGAATGATAGTTTGAAACAAATACCCCGTTTTACAGGCAACAACTCGCAAAACCACTCTTAAAATACGCACCGAAAATTTTAAAATGGTAGAGTATAGAAAAAATTTTCCGGGTCAAAGGTCGGGGAACGGTCCATTCAGTGGAGCGTCCCGGGCCTGATTGCCGACCACTGGGATACGGAAACGACCGTATCTTACTGCGAAGACGAGTCCAGCAATCCTTTCGCGTGTGATAATCGCCTACGTGATTCAAACATACGAAAGCACGCAGAGTACAGTAATCAAGTGCACGATGCGCCGAACAAAAACAGGTTTCTAAAAATCGCCCCCCTATCGCCCACTTCGACTTTTTCGCCCCCCTCTGTAGCGTTATCGCCCACTTTGGGAATCACTGCTCTAGACCACAAACACGGCAGAACTTACTGGGCTGCGCTCCCGTTTTCTCTGCACAGTCTCCGAAGATGTGGTTCTCAAACGGTGGGGCGCGCCCATCATAAAAATGTTTGCTAGATTTGCTCGTGCGCGCCCCATTTTGGGTGTTTAAATTTCTTGTTTTGTCAGCTAAAAACTACTGCACCAATAAAAATAACAACGAATTTCGCTTGTTTTCAAAACTTCAATTATTTCAGTATTTAAGTTCCATCTCCGCATTTCAACGTGTTTTTTGAATAAAACACACTTTCGATTTACTATATGTTATTTGTAGCTTATTGTAAGTTAGTTATCTTTAAGGTGGGGCGCGAGATTTGACAAGTTCTCAAGAGGAGGCGCGGTTGAGAAGTCTAAAGGTTTAAGGCAGGGGTCGGCAACCTACGGCCGACGCTTCCCTGAATTATAGTAACAAAACAGCTGTTTTGAAGATTATATTTTTTACGTTACACAATTCATTGTGAGAGCGTGTAGACTAAATTATATTATATTCTAACAATGGCAAAAAAACGTAGATAAGTTAATGCTAAGTGCAAAGGGTTCAATGGCGCCAAAAATACAATGCAATGAGGAAATAAATTTATAGTCGATTCGAGAGATTAACTTTCTAAAAATATGTGCGGCCCGCCAATGACTTGCAATCATTGTTCTGGCCCGCGAGCGACAAAAGGTTGCCACCCTTGGTTTAAGACCTCACGCCAAACATACGCTGAGTGCTTCGCGGACCGCACGTTCGTCACTTCTGTTTTATACCTATGCTGTGTTTTTCTTATTTGAACAACGCAGGCAAAGGGAGAGAATTCACAAAATGAGAAACTTGGACAGTTATATAATAATAATAAGCTGAAACTCTCTCGCGCTAGCATAGCCTGGTGGTTACTTCACAAGTCAAGGTCCAAGAAACAACACCACGGGCGCAGTCCGACGCTTTTACGGCTTCCACCACCATCGAGTTTGAACTGGCTATCTAGTCCGATACCCGACATGCACTGCGGTAACCGGACGAGAGGCCTTGGTTCGCCATATTATTAAGTCGTCTTATTGAATTTACTCTTCCTCGGGATAAATATGTAAATACTAATCTCATTTTAACGTCTAACAATGTAAATGTATGTTAACGAAATCTATACGAAGCGGCACCATGTCGTCACCACTGATTGAGCTCATACTATGAGCCATGAGTCCATGACATGTATAGAATATAAAGTCACTGTGGAAGTATTGACTATTTTAGATCGTATACGTCATCTCCAACTTAAGAAACATTGCTCACTGCACTGCAATAAAACTGCATAGGCCTACAGTGCTGACTGTATTAGATAATATGTATATGAAGGGTCCTATTAAATCGGTCAGAAAACTTGTGGTTAGGTCACAAGTGAGCCAAAGTTATGCTTAATTTTGAATACGCTCGTTTACTTTTAACTCGATAAAACTTGTTGGGGACGTACTCGTCCACGCCAATTGAACTATCAATTGAAATACATTAGTAATTTCAGCTGAAAATCACACAGATTCAAAGGATTTCGAGTAGTGGTTGTAGTTTTTTCAAGATGATTTTTGATTTAATTGAGATATTCTTTATTCATTTGAAAGAGAAAATTTCAACATCTTCAACTATACGATTGCGGTTTAACGTACAAGCTCGATATCATGGACCATTAATTCTATAAAAGAATTTCGAGGAATCGCTCATTTCTGATCGTCAATACGAGGGATTGACACCGCAAAGACTGAAGTATGATGTGCCGCGAGACCACTCGAAATCAGGTTGTTAAACATTAGCTAGCATATTCGAATCAACAACTTGAATAAATATGACTTTGCGTAGATGGCACTGGAATTATATGATTACTTTTTGCAGTTTAAAAAGCAGTGCAAAAATAGGTAGTAAAAATAATGGTTTTGTGGGATCATAGCATTCGTTTATGGAAGTAAGTTTGATAGCATAATTAATATTATACAATCTGAATGTTGCATAGCCACATCGAGTTAGCTAAAGCAAACGTCTTTAAACTATAAAAAGGGCCTATGTTGGTATTTTGATAGTTTTTTTTTATTGCCATACGAATGTTATATTTACACAGTTTTATGGCGACATATCTCCTTCTTGCTGATGAAAGCGCCACTTTGATAGCGTCCATGGGTTATTATAACTCGGCCTGTTGGATGTGATATTTATTCTAGAGGGGGACAATAGGCTCGTTGAGTCGCCGGCATTGTATCTCGATTTCGCCCTTTCGGGACAAACTAACCGTGTCGAAAGTATGTATGAACGACGCGCACTTTTCAACAAAGTTCATTTATGCAACAAGCTCTCGTTTTTGTAAGACGACAAAGACGATTAAATGCAGAAATACGTGGTGACCTATGTAAGGTATGGGTACCGATTTACATCACAAACCTCGGTGCTTGCCAGCCGGCTTTGTTGGTCAGTTTGAGAGAATAGAGGATGAATTGTTATTACCTACCGGTAACTGCTCGTTAACTCAGCCGAATTGCGATGTTGTAGCTGACAAGTTGGAATCTGGCAGCCCACATAAAAGCTTAAATTTAAGCACATTGAGCCTGGTTGAAACAATAGAATACAATTTCTTGCATCGAAACTCGGAAAATGGCTTTGCGATGGGATCGGGCGTGAGTACGAGTAGAAAAGCAATTTTGACACAGAATAATGATACAGAAGATGACGTTGTTGTCGACAATGAAAGACCCCCATCAGTCGAGGTTTGCGCTGATCCCGGATTAGAAGAGGCAGAAGGCATAGCGCATGCACAGATATTAACAGAAATCAACTCTACATTTGATGCAGGCATTACGTCCATAGACAATAATATGGAAAATATTGATTCGACTGGATTTGCTAACATACTCGAAGAGTACAAGTTTTCTGGAGGGTCAAGCAAAACCCAACAAACAAAAAATCAAAAAACTCGATTGGGACAACTTCCCAAATCAGATCAACCGAAGCTCAGTGGCCTAAACTTAACACTAACCGGACTGAAGGCCAAACCAGTCAACAGAATGAGTGGTATAACACCGCGTGGTTTATTGTCACGTGATAGATCCCAACGAGCGAGGAACCCGAATGTCATGAAATCTATGGAGGAAAGGCTCAGCACTGCACGCAATAATAGTAAACGCCCTGGTTGGAATCAAAACTTCATAAATAAAGATAAGTCAAGTACAGCCAAACCAACAAGGTTTAGAAAGCCCCCGAGAAAATTGAATATCCTTGCAGCTATTAAACCGAGCAATCTCGATAAGGAGAAGGAGAAATTTTTTTCATCTAATTTCACAATAAATCCTCAATTTGAATATAAATATCCGCCGAACGAGAACGTCTTACAGCGTTACAACAATGCATCATCATTATATGTGGAAGAGGTAAAATTATATTTTTCTCCTGCAGTCACAATAATACGGTCTAATTTAAATAGAGACAATTTAATTTAAGACAAATATAACTATTATACAGGGTGTTAAAAATACGCAAAATTAAAGTAAATTTTTTTTCTCATGGCAACGTTGAAAAAGTACCTGTTGAAAAACGGTAGTCGTGAAATGTAATTCAATACTGTTGAAAGATGTCAGTCGTTAAATATTTTAAGTAGCATTTCATCTTAACTTCTGTTAATTTTGCGTTACTTTTTTACACCCTGTATATTAGCAAATTTGAAATCGTAATTAGATTGTGATTTGTATAAGCTCTATTTAATGAGTTAACCTGACGGTATCACCAATACAATTCCCATCATGCCCCAAATTAAGTTGAATTGAGAGTGAAAACCCGATAGAGATTTTATTCCAGTCGAAACTATTACAATATACACAGTTTATTGACACTGTTGTATTGCTTAATAGTTATTTCGACATAAAAAATCGTATCATGTTATCAACACCTTTTATACAAAAGAGAAACTCATTTAAAACCCTGAGTGGGGCAGACGCTGCCGGTGGATCGTTATCAATATCACACAAGGCACCGTATTGACAAAACATCCCACCTCAATTGTCTCAAAGTAACATTATACGACACCTGAAATCAATTCGTGAATTGCGAAATAGTAACCTTGGATTGTCTTGTTATAGGCTACGGCACATGAAGCTTGTAAAAACTTGAAAAATTAAAAACACATATTAGCACTATTGAATTCACGCTATTCGGCTTGGAGTTATATACCACCAAGCCTGAGAGCCAATAACAGACTGATAAAACCAAGTTTTATATCAACATAAAATATCCGATTGCAGAACGGATCATATTTTTTCCATTGTGTGACTTTTGTATCTAGGTTAAAGGCCCTCTCATCGACTCTCAAATGCCTTGATTGCTGTTTTCTAAACTTATTTTTCTGACTGACTGACTGACTGACTAAGCGTGACTTTCCAAACTTCCATATTTTTAACGCGAAAATGTGAACAGTGTGATTGACTGTGATTGAAATTGTCCTCCTGAATAATTAGTGATCAGAATAACATTGTTTTGCAGGCCGTTGCAATAATGCGTCGTGTTTTAACAAGGTATGGTAATTACGAAAAATTTGAAGCCGCGACTGGAGGTCGGCTGCTCACTCGGACAGAAATTTGGAACACGTAAGTCAAAGCAATTGCTGAGTACTGGACGTGAATTAATTTGAAATACTAAATAATGTTACACTGTATCCTAGACAATTTATCAGCCGATCACGTTTCTTCGTATCCTACTGTGCGTACTCAAGTATGTTCCCAAATCAAAAGATGCTTTTCATGTTTGATCGTTTCGGTAATTGCACTATCCCCTTGCATGGCAGGCAGACCTTGGCTATTGCAGGCACACAGTTTCAATAACACATTCTGCTCGTCAAGTTAGTAGTAAGTTAGATTTTATTAGCTGCAGCGCCACATTATAGTTCCTTTAGTATGATGGAGCAAGTAAAGAATTTAGATATCGGGCCGAAAAGTAGGGATTGAAACATTACAGAATTCTTTTAAATCTGTATATTGTGTTGTCAGCGTAAATATAACACTAAGTGTTTCTATATTTAGTGTTAAGCGCTACTTGGAGCGTGAAGGTTTCTTTGGTGAAATAGTAGTAGACATCAGCAACGACTTGCTTTCCCGGGCAGCAATGACGATAAATGGTGGGCGACCGACACTCAGCATCCGAGAATCATCGGCGAGAGAGTATTGGGTTGAAGGACTATTGCGTCATGAAGTCGGTAAGTGTTTTCATATCTTGAGGTTTATATCGCGGATTACGAAAAACAGGGATCTTAATGACGTTTAATGAGCTCGTACAGTAATATTATTCTTTTCCTTTGGCATGCCTTTGAAATCGTCAACCGATTCTCTTTCCGTCTATGGAATTGCCGAAAAATAATATTGTTCTCAGATGTGAAGTCTTTTTGGTGTATCTAATACGGCAATCAAATTATTATCACGTTAGGAAATGAAAAGAGTAATACATAGGTATTTAGAATGCCTCACCTAAAGTAGACGGCTCGATGATTTTCTGATCTTGTTACCACTATTGATGGTCAAGAATCGTTAGCTATTTAACGCTAAGCTTAACGATCCAGCATTCTCGCACCTTCTGAGAACATTTCTTGTCTCACTTACTAAACCGCGGGCTACAACTTAAGTGGTCCTTAGTGAATGTTTTATGAATCCTAAATTTTTGTTTTATCAAAAGGCACTCATCATCTGCGATTTCATAATAATAGACAGCAAGTTTGGCACAATTGTAACACACGGCGTCAGATGGAATTACAACCTGCTAATCCCACCGAAGAAGGTCTAGCAAGTTTACACAGCGTTCTTCTTCGGAAGTAAGAAATTATGTTCACGCCAACTCAGTTATTGTTCGTAATCGAGTTAACGGCAACACCCTTGCTCGTAAATGTACTTAATGGCGATTTAATTAATCAAGTTATAGAAAAGGCTTCTGAATAATAATACGAAACTAATTATAACATATACTATTTGACTTAGCACTGCCAAGATAAAAAAAAATATAGTAAGAGCTGCAATCAATACCCTCAATTAAATGAGACAGCTGTAGTCCACATTGTCCAATAATCAGTGTATAATCGTGCCTGTTTTATAATCGTCTCGACCACGGTGTGCATACCATTTACTGTTTGATACAACAAATTTTCACGTCGAACATACTATTGTAAAAAGTAATAGACCACCAATTATGTGTGACAGCGCTACTTTATTACATTCTAGTAAGCAGATAAGACCTTTGATGGACATTTTCGCCGGACTTTTCGCATCTTAGGAGAGGGTAAAAACCTAAAATTCACAAATACTAGTCAGTTGTTAATTATGGTATAACAATTTAATATCATTTCCAATTAAAGGGATCCATCATTATGGAGAGCAGCTATGTTATATTACGCGGTATACAAAGCATCTAAATTATCTTTTGTGCAACTATTTGCCGACCTGGGTAAATTTTTGGATAGCCCCGAAGTGAGATGGGATTATTGCCTGCGCACAAAACGAGGACAAACAGACACATCTAAACCAGGTAATCATGTAAATTTTGACATATAGCGTGCTTGATTTTAATAGTTTATGAGATTAGAAAATGTTACTTAAATTTTGTTGTTACAAGGTTGTTTCTGCAAAGATCAAGTCTACCTAAATGGGATACTAGCTTTGTTACAGCGACGTAAAACTTTGGATTTTCACATGCTGTGCACTTTGGGTAAAGTATCCCATGAGGACATCGAAAAACTTCGTGAAAACTGCAACAAGGAAGGAACGAAGATACCGACGTTTATGAAAGATATCGACGAATATCGAAGGAGGCTCGACTATATTGTAAACATGAATGGACTTGATACATTTTTGGAAGGCATCTCGGATAACGATCGAAATGACGGGGGTTCCTGACCACATTAACTCACAAATATATGTAACTACTACTTAAAATATTATTTAGACAATGTTCGATGTTACAATCTGATGGAAATCCGCTTAGATACTTCCTACTGAAAAATATGAAACGGATATCTATTAGGTATAGGTTCTGTTGAGTGCTCTGGATTTCAGTAAACAGTGCACATCAATACAATGACCGTACCAAATAATCGCCGAGCAGCAACGTTTTCGTTATGCAGCTGTCTACACGATGCAGCGGTACGTTTTATGTACCGTTTATGTTCAAAAAGAGTTTTTATTAGTTTCGTACTACCTGTTCCTGCTCGGTTACGATATTTATTTGCTTCCAAAACAATTATATTATAACTTTTCTCAGTATCACTATTTTACTCCATCTGTTTTCTCCCTTTTCTCTCTCTCCCATCCATCTCTCTCTTTTCAAATTATATTTTCGTATCCTAGTAAATTATGCAATATTGACTCTATTAAAACATTAGTACGGAGATTCTATGAATTCACGTCCAAGTTGTACTGTTCTTTGAGACCAGTGATGGCATTAAAAATTTTAAAAAGAGTTTCTCTTTTGTATTGACTCACTAACAGCAGGTTCACTTATTTCAGAAACCATTCAAACTTGTAGCTCTTAAAAACAAGATCGGGTACGCTTGCCTTCACGATTTTAAGAAAATGGTTCGCGCGGATTTTCTGAATACACCATCGTCACAAGGTTACAACGCAATTTTGCGTGATCTCATCCGGGTATCAAAATTTTTTTACGAATCGAGAAAGTTTCATGGTCGTTCCGCTGCAAGAGCTAGGCAGCATCGGACATATGGAAGTATTTTTAACCCGATCCCGTTAGTAAATGTCATGTGACAAATTTTTAGTGTTTGATGTGAAATTCCACTTTGAGATATCAAAATGAAAAACAGCATCAACTGCGCACTTTGTTGGATGACAATTGTTGATTATACAATTTTGCGATAAAATCGTGAACAATATATTTTCACCGAAAACTGACTCTGAGTTTATCACTGTCAAATTTTCATAATCAGCTATATTGGTGTGGCAATTATTTTTCACATTTATTGGTTCCTTACCAATACAGTTAGTGATATTCTTTTGAATTAAACGCCACGGAGGATGAAGTTGCGATGACGTAATCATTTTTGAAGGAATTGTACATTATTAAGATGGTTTGTACCTGAGATGTCAGTTAACGGTTGAGATTTATTTAACCATCTAGAACAGGGATGGCGAACTTTTTCCAGTGAATGGGTCAAAAATTATATTTTTATCGTGGAACAGAAGAGAGTGGGTCACATATATATAATCAATGTTTATATCTATAAGCAGCTTCCGAAACAAATCCTATAAGCTTCGGTTGGTGTAGTTTTGGACTTTATTTATGCAGCACCTCTATCAGGGACTTTTTATGGCACTTGATTTTATGAAATTAGAGTACGAAAACACTCATACGAATTAGGATGATTTTTTAGGACGATTTAGGATGATGCGGCAAATTATTTTACGGTTCCGAAGAGTTTGAAGGGAATTCCACTCTGAAGTGTTATTTTTTTCGATTAGCTTTCAACCACACACGGGCACATTTACACTGCCCCATTGTTACTTCAGATTTATAGATTTTTATTCCAAGTCTGAAAGATTTTGTTTTCCTAACGGCATTGTAGGCGAGAAACTAATAAAATGCAAAGAACTTCTCGTATTACCCCTAAAACAGTCTGCAAATGCACCTCCGAAAGAGACAAGACGTTACGGAGAAATGAACATCAATTGCATTGTTATGTCATAAGCGGTGTCAGAGCCAATGGCTGACTAACGGTACACAGCGGTGCAGAGATTAGGCAGTGATGAGCTGGAAAAATCGTAACAACAGGAACACACCTAATTCGCAAAAATGTAATATATGTAACACGACGCGGACAGAATGTTTTGACTGTCCTAAGATAGAGTCGAAGAACTGCAATGAAATATGGAGAAATTATCTGAAATATGTGTCGGCGATAGAAGTTTCTTTTCAGTTGATAATATTTTGAACGCTGTTCTTCCTTGTGTTCTGACCGGCTAATTTTTATCGATAATTGCTTTTCTGTTTTGACGCGAGTTTCGCGGGCTTTACTGCATCTGACGTGTCACGCGTGGCTCTTGCATTTCGACTTTACGCGTCGTAGGACGTTCTTGTTTAATCTTGTTATGATGTTAGTGGTGTGGTTTCGCATTATCTGCTTTATTGACTTAGCGTGTGGGTGGCATTTGGTCTCGTTAGGTAGAACTGTGGTGAGGGTATCGTAACCGGGGCCCCATATGACCATCGTCGTCATTTATTGCTTTAATTGTTCATGTATTTTATATTTCATTCTTATTAACTGCTTTCTAAAATTAGTTGCTATTTTTATGCCAATAACGTTATCGTTCACGTTTCCTGTCAGTTTCTTGTCGATTTAGGCCTTTGGAGCGTTATCATATCGTCACGCTAATAACCGAATTGCGTAAGTCATTTTTAGCAGTTTTGAGAAAAACGTAAAAAACTTCCTAATGATATTGCTATGCCATTGAGAGTCAATAATTTGCCATAGTTCAATTTTTCAATCGTAGCCGGATTCAAGTGAATTTGTATGACGCATTCATGTGACGACATAATGGCGCACTGTGACTTAAGCAGAAATGTGTCTATGACTAGGGGACATACGCAATTTTGCAACTTGACTATATGTACCAGTCCTGAAAACAAAACAATCCAAAAACGAATGTAATTCTTAGTATATACGATGTCTAATCCCCAAAATAGCTAATCTGTTTCAATTACATTATTTTTTATGTTTAAAAATATATATTTCATCAAAATAACACGCTCTGCACATCCACCGAAATAAGACTAAAGTTAAATATAAAGAATAAAACAGCAATGTACCCTTATATAAAAGCCAACCAAGGTGAATTGGATTCAGACAGTGAATATCACAAGTGCACGCCTTCCTATACTGTAGTTTAAATTGAAATTTATAAGCGCTAAGCTAGAATCTGAGATGCAAAAACTCGAAAATCCTTCGCCGAGGTCATTTTGCCTTTGTGACGTCACAATAGTCCTGCGTTAACAATGATAATTCATTATGACGAAACAATTGAACAAATTTGCATATCATACAAAATCTCTATTTTTATGGGTTTCGGAATTCTTAAAATAAAATCTGAGTTAACAGACAGGTGCGCAGCATTACATAAATACTTATTTTATGAAAAACTCAAAACCGCCAAAAATGACTTACGCAATTCGGTTATTAGCGTGACGATATGTAAGTTTATTTTCTATTAACTTCTGGTTATGCAATTTCTTTCCGCCCTCATCTTGTGATTGTTTATTTCATTTTATTTACAGTCAACCGTTTTACAATAAACGCGTATGACATGGAACATCTGTGTGGCTAAATCTGACAATATGTCTGTGTAGAATCACAAGAAATATTTATAGCAATTCAATACAAATGTTATTTTTAGAAAGGTATAGGATGAATTTCCGTGGGATCAAAGGTCGGGGAAATATCTATTACAGTTTACACGTTACTTCTGTACTAAGTCTTTGCGTGATGTGATGTAAAAAGAATTACGAATTATAAGGTAACAAAACATAAATTAATAACTAGTTTAACCAGAGAAACTTGACTTTTTGTATCATAACTTTATTTTAACAACAGGAACGCAAATGCAATGAAATATCCAACAACCGGAACGCCGTTCCGGTGCGTTCCGGCTACAGCTCACCACTGAGATTAGGGGTTTTGAAAATTACCATATACCGGAAGTTAACAATTTGAATATAAGCGATCGCAGCCCTGACTGCCCAACTGACGGTACATTATAATAGTTTATTTATTGTTAGATTAATTTAAGGCCGGTTTTATCAATTTTTATCACTGATATGTTAGCATTTATTTTATTTTATTCGTGCCTTGGTGGGTCACCAGTAAAACGCGATGGGTCATGCTAAAATTGCGTTCTGCCATAAGTCAAGTAGGTAATAAGCACAAATATGAGATATTCGTTTCAATGTGCAAATGTTTCATATTATATTCAATTAAATTATACGGAGAGGTAGAATGAATCAAAGCTTGCAAATTTTGTATATCGATAAGCATAGAAAAGTGTGATGATAAAATATTGGAGGACTTTAGCCTATATTATTTGTTGCAAGTATCGTTACATAACATACACATTTTATTTGTGAGCGCAAAATTGTGCAGCCTTTCTACTTTGATATTAAACTAACAGCGTCTCACCAATTTTAGGTCGTTCGTTGTTAGACCAAACAACAAATTGCTGTCAGATGTAATTGCTATTGTGAAGTATGCATAACAAAACTTATCGCAGTACAATTTAAATCCAACACAAAAGTTTGAATCTTATACGGTCAATTTGCGATGCTAACCTATGGACCATACATGGCACATCTAGATCAATATGTGAAAACACCGGTATATCTCGAGGAAAAACTCAAAAATTAATGCAGTCATTTCGAGTATTAGTCACCTTTGAGTGTTAGTGAATAGTTTTGTCAAACCAACGCTTCTAAGACTTGGTCTTCCGTATTGGCTAACGATTGCTTCAATTCTTTCTCCTTTTCACATGCTGGTATGCAACAATGCACCACACATAACCAAATTGATACCGCTAGCAAAAGCAGAAAGCTACATATGATAACAACATGAAACCAAGTCTGCGAGTAAAACCAACCATTGTATGAAGTGCGCCATGGTCTGGTTGTAGTAGTTGTACTGGTGGTAGTTTGTATTTCTGTTACTTGTACAACATTTTCTCTAGTTTGATTTTCAAAAATACTGACATTTGTATACTGCGGAGAAAAGTCGTTTGGAACGAAACTAGTAGTAACTTTTTCGTTGATATAGTATTTAGTAGTGCCAGGTAGAACTATGCTTTTTCTTGTTGCATTGTACGTTCTAGGTATCTCAGTTAGAACTGGCATGGTTTTAGATGTACTGGTCCATAACACCTCGACTGTTACATTAGTTGGTATGTTATATGATGTAGTTGATGATTGCGCTGTAGTAGTTCTAGGCCCTGGTGTCTGTTCCGTGGTTGAGGTTGTACTAGAAAGTGATTTAGCTGTTTCTTCTGCTATAGCATTTTCTGAAACGAAAAATATATTTTTTTGGAGGATGATGACTTTGATGCCCGAATTCTGATGAATAACTTTCCCACGAAGAAGAAACGAAAATGAAAAATCCTATTTGCATGACAGCATTCTTTTTTCAGATTGACTCGAAATACATCGGAATGAGATAAGTAATTTAATTGATACTGGCTCTCTTTTTCTCTCTTATTCAACGTTCATATTTATTATGTGGATGATTATTGGAATAAGTTAAATATAGGATTGAATTTATTTTAAAATCGTCCTCACCATACAAACTGAGAATTTCCTCGGCTGAAATATTTTGATAAAAAATCCAAAACTCGTCAAGAGAAAATATTGGTCCAAGAATATCGCCAACAACAAAATCTACCCTCATGGGATATGATCGACGTACGTCTTTGACAGAAGGCGTGTCAGTATACTCATTTTGATTAAGCAGGGTACCGTTGATGGACACCTGTATACACGAAACGCATATGTTTATGTGGTGGTAGGAGTTAAAAGAAGTATGTAAACGCTTTCCAAAGTCTAAGGAAACATGAAAGTAAAATGCGACTGAGTGGTAATTTGATATAATGAAGTAAGGTGAGATATAAAGGATAATACACAAGTTTAAATGGTGTAGATCAGTGGTTCCCAACCCTTCTACTCTGGCGAAAAATGTACTCGCGGACCGCCAAAAATTGAAATGGGTGGAACATAAAATAATAACATATATTTGCGTAATAAAATGCAGTGCTGGGCACCCATTAGACGTAAAATAGGTACACTTATCACATAAAAAACATGTGCATGCCAAATCCTGTACAAACACAATTAACTCCAGTGAGAATTTGCTACTATTTCATTCCAATACAGCAAGGGTCGGCAACCTACGGCCCGCGGAGCAATATAATCCGGCCCGCGACGCTTCGCTGAATTATAGTAAGAAAACAGCTGTTTTGACGATTATATTCTCTACGTAACAGAATTTATTGTGAGACACGTGTAGACTAAATTATATTATAACCTAACAAGTATATAATTCACAATTACTCGTTTAATGAGCCTATAATTTAATTATAATTACACAAATGGCAACAAAACGCAGACAAGTTGATGCTAAGTGTAAATGGTTCAATGGAGCAGAAAATATTCAAATGGTCAGTCTTCGCGCTCTGCTTAAAATTTAACTTCTGACCTGTGTAAAAAATGTGATTCATCGGCCATCCGTTCGGTTTTTAACTTTCTAAAAATATGTACGGCCCGTCAATGACTTGCAGCCTTTAATTTTGGTCCGCAAGTGACAAAAGGTTGCCGACCCCTGCAATACAGGATTGCAAACGAGGCATCAAAAAAAGATTTTGCTACACGTAGCTCTGTAGCGGCTCACAGTCAATTTATTTGCTTCGTTTTAATTAAAGCCAGAAGTAACTGGTTGAAAATTTGGACAATTTGATCGGTTCGATTGCTCGATTACTTAGCGATGTGTATTCGTTATCAAGAGAGCTCAATGATGAATTGTGACAATGATTCTTTTATAAACCTGGACTGTAAAGTAGGGGTTTCATCGGGTTCGTCCTATCAATCCCTATGCAGTTGATCGACGCCCCAAACAAAATGAATTTATATTACATAGTAAAGTCGTTTCTAACTTGGTACCAGGCTCAAAATCTTGCTGTGCATCACCCGGAAAATATCTCAGCGGCCCCCGCTTTTCTTTTGCGTCTCGTGACCACCTGCAGGGTCGCAACAAGTTCATATCTAACGTGAAGCTCTGAGGAATCATATACTGTTCTTGACAGTTTTCTGGTTTGAACAAAGAAATATTCATGCCCTTTTATTTGGTTGGTAATATTCATATTCAAATTCATACATATCGTACATGTGTCCATCAGCTCCTTCACTAAGTATATTGTTAATGCTGAATATATTTTGCTCTTCATAACTAACAAGAGAGCTATGCTTAAATATGTAAACACGAAGTCCATAACGAAATGTTTTACCATCATTTCTCTGAAAATCATATGGTTTTCGTGTCCCATGGGAAATACAAATGTGGGCTGTCCCATCCCATCCCATGGGAATCCAATTCCCATGGACAAGCCTGGTAATATTAATCAAGAAAAGCATGCAGAACGGAAAAAGCACGCATGCTGATTTTCAGGTTTCTGAATCTTGCGAGATTTGACGGAGCGCTTTCGCGATAAATCGGAACCGAAAAAGCGAAAAATGTGATTACTCGGAGCCAAGACGTCGCCGGGCTATTAATACCGCACTTATCAATCAAACGCCAATATGACGGCGGAAGCGAAATTGCGTATTAAAACAACGTAACTTCGACTTATTAATCAACGAAAGCATGCAGAATCTGAAAAGCACGCATTCTGATTTGCAGGTTTAGGATCTTGCGAGATTTTCGGAGCGCTTTCGCGATGAATCGGAACCGAAAAAACGAAAAGTGTGATTACTCGTCGTCAAGACGTCGCCGGGCCATACCGTATTAAACAGCAATATGATGGCAGGAGAGAAATTGCGTAATAAACCAACGTAACTTCGTCGTTTCGGCTTCGGTAAAGCGATTGAGACGGTAGAAAAACAACAAAATGAAATTTCCCGCGGACCGGCAAAAAAGCTTCGCGGACCGGCACCGGACCGGCGGTTGGGAACCACTGGTGTAGATTACATGGTGACCGTACATTTGAACCCATGTACATTTGAACCCATGCGTATATCCACGGGTTCAATCTATATGCGGGTGCTAAAACCCATGGGTTAGGGTTAGTATGGGTTTAACTATCCGTGAAACAAAAAAAATTTCATAGGTGCAATAGCATACAGGTGCAATTGTCATGGGTTCAAATGTACGTGGGTTCAAATGTAATGGAACCAGATTACATCAATACAGTATTATACTTTAAGGGCGGGTGTATACATATCCATTGTGGGACTACTCGCCTTTCGTTAGTGTGTCAACTAGGATGATACACCATTCATCCTTAAATCATTCATTCAACTCGCTTCGAACTTTAATAAATGAAGTCATTGCAAAATAATCTGAGACAAACACAACTCACTTCAAGCCGGATTCAAATCGTGCATTGCAATTTTGTGAGAACATAAACCTCATCTATTCATTCAGGATCTATTCGATTTGAGCTTTTAAACAAGCCCTACCTACCTTGTTTAGAAACAATACTTAGTTTTTCCGACATTCATATCTATAAATTTGTTAATACCTGCATTCCAGTATGGTTGTTCCAACTCATGGCAACATGAGTCCATCTACCCATAACAAGAGTTCGTTGTAGATTGGCTTCGTACTGTTTACCTAAAAAGGAAAAAAATATCTCTAAATATGGGTGAACGAATGTGGGATATAATCTTCAATTATAATTAAGGTCGATAATTTATCGATAATTCACTCAATGAAAACGAGTCATTTTTCCTTATTATTAAACTAGTGCACAAAGATTTTGTAGAATCAATTAATATTCATTGGAGATTTGCTATTCATATTTTCTCAACCAACTATCTTATTTTTAAATCAAATTCATCTTCAGCGTATGAAATTTATGCAGCGTTAATTTATTTATCCGAAAACTAAAGAATCGTATACTAAAATGAAGGCCATTTTACTCTCAACGTGGCTGCTTTATCTGTTCCAACGTGGAACCAGGAAATAACATAAAATCGAATAATATTTGTTTGGACACGAAGTGGACCAATGGATCGTTTTGTTGTTAGGTCGTTGATGCCCTTATTTATTTATTTTTATTGTTGTTGTAGTAAAAATAAACTACTGGGACAATTGCTTTGAAATTTTCAGTAGTTAAGAATCTTCACGGTCACTAGGGGGGGAATAACTTATATTCATTTTAAAAATTCCCTCGAACCATATGAGATTTGCTTTTTAGTCATCATCAACGGATAACGGTATTGGTAAGATACGTTTTTATGACATCGTGTATTTTGCAGCATAATTTTGATAGCGTTTTGCTAATATGAAAGTGACCATACTACTTCGTTATCGTCTTCGTGTCCTTATATTTGTTTGTTTTATTCCATACTCATACGAATATATTTACATGAAGCATAGAGTATATTTATTATTAACCATATATTTTTAATATATAATATAAAGTTAAGAATAACATTCATAAGACACGAACTAGTGTTTTTCGTATATATTTAAGGCAGAAACTACACAAAAACTGGTGTGAAAGGGATTTATGTATTCATGTTACCTTCAGCAGTACGAATAAAAAACAACAGTGAGTTCTCATCTTTGTCGTTACCGCCGATATATATCCCTGGTCGGCTTTTGTAAGATGTTGTGCTTCTTACTATTACTTGATTGCGCCGTGATGTGAATTCTTTTACGTTTAGCCAGAAAGCCAGAGTCAATCCATCTGAACGAATTAAAACCTTATGTTTTTTTTATAATTTGCAAAATTTAAATATAAAAGTAATTTGATAATCTTTCTATAGAAAGAAATGAATAACTACTTAGATTAACTGTTGTAAATTGTAGCAGGCGTTAATTAATATTGCTAATTTAACCACACATTTATTATTGTTTTATAATGCTTATTTTCAAATAGAATTAGTATCTCCATGTAAATGTTCAAAATAATGATACACACAGAGATGATACTGGCATTTTGCACTTGTAAAATTTATTGATTTAATGAAAAAAAGGAGTTATAGGGGGCGGTGCTTTAACAGCTTTTTATCAGCCACCAAGAAATTATACAAGACAAATACATATTTCATAACCGTATGGTGTAGAGCGCTTTGAAAACCGCATTTTTGAAAACCGTAAGTAAAATTTGGGCTAGGAATTAAGAATTTGCAAAATAGTGATAAAAGATTATAAATCGTAAAACATTGTACACAAGTTATTACATTAATTCTTAACCATATTTACAGTACCTTTACATTCAACTGGATTTCGTATGCAATCGGATTTCCAAATATTTTCAATTAATTCAATTTTTTCTTTGTTCAAATGTAATGCGTTGCCTTTTATTCCCGCTTGAACATCTATTGAATACGATAATAAAACTAGATTCATGTCAACATACCATCAAAAGAACAACATGAATAAACGTCAAATTGTGCTTACCAATGCGTGTAACGTGCATATAAACGGAAATGAAAGCAATATAACTATACCCATGTTGAATTAATATTGTATTCATACCACATTTTGTTATTTTGATTAATATACTTGAAAGAGTAAAGTTTGTTTGATAAATCACTAGTAAGAGAGAGAATAGGTAACTGATATATAATATATTGGTATGAACAATTAAAACATGTCAACAATTCCGCAATATGACAGATTGTAATTTATAAGACGATAAAAAATTTTGATTTTAATTTTCGTTAGTGTTAGAGTTAGTAACTGGATTCTATGAAAATGACTTTATGAGATCATGGTAATCGAGTGGGATCGCATACCAAAGTGACACCAAATTTGAATAGGTTTATTGTCATTTCTCCAGATCCGTTCTGTTTGTCACACCTATAAGTGGCACGCACTAGGTACTTATTATACCTTAAAATCTATCGCGACATAGTGAAATTTATAATTGCAGAATTGCTACCATTTTTCTCTATGATGAATTCAATGCATTGGTTTGTGAATAAATTTCACGTAATTTGTAACACACTTACTGAAGGTACAAAAAAATTATACAACTAGCGAACACAGTGTATTATCAGCCGACTGTAAATAATTAGAAAATTTTATTAATGCTACTAGGAGTATAGAATCGCAGACATAAACAATGTGGTCACATTGTTGTTTGACTAAGCGTTTTGGTTAACAATGGGTAACACCTTTAAGTAAACATGCCGTGGACGTATAAAAAATTCTTCTGTACAATCTACACGAATTCGATATATTGAAAACGACAAAGACCTGTCTACCGCATCAATACAAGCCACGATAAACAAACATCTGGTTCAGTATTGTTCAAGTAAGAAGATATCCAAAAGTTTAGCAACAAGGCTCAAGCACATAACGCATCGTCCAAATCGAGACAAGTTACTGACTATAAAATGTGGGTATTGAAGCCATAGTAAAGATGGTACAAAAAATTCAAGCACTTCGATTTGCTAAGAATTCATTTCACCCATAAAACTGACACGAGAAGTTCGGTCGACCTTGAACCTGATATAAAACTAATGACATAAAGACAATTTTTATTGAATTTTACTCTTTAATCCAGAATATAATTGTAAAAAAAACATAAAATTTGCCCACACTCCATGTTTCCCAAGCTTGTCAAATCACACGAATATTTATCTTTATCTCCGAAGTCGGGCAGCAATGTTTCACCGTCATACGTGTCCATTGACCAAAACACGAGAGGATCCGTCTTTATACCTGGGAATAATCAGAAAACTCGACATTGACTTTACAGATAATATTTGTGTGGGCATAATAATATTGCTCCTAGCGTCAGAGGGGGCAATTGTTTTTTAATTAACGATAAATTGTATGAATTTACGATCCTTTTAAAGCGTTTTGTTCACATACAATTAGCTGCATTCAACGTCATACGTTGCCGAGCTGATTAGAAATCCGTAGGGTTATCGCACATCGTCTCATGACCACGGGTAAGGTGCCGACGCCCCAAGGTTTATGGTTTGATGGAGCTTACTTTTGGAATATTACTTTTGCTCGGTGCACGACTATAGTGGGTGGGATTAGACCGTGTGATTTAACCGAAAAGAGTATTGACCATCAGTGATACGTGTTGATGTTGCATCTGGATCCTATCCGCAGCATGGCTCGGTTCGTATAGTTTTATCGATTAAAAAACTTGTGGAAAACTCAGTTGTTCGGATTAACGTAAGCTAGTGATCAGATTCGCAAATTATTATGCTGTAGGTTAGTGACGCGTTTTTTAAATATATTTCGTCTAAAGGCTGCTAAACGTTCGCAGAACAAACGTTGAAATAGCGGTGTGTAACAATGTAGAAGTATATATATTATTTCGTATTTATAAATTCGTATTATAAATTTGTAAGCACCTAGACTAGGATATTTATTATTACGCAAAGCATATTTATATAGACAAGTCGTATGATGTAACGTAATTAAGTAGCTGAAAGTTTCGAGAGGCAGTTAACACATTGAAAATCAGGTCAACTATACTCTAAATTAGAAGAAAACCGGCGGTTAGAAATAATACTGCGACTTGCTGGGGAATATTTAATTATGTTTGCATATAGTCTCATAGGCTGGCAGGTAGGTGAAAGGTAAAAAAAATATTTTGCGAAAATGGATCACAGCCCAAGCTTCTAGATATGAACTAATTAAATAAAGATCTATTAAGATCTATTGCAGGATTATGCCTCCGGGGCAATCGAAGCCTCTACGTCCACCAGCACAACCTAAAATTAAATCGTGTGATACAGAAATAATTGCTCACCTGCGACTTTTCCAATAAGGAAGAGGATTGTCACGAAATAAAATTCCATTTCTCTTTCGTGTATTCCAACTTTTGAATTTTAATTCACTGCACTGTAGCTTGAATAAACTTTAACGCCGAGGCAAACAACGCATTCGTCTAAATGTACATAGTAAACCATCGGCCTATTTACGTGCCATTCATAAATGAAAGCACCGCCTCCCTAACCATAAGCAATAACGCAATTGAAGTTACGTTCGCGCGTTTAGGCATAGCCGACGTGACTGGAGGCCACCTATACACTTTATAATACGACAAAATCCACGCCTGAATGATCACGGGCTAGGTAAATCTTTTGTAGTAACATGTAAAGACGCATACGCCGTCAAATTGCGTGGTTATAACATTCCCGTACAATGTTTTAAGGATTACTTTTTGCATTATCGAAATACTAAGTCACACTTATCGCGCGCATTCTGCCACGAGATTGTGTACTTAGAACGAAATGCTGGGAAAGAGACAAAGTGTTTCGAATTCCTCGCTAAATTGTTACGGCTTTAACTTGCATCACAGTAAGTCAACCAATGATATGGAACCAATCAACAACTTATTTATTTATTATTATATAGTTAGAAATGGTGAATACTTCACAATAAATCATTTCGAATTAAAAACCTTTTTCTACAATATATTTGTATTAAAAGCCAATTTCTACAAAAAAAAAAAAGTTTTGAAAAAAGTAACGCGAATTTAAACGAAGATTGATGTGTGAATATAGCAACCTTTCGTTCCGTTCAATTTGGTCATTCTGATGACCCGTCCTGACTGATCTGACCAAAGGAAAGCGAGATCTTGTAAAAATAGTTTCATAACGCTTTCATTTCCCCCACTCGCCTCATAAATTTAAAAAAAAATTTACCTGAACGTTTGACTGCAAATTTTCCTTTCTCTCATAACATGTTGAAAAGATATTCAGCCCTTAGAATGTATTTGTAATTGCCAAACTATAATTATTACTTTAGGGAAACATTTATAGATTGAGAATATTTTTATTTCAGATTTTTAGAACATATACAACATTGAATCATTATGGCAGTCATAGATTTACAATAGTGCGTCATTCTAGTTTTCTAGTATCTTCTAAAGGTTCTAATAGTTTTTTGGATTTATTTCCTGGAACGTAGCCTTCTGGTACAGGATCTAAATTAAATTTGGACAAAATAATGATCTTGTATCAGTTATTTTGAAGGTTAGTAGAATAAGTTTCAAATGAGTTTTGCTTCAATGTTCATTGAATACTCTTTTAATCGTAATATTTGACACAAATTTCCTCGATATTACAACCGAATTGAGTTGTATTCCCCCACCTGGTGGACCAATTAGTCTGATGAGAAGGTGCAAACTGTGATAAAATTTTAATAAGACAAATATTGCATAATTGCGACAACGATCAAAGTCAAAGAAATTCACATTATTCATGTGGCAAAAGGATAATGCTATAGGGGCATTAATTCGTTATCGGATAATAAGAAAAGAAAGTGTAAAATTTTTACAAACCGGTCTCGTGGCAACGAAATTTTGGTGAACTAACATCCAAGAAAGCAGCACCATTTATTCGCATTAATCTTGAAATTAAATCGAATGTACTTTCTCCCGGTTTCGGGTAAACGCCTAATATACTAGATAGCTTTCTGATAAAAAGAAAAATACAATTATGTTGTTGTACTGGTCAATACAACGAAAGTTGATTCCGGGTTGAAGTATGGAAATTAACTAGAATAAACACAGCATACTTTTTTTTTCATTTGAAACATACCTACAACTCCACGTTTCGGGATCATCGCCCTCACGTTTTGTTTTCCATAGACCTATCAATGCCAACGACGTCATAGGTTTATTTTCAATTACTATTTCTCCGTCCTTCATTTTGGATAGATTTTCGATGACAAAATTTCGCATGGCGGAAATAGTCTCGTTAAGTTTGGTTTTATTAATCGTTGAATTCGGCATTGTAAATAGGCAATGTAGGGCAGGAAGAAGCTTTATGGTATTTTCTGAAAACAGAGAATAATGAATACATTTAGCCTTCTGTGATTCATTATTTTATTATTAAATATACACCGAAATTAAAAAAAAAACTGCACGAATTTATTGAGTCATATATACAAAAAATGGTTTCAGCTCTCAATTTGAGTCTTCATCGATTTGAATTCTTACAAAAAAATAAATTGCATCCGGTTACAAGAAATTAAAGGAACTCACGAAGAAATTCAGAATCTCCAAAACTGCCGTTTTTGTTTTGACCTTCAATGAGTCTATCCACAAACCAACCTTCGAAAGGAATACCGCTAATACATACTGATCCAATTCCGATTGATAGCATATCGTATCCAACAGTTGGAAAACGAGCTGAAAAAGTGGCCAAAGCAAAAACAAACAAAGTTACTTGATGTTTGCTCAAATCAAAATCGCATGGATCGGAACAAACACGAATTGGATGTATTTGGAAACAATAATTAATGGTAGAATGAGAAGCGCGCAAAAATTTCAAAATAAAAATCAGAGTATTTTTTGCACTTGCATCACGGTTGTTATTTTTAATTGAAACTCCTGATTCTCTATTTATTAATTGAACCTGCGAAAATGTGTAATGTAACAAATTCGAGGCAAACGAAAAATGTCGAGATTTAGTCCTGTCCTCGTATAGGTTACAATTATACTAGTAGAAAGAATTTAATATTTAACATATCAGATAGATGAAACGCCTACCATCATCGGGAAATTGCATCTTTATTTCATCAGAAACATTTCCAGCGAAGTCAACTCCGTCGATACTACGGACATCAAGACACATACTTTTTGCTGAAATGATGTGCTCGGCTTTCTGTCTCATTGTCATTCTTATATAAAATATTAGGGAAGTAAAATAGAAATGACCATGATAATAAGCAATGCTTCCCCTCTGCCATGCTTTATTAACGCAAATAAAATGGTATACATTTTGCAGAAGGATATTTGCAAGAAAGTAAGTGGTTTACTATCCCATAAACTGTTAACGAAGATTAGTGAATGACCCCGGCTCGACAAAATTCTCTCGAAAAAGTTCTCTCGAGTATTTACAATACTTAGTGAATGTCATTTTCGCTTTTTACGAGGAGGTTGACGTTTCATTAACACGTTAAATGTTAACGAAGTTTATCGAAAGAACTCTCTGGATCCGCCAGTGTCAAAGATATAGAATCTGCTATGAGGCCCATTATTTCTTTTTCATAGCAACAATCTGGCTCAAAACAATATCTTTACTTTATATGTGGAGTATTTATGTAGTAGAGCATTTGATATTTTACATCGTTAAACATAAATGAATGATTGTTTGAGGGTAATAAATATTTTCTTTCTTCTGGATCAAGTTCATGTTGGCATATTGCGTATATACTAAACTCAACTAAAGCATTGTTAAAGTTTATTTTCTTATGTCGCGAGCAAAGAAAAAAAAAAAAAAAAACTCACTAACGAAGCAGAATTCGTGAAATATAAAAGTTTACTGTACTCTTTGAACTTTGATTTTATATTTTTCACAAGAGCATTTGCAGTTTTTCCGCGACCAAAGAACGTTTTTTGCGCCGTAAGCTGCAAGATAATTGGCGTGGTCAAGTTTTCCCACGTCCAATCCGGTTTTCTATTCCTCATTAGCATTTTAACAATTTGCTTCGTTGCCTGTTTCACGTCTTTTTTCGAAGTTGGATCTCCTGAGAATGTGAAACAAAAATTGCTGTTTTTAATTTCACTAATGTTTAGGTAGTTTTTCCCAAAATTGTGACGCGCCACGAGGTAGAATGTTGATTAAAACGAACTGGAATGAGCAATAGCGTTAAAAAACGGAAACTGAAATAATTTATCTATAATCTATTTCAGCGAATGCCATGCATTTTGGAAATGGATTAGTAGAAAGTTGCATGTAGGCCCACATTAGTTACCCATTTTAGAAATACGAAAATCCCCTTCATTTACATGTTTTAAACAAACTTGAATAAAGTAACTATATAATTTTATTTTATTTAGTTGCCCCAACAAGTTTATTTTTGAATTCTTGAAATATGTATGAATTTTACATTCAAACCTTTAATGACTAATCAAGCAATTCAAATTTATTTATTCCATTCGACGTCAGCATATAAACATCTCTAAGTTCAAATTATGTAGGTTCTCTTAAACTCGTGTAAATTTTCAAATGCTCCACTGGAAGCAATGATATATAGTTTGACACAGAGTTTGAAATAACATGAACCTAAATTAGAACACCAACTGGACACAAACATTCTTACTTACGGTATATATATATGTATATGATTCTCTGAAGCAGGCTAAAATAATACCAAATAACCCACTAGAATAAACAAGACGATTCATAACATTTGTCAGCCCTTTTTTCATAATTGACAGCTTAGAATCACATTTCGACACAAATAGAAAACCTAGCCTCAAACCAAACCCGGATTCAGGCTCAATTGCTAATTAAAAAGAAATTCAAACTCACCGCAAACTGTCGGAGAATCGTCCACGGAGCCAAAAGCTAGGGCGACAAGCACCATATTAGCGTTAATATCAACAACTTCATATTGTGTCCACTACTTCTAGAGCTAATTATATCGAATATCGTATATATCTTATAGTCTTTATGTAGAGAACTATGTGGCGACCTGCTCCCATCACAATACCTGAAACCACTTCAATGCGAATCCATTTTGAAAACTGCTCAACGCCTAAAAAAATCTTTATCTTAAATTCCGAGTATACTGGCTTTATGTATGTTATGTATCTTCGGGCAATGTAATATATAATGTTAATCACCAGTGTTATATGATCTGAAAAATTGAAGCACGACAGTTAGGTTAGAAACGAGATGAATTAACTAGTTTATTTAAAAATAATTCGCATTTTTTTAAACAAAACCTTTGGAAGTTGTTCTATTTTTAATCAATCCTGTGGCTGCTACCCTTTACACGTGGTGTATTATTCCCTATTTTTGTAACATCTGTCCATGTCACAATAGAAAAAATGTGCCAATTTGCATCGGTGTGAAGTGGGAATGCACCGATGCTTATCAGACTCACTTGTAATAAACATTTTCCGCTCTGATTAATGCATGCGCAAAATTTCAGACGTTTTGCAATGATGTCTGGAATGTTTGTTATGGTCTTGCTTGAAATAAAAGCTAATTTCCTACGCAGCACTATAAGAATGAACGTTATATGCCATTTGGAAGTGATAAAAAATCACTTACATTCAAGCGTGTACTTCCTGCTGTGATAGAAAAACGTCACACAACAAGAAAATTCGTTCGAGTTCGTCTTCATTACTATTCATAGCATTAGGTGTCGCTATTTCGGCGCAAATGAAAATAGAACCTTTTTTACTTCAAAGAGTGGTATCCATGGGTGTGTATATATGTTTAAGGGTGCAAAATTCCACGGGTGCAATAGATGCGAATATCCGCGGGTGCAAATGTACGCGGGTACAATTGTACGTCGGTGTAAATGTACGCGGGTGCAAAAGTATGTGGATAAAAAGTACGTGGGAGCAAATGTACGCGGGTGCAAAAGTACGCGGGTGCAAAAGTACCTGGGTACAAATGTTTGTGGGTTCAAATGTGCGTGAGTACACTGGCGCAAATGTCCGCGGGGGCAAATAGGCAAGATGCAAATGTCCGTAGGAGCAAAGGTGTTTGGGTGCAAATGTAGGTGGGTGGAAACGTTCATGGGCGCAAATATCCATGGGTGCAAATGTCAATGGGTGCAAATGTTCATGGGTGCGAATGTTCATGGGTGCAATCTGTATGTTGGTGCAAAAATCTGCGTGTGGAAATGTATAGATGCAATGTTCGTGGGTGCAAAAGTAGGCAAGTGCAGTTGTCCCGTGTGCAAATGTAAGTGTTTTCGTAGATAATGGAACCTCTTTGGGTATATGCCGCCTAATTACATGACAGCATTTACATATGGCGAGGTTAGTGAATCTCAAACAGCTAATAGCCAGCTAAAAATCTAGTATGTATTTTGGCCGCCCTCGCTTTGAATGTTACTCATCAGTAATGGTGATCAAAGAGGCTAATTACAGAACAAATTTAATCCACGCAAGCAATCAGCCGGTCCGAACCGGAACATTATTTTGACGCACTAATCACTGAATGAGATAACCAGAGAAAAACAAAATCCCGATTTCATTTGCAAGCCACCCTCATTATGGTCTTGAGTCTGAAGTAAACATCAAGCTATTTTTTGGCGTACAGTTGCTAGACTATCATTTGTATTGTTGTCACAACAGTAGGTTTCTTTGTTTCAAACATTAACACGGCGAAAATGAATTAGATTAACTCAACGTCTATGCATGGACATACCTGTATATAGGATTATATTTAACAAATGACATGATGACAATGATATGAATTTGTATTGTTTTGCTATTCACTATTTTAATTAAAATAAGAAAAAACATGTATCAAAACTATATTCAAAATATAACGATTGGCTCCTGAATTCTCAATACAAAAATGCCGTTTGCGTTGGAATTTATTTGGCAAAAAAAAACAACATATCGAAAACGTCAAGTCTCACTTTGCCTGACTTTGTGTGATTACCCATAAACAATTTTTCATGTGTCAAAACGTTCTACACCAATTTGTTGGCGGTGATATATAACATTAAGCCAATCGTTCTGCTTTAGGCTGACGTATTGGCATTTCTACAGGCTGGCAACCAATCCGATACTGTAGTCCGAGATTGTCATATTAATATATTCATTTTACTTTTATGGCAGAATTACAATTGTTCGTTCTACGGTTTAATTATATTATGTAGGGTTTTGTTTTTTATCAATTCTAAAAAAAAACATCGTGTTTTAAAACAAGGGCTTGTTTTAAATCAATTTTTTTCTGTATTTTTTGTACTTTTCATTGAAATACCCCTTGCATCGCCGCAAAACTACGCCAAAACGTTATATTCTGGCAGCTGCACACGCAGCCGGAATTACAATTTTCAAAAATGTAAAGAAATTTTTTTATTTTGACTTTTACTATTGCGTACATTTATCGCCACGTTTGTATCCCAACCAAAGTCATAAGACTTTACCCGGAATGTTTAGCCGAAATATCAGAAGGACGTTTTGAGTAAGAAAAATCATGAAAATTAGCTCACGAGCCTCTTACAAAAGCAATTAGATCAAGTGCAGTCCTTCGGCAAAACGAGTGGGTTGCGATAATGAAGAATATGCTTATATCGGCGGTAATCTACTGATATAAACGATGAGACACCCTAGCCTAGATTTTGTTAATTGTAAGAGGCCTCTGATGCAAAGACGCCACAACTAATCTGTTATGACGCCATAATAAGAATTTCGAATTCATGTATTGACATTTTTCTCATAAAATGATGGCAATATTACGGTTAATACTGTTCGGTTAATTTATGCTTAGCATACTTTGTTTTCATCGTCGAAGTGAAAGTTTTTCAAGGTTATACAAACTCATTTATTCGGTCGCATTTCAATTTTCGCAAGGTGGTTTCATCGCAGCAGGGTCATTCACATAATGGCTTATCGGTTGCGTCTTACTGCGCCCACCACTGAACTACAGCTTGAGAAGGTGTGCATGAGCCTCTATCGATTTTTGTGGCGTTTTGAAAGATTTATTGCAAATAGGAAGCGCTTGGCAAGTTTTTACATCCATTTTTCTTCAACCTATTTAATACAAAAAAATCAAATAGTACAGCCATTTTGAACAAAACAGGCAAAAAAAAACTTGATTTAAAACAACTGTTTTAAAACAATTCTCTTTGAACAAATAATATTATGTATGTTTTTTTTGCCCAAAATTCGCAGGGGAAATGAAAAGAAAAAAAATTCATAGTCCTGCGCTTGTCGGGTCGCCTTATAAAACTTGATAAAGACGTCGGCGAAGCGAGAAAGTGGACGGTCGTTTTTCAAGCGTAGGATCAAATTGCAAGTCTACCCACTGGAGTCAAGTATTCAATATGTAAATAACAGTGTCAATAAAGCAATAAGAAATAATTCAAAATTCGATAACGATAAAACTCATGACGGACGAATATCGCGAGTCATAAATAATCAAAATATATGAAAAACATAGTGATAAACTCCATGATAGCATATTTCATTTGAATGAATTTGTAAACACTTTACGTAAAATCGATGATTCCCAAGATTTTTATCACATTCATATTGGTATCGTTATCATGAGTATATATCAGAATAACGTGACGTTTAAAGATTTTTGAAACGTCCACAAAACCTATAGGCGTGGTCTTTATACTATGTTCACTACTAGACGACAAGAAACGTGAAATGCTTTTCATGCAGAAAATTTAGCGTGTGATGTACGAAAATATCTTCCGACAACCTTCGACCATAATAGTGCTAAGTAATAAACTATTTATTTACATTTAGAATTATCCTGACAGATATGTTGGCAGAGATATTTGAGGCAAAAGAGTCCAATGAAAGGCTGTAATTGCCGGAAATTCGCATTATGCTACAGTGACATGTAATGTTTATTTTCAATACTTTTTGAATATATCATTTTGGAGATGCCATGCTAAAATACTATCAATCTATACAGAAAACACAATTACCAATACCTCCAATGTTTTAGAAAAAAATGATTTTTTTTTTTGTTCAAATTTATTATGAAAAGTCGCGAAGTTACCTATCATGGTTAGAATTTTTTTTTTATATTCATATATATATTCCTGTTAATGCTAATGCTTTTCTCCATACTGATTATTGAAGTTGTATGACGGGCAACAAACTGCTGTTGAATTTTATTTGCTGATGCGCCCATGGTAAACTATGCCACGTTTTATGACTTGATAAGGACAAAACACACCCATTTGAGAAAAGATGCAAAAAATAATTCTTTCCCCAATCATTATCTCACGACCTCTTTATCGTTATTCAGATACCGTCTGTATGATTGAAATGATGATTTTTCAATAATCATAAAGTAACAATTTACAAATGAGTATACATTTGAGTTGACAAATAGATCTGAACATTTTTTTTAATTTTAATTTGAGTTCATAGTGAAGCAAAAAGTCCAAATCATTGTATCGATTGCAATGTTTGATGAAACATCGTCGCCAAAATTTTGACCGATGAGGTGCTAATCTCAAAGGTTTCTGAAACGTCAGGTAACGGTTTATTTTTATATATGCATCGTGTACGATTTCTTAAACATTTCTTTAATAATGACTGTTGAAATGACTCGTCAAATTTACGCGTCTGCTGATGACTACGAAAGATAATAAATACAGACGGAATATAATATATAAGAGAATTTTCTGTCTTGAATCATTTGTGTGAAATTCCGACAAGTAAGAAGAAGCCCAGGGAAGCTAATAAGATGAAGTTGAATTATATTATTTTAGTTACAATAATAGTTGTGGCGACATTTTGCTCATCCGCTAATGCAACTTCAATATGTGGTGGGTGGAATGTTAAAGTAATACTAATACTAATAATTAAATATCAGTTGATGAGATCGGTTGAAAAAGTTCATGAAATAAATCTTTAAAAATATACCAAAGCATCATCATTAAATAAAAGATAAATTATTTCAATATGATCTTCTTAGGAGATCCGCAATCCGAAAAAGACGTTCGTCTTGCGACCAAAGAAATTGTGAAACGTTTGATGGCAAGGCGAAAATCTGATTGGACATGGGATGCGGTTACAACGCCTATTGTCTTCCAAGTTAGTGTTCCAAAAATGTTTTTCGGTCGTCAAAAAACAGCAAGATCTATTGTGGGAAAAATGAAGAAGAACTTTCACAGGTATTTATATCAAAAGCTATATCTAGTAACAACAAAAATCGGAAATTAATCAAAAAATTGTTTTTAGAATGACGTTGAGACAAAAAGCAGAGAACATTATTGCTATAAAATCTTTGTGCATGAATGAAAGAGACGTCGGAGGAATAGATCCTGTGAAAAACGTATCGGAAGAACTAAAACTACAATTTCCGAATAACAGTAAATATTAACTTCAAACACGTCAAAACAACTCTTTAAAAACTTTTGATCGAGACATGCGATAGCTTTTTTACCTCATTTTATCGACGATATAAAACAAATAGGTCTAAATAAATATTTTTGGAATGTCTCTATGATAATTACAATACAATAAAATACTGTAATTTTAACCTGTTATTTCACGTTATACAGCTCGTTTTCCAGCGATCGGATACGGAATGTTTTCCATTGGGATTGGTTCGGTATGTGTTAGTGGATATCCGATTGAAAATTGGTTGTTTGAAAAATTCATATCTGGACAAAATGAAGACGGAAGTTTCGGAGATTCAAATTATCTTAGTGAGTAAAAAATTCATACAATATGAGTCGCGTTCAAAAGTTTATATCCCAAATTTGACAATTTCTGTTTCGAATAATATACTACGTCCAGTTAAAAAGGCGATAATATATAAAACAAACCTATCTAAGACAGCAACCAATGTATTCCATAACGCAATGCGCGCAGATCATTTCTGATTTGTTTATTTTCAATTAAAGGCTATACTTATATGCCAAACATTTCTTTAAGTATTACCCAGTTTTTACTACTGAATCTACATATTGGCACATCTGAAAGTTTGTAATTATTTTTAATTAAAAATAACAAATTTATGAACTATAGTAATAAAAATTCAGCATGGTATAAATTCATCTCTTTACAATTGAGTTTGACAGTTTTAACAATGACAGTAACCGGCAAAATGCTGCGATCTTTTCAGTGAATACCATAAGGTTACTTGCTCCTACCCATTGCCTGCGCCTGATGAAAAATCCTGCTTACAACGCGACAAAACTCGATAATGTGCTTTTAAAAATGAGAGATTACATAATGAAAAACATGATTACCACTCGTGCTGGGGAAGTGTACATTGAGAACAAAAGTTTAACTTCACATACGCTACTTAGTTTATGGAAAACAAGAAATGAAGGAGAAAACCCCGATAAATGGCGTTGCAGGTATGCTACGTTTTTGCATTTCTTACACCAATTTTCCTCGTGAAACTCTATTTGGTTGTTTATGATAGTTGTCAAATCGGCGCTCCCGTAGTATGTGCAACAAGATGGCGGATACCTGAACATAGTATGTGTACCAGGTTAGGGTTGGGCCATCATTTTATTCCAATTTTCCTTATCTTAATTATATTACAAGTTCGGGCACTAGCCAAGTGACTCCCGTAGTTTTTGTACCTGAAATTATGGCCTAACCCTAACCTGATACACATACTACGTTCCGGTGTCCGCCATCTTGTTGCACATACTACGGCAGTACCGTCAAATCAATTTCCAATATGGGAGTTCAACTTTATTCATGTTTTTGTGGTTTGTGCAGGGAGCTATCAAAAACGTTAGGAATATATCCAGACCCGGACGAAACTTTGTCTCAGTTGACTTCTCGTTTGATGCGTCTTCATGGGGCTGCATACCTGGATGTCGGATCGCCGCAATTCACCTGTCAAAAACCAGGTAGTGTGTTTATGTCAGATTTACTAACGTTTTCAAATATTAATACCCATGTACTAAATCCAGATATGCAAAGCATTTAGAAAACTTGTTTGTAACAGCTGCATTGACACCTACCTACACGTACATACATATATATCCAATCGGTATAATGAGGACCATTGTATAATATGAGTGAGACAATGTCTGGATAACTTCTCTGGGTTGACTGCTATTATCTCACTTATATATTTAGTTTGTTATGATTGTGTTTTCATTTAGATCCCGTACCAAAAGGTTACGTTCCTTCATGTAAGCCACACAAGCCATGGACCTGCAAATCGAAGAATCCAAAGTAACAGGAATTTGCAGAATAAATAAATCAGTATTCGAACGAGTTAAAAAAGAACATTCCTCTATTTTTATTATGGATTTTCATCAATTTCGTCGTGACAAATCTTTCCATTAGATTTTGTAAATATGAAAAATTTCAAGCACTTCATTATGCTCTCCCACACATAAAAAATGAAAAGTGACAAAATCAAGATTCACGTTTTATTTTCCGTGTGCTGTCATATTTTATGACTAAAGTTATTTTGTTTTGTGCTTGTATTTTCTGTAGTGTATCAATAAATATTTTCATCCTAATAGTTTAAGCATATGTTTTAAGGTGTGTTACAGTTGTATTATCGTTTAGCAGAGTGCTTAAAAATCATTACCTCGTCGTTTGGGAGGTGACCATGCCTGCCTGCCACCGGCGATGTATCATTTACATAGGAATTATAAGATATTACATAATAATCGAACTTTCAAAAACGGCTCCAACGTCTTTGCACCCATGTACATTTGCACTCGCAGAGTTTAAAACCCACATATAGTTTGCACCAACGAACATTTGTACCCACAGATATTTGCACATACGGACATTTGTACCCACAGACAATTGCACCCGCGGACATTTGCACCTACATACATTCGCACCCGCGGACATTTGCACCCCTGAACGATTGCACCCGCGTACATTTGCACCCACGGATAAATACCCATGGGTAAAGATGCCTATGCGTGAAAATGTCGGTTTCCTATAAATAGCTATGTTCAAATTTCCTCTGAGTCCTTTTTTTCGAATCTAAAAGTTTGTTGTATATACCAGCGATTCTCAAAGTTGGCGATATTGCACACTTCGTCTTTATTGTGATGATGCTATAAAACTAATCAATGCAATAGTGTAAAATTTTATCGTTTATCTTGTAATTTTGCTAACGGCAATGTCTTGAAAATAATCTCGAGCGGCTCAAATTTAACATATTACCAAGATCGCAAAAATGCGAATCAGTTCTAAATATAATCGGACAGTATACCATTATTACCATATATTTTGATGTACGCAGATTGTTCATTTCGAAGCAATATTATTTTTATTGTATTGTAAGTAGGCGCAACGGCGAGTTACTTTGAGAATAATGGAATTAATACGGCAAATCCTTGTTATTACCTGTATCGGCCATGGACTGACTATTTTGCGCAACAGAAAAATCATGATTTGATTTGCAATTTCGATTTGAAGCTTCCGAAAAAACCGATAGCGTATTTTCTTATAAGTCACAAAGGCTATGGTTGGGCGTTTGAATTTGGTGTCCGTATATTTGAGCATTGCTCTCATGTTTTTCTTTTTTATATTTTATTTATACTCACATCCTCCAGTTCTCTAGAAAATTCAGTGTTCTTAACCTTTATGCCCTTAGGCAATATTTTTGTTTTGGTACTCTGCCAACGTATTTTATTTAGTGCGTAACATGCTTTGCAAAGACGCCACAACTAATCTGTTATGACGCCATAATAAGAATTTCGAGTTCATGTATTGACATTTTTCTCATAAAATGATGGCAATATTACGGTTAATACTGTTCGGTTAATTTATGCTTAGCATACTTTGTTTTCATCGTCGAGGTGAAAGTTTTTCAAGGTTATACAAACTCATTTATTCGGTCGCATTTCAATTTTCGCAAGGTGGTTTCATCGCAGCAGGGTCATTCACATAATGGCTTATCGGTTGCGTCTTACTGCGCCCACCACTGAACTACAGCTTGAGAAGGTGTGCATGAGCCTCTATCGATTTTTGTGGCGTTTTGAAAGATTTATTGCAAATAGGAAGCGCTTGGCAAGTTTTTACATCCATTTTTCTTCAACCTATTTAATACAAAAAAATCAAATAGTACAGCCATTTTGAACAAAACAGGCAAAAAAAAAACTTGATTTAAAACAATTGTTTTAAAACAATTCTCTTTGAACAAATAATATTATGTATGGTTTTTTTGCCCAAAATTCGCAGGGGAAATGAAAAGAAAAAAATTCATAGTCCTGCGCTTGTCGGGTCGCCTTATAAAACTTGATAAAGACGTCGGCGAAGCGAGAAAGTGGACGGTCGTTTTTCAAGCGTAGGATCAAATTGCAAGTCTACCCACTGGAGTCAAGTATTCAATATGTGAATAACAGTGTCAATAAAGCAATAAGAAATAATTCAAAATTCGATAACGATAAAACTCATGACGGACGAATATCGCGAGTCATAAATAATCAAAATATATGAAAAACATAGTGATAAACTTCATGATAGCATATTTCATTTGAATGAATTTGTAAACACTTTACGTAAAATCGATGATTCCCAAGATTTTTATCACATTCATATTGGTATCGTTATCATGAGTATATATCAGAATAACGTGACGTTTAAAGATTTTTGAACCGTCCACAAAACCTATAGGCGTGGTCTTTATACTATATTCACTACTAGACGACAAGAAACGTGACATGCTTTTCATGTAGAAAATTTAGCGTGTGATGTACGAAAATATCTTCCGACAACCTTCGACCATAATAGTGCTAAGTAATAAACTATTTATTTACATTTAGGATTATCCTGACAGATATGTTGGCAGAGATATTTGGGGCAAAAGAGTCCAATGAAAGGCTGTAATTGCCGGAAATTCGCATTATGCTACAGTGACATGTAATGTTTATTTTCAATACTTTTTGAATATATCATTTTGGAGATGCCATGCTAAAATACTATTAATCTATACAGAAAACACAATTATCAATACTTCCAATGTTTTAGAAAAAAATGATTTTTTTTGTTTAAATTCATTATGAAAAGTCGCGAAGTTACCTATCATGGTTAGAATTTTATTTTTATATTCATATATATATTCCTGTTAATGCTAATGCTTTTCTCCATACTGATTATTGAAGTTGTATGACGGGCAACAAACTGCTGTTGAATTTAATTTGCTGATGCGCCCATGGTAAACTATGCCACGTTTTATGACTTGATAAGGACAAAACACACCCATTTGAGAAAAGATGCAAAAAAAACCTTTCCCCAACCATTATCTCACGACCTCTTTATCGTTATTCAGATACCGTCTGTATGATTGAACTGATGATTTTTCAATAATCACAAAGTAATAATTTACAAATGAGTATACGTTTGAGTTGACAAATAGATCTGAACATTTTTTTTTAATTTTAATTTGAGTTCAAAGTGAAGCAAAAAGTCCAAATCATTGTATCGATTGCAATGTTTGATGAAACATCGTCGCCAAAATTTTCACCGATGAGGTGCTAATCTCAAATGTTTCTGAAACGTCAGGTATCAGAAGGACGTTATATACAAATCCATTTCGATCACGTTATCGTATCAACAAATCGCCTCTATCGTGACCAAACGGTTTATTTTTATATATGCATCGTGTACGATTTCATAAACATTTTTTTAATAATGGTCGTGCTTTAAAAATGACTCGTCAAATTTACGCGTCTGCTGATGACTACGAAAGATAATAAATACAGACGGAATATAATATATAAGAGAATTTTCTGTCTTGAATCATTTGTGTGAAATTCCGACAAGTAAGAAGAAGCCAAGGGAAGCTAAGAAGATGAAGTTGACTTATATTATTTTAGTTACAATAATAGTTGTGGCGACATTTTGCTCATCAGCTAATGCAACTTCAATATGTGGTGGGTGGAATGGTAAAGTAATACTAATACTAATAATTAAATATCAGTTGATGAGATCGGTTGAAAAGGTTCATGAAATAAATCTTTAAAAATATACCAAAGCATCATTAAATAAAAGATAAATTATTTCAATATGATCTTCTTAGGAGATCCGCAATCCGAAAAAGACGTTCGTCTTGCGACCAAAGAAATTGTGAAACGTTTGATGGCAAGGCGAAAATCTGATTGGACATGGGATGCGGTTACAACGCCTATTGTCTTCCAAGTTAGTGTTCCAAAAATGTTTTTCGGTCGTCAAAAAACAGCAAGATCTATTGTGAGAAAAATGAAGAAGAACTTTCACAGGTATTTATATCAAAAGCTATATCTAGTAACAACAAAAATCGGAAATTAATCAAAAAATTGTTTTTAGAATGACGTTGAGACAAAAAGCAGAGAACATTATTGCTATAAAATCTTTGTGCATGAATGAAAGAGACGTCGGAGGAATAGATCCTGTGAAAAACGTATCGGAAGAACTAAAACTACAATTTCCGAATAACAGTAAATATTAACTTCAAACACGTCAAAACAACTCTTTAAAAACTTTTGATCGAGACATGCGATAGCTTTTTTACCTCATTTTATCGACGATATAAAACAAATAGGTCTAAATAAATATTTTTGGAATGTCTCTATGATAATTACAATACAATAAAATACTGTAATTTTAACCTGTTATTTCACGTTATACAGCTCGTTTTCCAGCGATCGGATACGGAATGTTTTCCATTGGGATTGGTTCGGTATGTGTTAGTGGATATCCGATTGAAAATTGGTTGTTTGAAAAATTTATATCTGGACAAAATGAAGACGGAAGTTTCGGAGATTCAAATTATCTCAGTGAGTAAAAAATTCATACAATATGAGTCGCGTTCAAAAGTTTATATCCCAAATTTGACAATTTCTGTTTCGAATAATATACTACGTCCAGTTAAAAAGGCGATAATATATAAAACAAACTTATCTAAGAATGCAACCAATGTATTCCATAACGCAATGCGCGCAGATCATTTCTGATTTGTTTATTTTCAATTAAAGGCTATACTTATATGCCAAACATTTCTTTAAGTATTACCCAGTTTTTACTACTGAATCTACATATTGGCACATCTGACAGTTTGTAATTATTTTTAATTAAAAATACCAAATTTATGAACTATAGTAATAAAAATTCAGCATGGTATAAATTCATCTCTTTACAATTGAGTTTGACAGTTTTAACAATGACAGTAACCGGCAAAATGCTGCGATTTTTTCAGTGAATACCATAAGGTTACTTGCTCCTACCCATTGCCTGCGCCTGATGAAAAATCCTGCTTACAACGCGACAAAACTCGATAATGTGCTTTTAAAAATGAGAGATTACATAATGAAAAACATGATTACCACTCGTGCTGGGGAAGTGTACATTGAGAACAAAAGTTTAACTTCACATACGCTACTTAGTTTATGGAAAACAAGAAATGAAGGAGAAAACCCCGATAAATGGCGTTGCAGGTATGCTAAGTTTTTGCATTTCTTACACCAATTTTCCTCGTGAAACTCTATTTGGTTGTTTATGATAGTTGTCAAATCGGCGCTCCCGTAGTATGTGCAACAAGATGGCGGATATCTGAACATAGTATGTGTACCAGGTTAGGGTTGGGCCATGATTTTATTCCAATTTTCCTTATCTTAATTATATTACAAGTTCGGGCACTAGCCGAGTGACTCCCGTAGTTTTTGTACCTGAAATTATGGCCTAACCCTAACCTGATACACATACTACGTTCCGGTGTCCGCCATCTTGTTGCACATACTACGGCAGTACCGTCAAATCAATTTCCAATATGGGAGTTCAACTTTATTCATGTTTTTGTGGTTTGTGCAGGGAGCTATCAAAAACGTTAGGAATATATCCAGACCCGGACGAAACTTTGTCTCAGTTGACTTCTCGTTTGATGCGTCTTCATGGGGCTGCATACCTGGATGTCGGATCGCCGCAATTCACCTGTCAAAAACCAGGTAGTGTGTTTATGTCAGATTTACTAACGTTTTCAAATATTAATACCCATGTACTAAATCCAGATATGCAAAGCATTTAGAAAACTTGTTTGTAACAGCTGCATTGACACCTACCTACACGTACATACATATATATCCAATCGTTATAATGAGGACCATTGTATAATTTGAGTGAGACAATGTCTGGATAACTTCTCTGGGTTGACTGCTATTATCTCACTTATATATTTAGTTTGTTATGATTGTGTTTTCATTTAGATCCTGTACCAAAAGGTTACGTTCCTTCATGTAAGCCACACAAGCCATGGACCTGCAAATCGAAGAATCCAAAGTAACAGGAAATTGCAGAATAAATAAATTAGTATTCGAACGAGTTAAAAAAGAACATTCCTCTATTTTTATTATGGATTTTCATCAATTTCGCCGTGACAAATCTTTCCATTAGATTTTGTAAATATGAAAAATTTCAAGCACTTCATTATGCTCTCCCACACATAAAAATTGAAAAGTGACAAAATCAAGATTCACGTTTTATTTTCCGTGTGCTGTCATATTTTATGACTAAAGTTATTTTGTTTTGTGCTTGTATTTTCTGTAGTGTATCAATAAATATTTCCATCCTAATAGTTTAAGCATATGTTTTAAGATGTGTTACAGTTGTATTATCGTTTAGCAGAGTGCTTAAAAATCATTACCTCGTCGTTTGAGAGGTGACCATGCCTGCCTGCCACCGGCGATGTATCATTTACATAGGAATTATAAGATATTACATAATAATCGAACTTTCAAAAACATTTGCACTGAACATTTGCACTGTATACTTTTGCACTCATGGACATTTGCACTCGCAGAGTTTAAAACCCACATATAGTTTGCACCAACGAACATTTGTACCCACAGATATTTGCACATACGGACATTCGTACCCACAGACAATTGCACCCGCGGACATTTGCACCTACATACATTCGCACCCGCGGACATTTGCACCCCTGAACGATTGCACCCGCGTACATTTGCACCCATGAATATTTGCACCCACGGATAAATACCCATGGGTAAAGATGCCTATGAGTAAAAATGTCATGAAAATATCGGTTTCCTATAAATAGCTATGTTCAAATTTCCTCTGAGTCCTTTTTTTCGAATCTAAAAGTTTGTTGTATATACCAGCGATTCTCAAAGTTGGCGATATTGCACACTTCGTCTTTATTGTGATGATGCTCTAAAACTAATCAATGCAGTAGTGTAAAATTTTATCGTTTATCTTGTAATTTTGCTAACGGCAATGTCTTGGAAATAATCTTGAGCGGCTCAAATTTAACATATTACCAAGATCGCAAAAATGCGAATCAGTTCTAAGTATAATCGGACAGTATACCATTATTACCATATATTTTGATGTACGCAGATTGTTCATTTCAAAGCAATATTATTTTTATTGTATTGTAAGTAGGCGCAACGGCGAGTTACTTTGAAAATAATGGAATTAATACGGCAAATCTTTGTTATTACCCGTATCGGCCATGGACTGACTATTTTGCGCAACAGAAAAATCATGATTTGATTTGCAATTTCGATTTGAAGCTTCCGAAAAAAACGATAGCGTATTTTCTTATAAGTCACAAAGGCTATGGTTGGGCGTTTAAATTTGGTGTCCGTATATTTGAGCATTGCTCTAATGTTTTTCTTTTTTATATTTTATTTATACTCACATCCTCCAGTTCTCTAGAAAATTCAGTGTTCTTAACCTTTATGCCCTTAGGCAATATTTTTGTTTTGGTACTCTGCCAACGTATTTTATCTAGTGCGTAACATGCTTTTAAAATTTCTTAGGGCAATTTGTTCTCCATTTCGGTCCTCAGTAGTAAAGGGCAGAACCTGATCAGGAATGTAATTGACTGGAAGAGAGTGCTATGCCGAAAACTTGCGATTGTGCTGTAAATTTAGAAATTATATATACGACTTAAAAATCTTATGATATCGCCCAATTCACAATAAAAAATTCATGTATTCGCAGAATCACTTGATTATCCTAAGTGATTTGAGAGTCTTGCTGCACACTATCACAAATATATTTCTGTAACGTTTCGTTTGACCAAGTTCATACTATGTATGTCTGAAGAAGTCTGACCTTGGTCAGACGAAACGTTACAGAAATATATGTGTGTAAGTGTGCAGCAAGACTCTTAAATCACTTAGGATTGTTACCTCTACTCTTGCTACAGCATCCTTGCAATATATGCATACGGATCCACCGGCACAAAAGCATAGAAGAAGGATGAGTAGTTAGTCTCGCAGAAACCAAATAATCAGCGCCACTTGATTATGCTTGATATTGCTACTGATGTAAAGAAGTTGCGCAATATGTCGGTAGTCCTCGTGGTCCTAAGTTTTAGTTTAGTTCGGGCTCGTTCAATTGAATATCGTCATCGTGATAAATATAGCTATCTTGTCGTTATCATTACTGTTGTCTTTTTTCTTTTGTGTCACCATTTTTCGTAATGAGTATACTAGCGTCCGGTTAAACTCAGTAAAATGTTCCGGATTGCAAGAAATTATTTTTTTTTCAGTTTGGGATTGCAATGCTTATTTATGACGTTGTGGTTTGAATTAATTCAGTAGTCTCGTTTGTAGCATCTTTTTTATTGTATTTCGAATTGTTCGATATAACATTATGATATTTGCATGTCTACAGCTCCTATTGTACTATATTTATAGCTACTGTTATTCCTTGGTTTTATATCTGCCGTTTTGGCACTATGCTGTTATATCGAGTTTGTGTATAGGGATTAGTTCTCTATTATATATGATTTTTCCTTGATCATTTATTTGTTGCTAATTATTTCATTTATATTTTAGTCAACCGTTTTGAATATTCTCAATAGAAAGAGTCTGGCAAAGCGAATTATCATTTCTGAGTACCAAAATTGACACATTAACATTTGTTATATTTATAGACCTAAATTCGATGGAGGTACGTTATGTATAGTGCACGATCCAATCACAACATACAGTTGCAGACGCTACAGGCCGGACAACGTCCTCGTTTAGCAGATGTACCGTGTAACATTATGTTAGCGGAAATTTCAGTTTCCTGTACATTACTGCGAGTGATATAAAATGGTGATGACGTCATCAGTATGGGCTACTGCGAGTCTTTTCGGGTTATCTTCTCTCTATTTTTTTATGACAATGTATAGGTTTTCATCCAAATACGAAAAGGCGGTTATTCGTTTGAAAGAAAATAGAACAAAAAATATCGAACATCTTTCCAAACCGACAGAACTGGAGTTTATGTACTATCATAATATTGGTGTTAAGTAGAAGCTACACACTTGGTGTTACGATTGTAAACGTACGTTGTTTACAAATTTGTCGTACATTTTGCCTCTGTACGCAGTGCATCGTGCGTTGCCTTGTATAACCAATCATTGTAGACCCATTATTACCCTTTTTTCCTTTTGCTTGTAGCGTAAATTAGTAATTTTATCTGTTGTCGGGTTCAGCGTTTACCTCTCCGTCATTTTCGCATCACTTATTCGTCGTGTAAGAGCCGCAGATATTTGGCCGTATTGTTGACAGTTTACTTATCTCTTGACGTTAAGCGAGCTCAGGTTTTAGGAGGCGCAACTTGTGAAATACGTGCAGTGTCAGATGTTTCCGAAGGTTTTGGAATTACAATGGGAGTTGCGGGAAGGTGATTTGGAATAAGTCTAACAGCTCCCGCGCACTTCGTGAACTTTCTCCCGTTATGGACAGCTTCGGCGTAATGCGTGTGGGAGGTCGTTTGGACAATGCGCCAATACCATATGAATTGAAACATCCCACCATACTGCCAAATGAACATCATTTAACCTCGTTACTGATAATTAAGTGTAATGTACAGAAACTCCTCTTGAACCATCATCGGCTGGATTTAATTTAGTTGGAACGTGGCGCGAATTTGAAACATCACAATTCTGCTCGATCGTAGTTAGTCTGTTAGCAACAAACGTTGTAACCGTTTCGAAGAGTTACGAGTACTCTGTAGTATGGCAGTCGAATTCGCCCAAAAGAAGTTCTGTCTCAGTAAAAGGTCTAGCTCTTTTCTAATTATTGCTCCCAATCTCACGGCTAAAACCGCCGCAGTTAACTCCAAACGAGGCACTGATACGGGTTCAATTTAAGCTGATCTAGATTTGCCCATCAGAAAAGTGCAATGAACTCTGAATTGGTCGTCACTCGAGACGCAGATATGCAACGGCGCTGTATTCGTTATTCGATGCGCCTGCAAAAATATGTACGTTACTTCGACTGGAGCGTCCAAAGTCAAGCGGTCTAAGACTGCGACAAATTTTCAGGTTTTCCATTAGTTGAATTTGGTTGGCCCAGCTATTTGCATCACGTTCACAAATAGCATCGTCCCAGCCGATCTTCTTACGGCATAAATCCTGTACCAACAACTTAGCAGTCAACGTGGCAAAAGCCTAAAATCCAAGGGGATCAAATAACGAGCTTAACGCGACAAAATACCGCGCCGAGTGAGCTCTCGAGCATGGATATCAAGCTTGCACCCGCCCTTTTTTAAACAAGATTGATAAAATCTTGGCCATGCGTTAATGCCTTAGTTGCTGCAAATAATTTTGCCTATATGAAAATGGAAGTCTAAAGAAACAAATGCAATATTTTCGATTTGATTAGGGTGACATAAATTTCAGCAGCCTTGCGGTACAAAGTTGTAAATGCTAATTGTTTTATACTGCAATGATTCCAACAATAAACTTGTCTGATTTTAAGTTGGTGACATACTTGAGGGATTTAAAATTATTGCATGCTTTTGAAGCTACTTTGTACAATTTGTAGTCTATCTTTCTGTCAATTTTACATAGTTGAATTTTGCATTAATCATTGAAACGAACGTTCCCGTTATACTATTATAGGGTTAGCATAATAAACCTTCAGAAATATATAAAATGAAATTGGACGATATCGAGGAGAAATTCGGTGGCATCAGTCGTTATCAAATATTTGTCATCGTGATGACAGCAACAGCTGTCTTTGGAACTTCATCGATGTCCCAATCAGCAATTTTTTTCAGTGCCGTTCCAGATCACAGGTGAGTTGGCGCAACCAATAATTTTGGAGAATATTAGAGCTAGAAGTCGGACCTCAAAATTTTATAGATTGCGTAAGTTTTCGTTTATATCAAGAGTACATTAGTTTCTGTAGAAATGGACTTGCTAAAATCGCAGCTTGATGTGCATTTTCCTGTGTTGTTAATTCCAACAATGTGTAAACAAACACTACTTCTAGACAAAGTAAGTACTGTACACTGGTCTCATGCGAATTTTTTCAGATGTGCAATACCACAAATCGACAATCTTACGCTTCTACATTCAAATACCACGGAACATAACATTTCTTCACTATTTATACCGGTTAGTATATATATCACATCGGAACAATGAAGACGGCTCTGGAACTTCTTAAATAAATCACCACATTTGGATTCCATTAAAAACCTAAAATGTGCTCTAGCTTATTTAAAACGCACATTTAGAAATTATTATATACTTACTATATATGGAGCTGCAAAACTGAATCATGAGTTATTTGAAATAAACTATTTTGTCGAGTCGAAACGAATCTCGAATGTGTATATTGTTTTATTCTTTGATTATAACAAAAGCATACAAAGAATACTGATATATATATATATATATATACAAACGTCACGATACTCTATTCTAAGGAAAAAATAATCTGTTTATGATTATGAGAGTAAAATATTGATAGAAAGTATAAATTTTAAGTATTTCGAGCTTGCAGTTCATCGAGTATTGGATAAATAAGATAATCTCAATTATGTTGTTTTGCAGCCTGGAGATTCTTGTCATAGATACAACTATAATTTATCTGTATGTGATGAACATGGAGACTTATCTTGTGTTACAAACCAAACAAAAGTAGAAAAAATAAAATGTGACAACGGATATGTTTACGATAAAACTCATTTCAAGAGTACGACGGTATCTGAGGCAAGTTTTCTTTGGCACAATCTGGTAGAAAATACCATTAATTCAAGTATTAGTTGCCGGGAGAGCACTTAACTGTTTATAGAAATATGGTCCTAATATGATTGGTGAGTAAGAGTTAATATCCTTTATGTATACATTTCATCGTGGACTAAGTCAAAAGACTGAGTCAACACAAAATCAATAATAAACTTTTGCGTCGTTTTCAAGCATGATATATGCTTGTCCCAGTTTTATGAACCCGGGATGTGCGTCACTCCCTTTTTGGCATATTTCCAATTCTACAAATTTTATATCTGTAAGTATTTGAAATCTAAGATATGCACATAGGAGTATGTTATTACTTGAAAGAAAGCTATTTGAGCAGGCCAGTAATCGTTTTAGCTCGTAAACACGGTAATAATCACAATAATAAAGAAACAATCAGCGTCCTCGCTTAGAATTTCTCGCTATGAACCCGCTCTTTTGTTTCTTGAATATTTAGCGTTCGACGCCGTCTGAAGCGGCATGTTTGGATTTGTCTGAAAGCTTACGTAATTGTCTAACTCGAGAGACTTTGTTGTCGAGTCGGTTACGCTTGAATTGATCACACCGATGAACAATACAAAACCTTTTTCAAAAAAAAAAAAAAATTTCTCTCATTTACAACGCGTACGGGTAAGCGAATATCGCACGCATCAAGAGACGCAACTGGCATAAAGCGGCGAAATACCGCTTTCCGATGGAATTAAACTGAAGGTTCTCGCACGTTTGAACAAAGTTATGACATTTTTCAGGAGGAGTATACAAAATTCTCCAGCCAGAAAGGCTAGATAGGGTTGCGATAGCCCATCACGAAGCAAAGAATTTAAATATAAATTGAGAATATATAAACAACATTGTCCAAACTTTGTAACGAGAATATCGGTTGGAAACCGAAGACTTATCGATCGATAGTTAGGGGATCCCCCAAAACAGAAACTGCAGTTTCGATTCATCCGCTCTTGTAACTTGCGCACTGCGCATCGCACACACACACTCGGCGGGTTTCAAAATTCTCTCGCTTTACAAAAATCTAGATCACTATATAAATAATTGATTGATAACTCGCTAATTATACGACATAATTCGCCAAAATCAATAGGCTGCTGGTCCGAGATAAGATGAATGCACATGCAAAATCTGGAGCAGATTCAATCTCGCTTTCGTGAGATATCGCGTGCATCTAACAGACACACAGACAGACATACAGACAAATACCTATCAATATACTTACCGATCTTAAGATCGATAAGTAATGATTACAAGGATATTTCTCAGCATAATAAATACATATTCAATATGGTAAATTACCATTGATATTATGATTTACTTTTTAATATAAGATAATGGTTTTCATCCATCTTGCCTTATTTTTATTTTCACATGGATCACTTATAATTCTTGTTTTCATGTGCGTGGGTTTCATGACCATGTATGTTGACGCCCTTGTCCCTGTTGTTTTCTGGAATTTTTGAATTTCACACATATCCTGGCACATTGTTGTCTTTTTTATGGTCGAGAGTGTCGAGAGTGTATGTAGACGACGAACGAACGGCAGAAAGGCGGGCGATACGCTTGACTAGCGACACCAATATTTTTTTGTAAATTGACTAATATATCCGCTAGGGGCATCTCTATTCACTTGCCGTAAAGTATCAAACCAGCTCCCGCAAAGTTGAACGGTAGTACCCGGGAAGATATTTACCAGTGCTTTATAAAGGGTTAAAATGTAGCCTGTGCTTATATGCTAGATCAGTGGTTTCCAACCTTTCTACCCTGTCGGACCGGTAAAATTAAATTAAATGTACTCGCTGGCCGGCAAAAAATTGAAATGATCGGAACAGAAAATTGCGTAATATTAGGCAATGTCGGGCACTCAATATGCTTCTAGACAAAAAGGCGCCATCAAATAATGTGCCGGCCAAAATTGAAATGGGTGAGAAACATAAAATAATACCATATATTTGCGTAATGAAATTCAGTGCTGGGCACCCATTATGTGTAAGAAAGGCACACATAAAACATCTCACATAAACAACATGTACATGCCAAATCGTGTATAAACACAAATAAATCTAGCGATTTTGCTGCGGTTTCGTTTCAATATAGGATTGCAAACGGGGCCTCAACGAAGTTTCTGCAGCACGTAGCTAGACAGCGGCGTGCAGCTGATTTCTTTGTTTCGTTTTAATTAAAGCTAGTAATGAAAATGTTTTTGAGCGTAACGCATAAGTAACTGGTCAAAAATACGGACAACAGTTTGATTTTGCTCGATTTCTTAGCGATGGGTATTCGTTATCAAGAGATCCAAAGTTGTGACAGTGATTCGTTTTTAGATCTGGACTGAGAAGTATAATCACAATTTTAATCAAGCTTTAGTCGGGTTTATCATATTAATCCCTCTGCAGTTGATCAGCGCCTCAAACGAAATAAATTTACATTACAATAGCAAAGTTGTCGGTAACTTGGCACCAGGCTTAAAATCAAACTGTGCGGAAAAGATATCAGCGGCCCATGCTTTTTTGCGCGTCTCATGACCACCTGCAGGGTCGCAACAAGGTCATATTTGACTGGAATATTATACTGTTCTTGGGTGTTTTCTGGTTTAAACAAAGAAATACGCATAACGTTTTATATGGATTGTCGTATTACTCAGGAAAAGCATGTAGAACAGAAAAAGCATGTGTGCCGATTTTTAGGTTTCCGAGTCTTGCGAGATTTGATGGAGCGCATTCGCGATGACTCGGAGCCGAAAAAGCGGGAAGTGTAATTATTTTTATTTTTTTTTATTTATTTTTTTTTTTGCGGATCAGAATTTTCCAGTTTCGGATCAGTGTCTAAAAGACGCGTCATATCCGGGTCTTATCGGTATAACGCTTCATAAGCATATCACTGCGTGAGCAGCAGTCATACAATTAAGGAGGCTTCGGTCTTAGCTCCGCCATAGCACGGCACAGACTTCCACCCCGGGGTTTGGTACATGCTGTATATCACAGCACAAACTTTTTCCGGGACTTCGGTCTATACCATGCAGGGCACAGCACGACTTCAGCCACCTCGGCGTCCCGCTGACCCGGCTTCCGTACACACTGTGTGAAAACGTGTACCACGCACACAGCGTGACATTCACCGTGAAGCTTCCGATTCATCACTTCCGCTGTATTAGATAGTATTATCGGGTTTATAAAAATGTGGTGTTCTGAGGGTTTTGTCGTTCATGTCGAGCTACCATTTATGGTGGTTGGGGTTGACAGTAGTATTACTTATATTATTTCTTTCCTGGATATTGTAAAACTATTGCTGCATATGTCATTGAGAGCGTCACTCATATCCGAGGTGTATTCTGCAATCTTGCCACAGTGTAGAAACAAATGTTTTGCACTGTCATATGGTGTTCGGCAAAATTTGCAGTTTAAAATCTCAAGTTGTCCCGATTGATTGAATCTTACTCCCATGCTTCTCTTTTTGTCTCCGAAAAGATAACCTTCCTTGATAATTCGGTAAGAAGTCACTCTCTCGGAGTTGGAGAAGTTGGTTTGAAAGCTTCTTGTCCGCAGATGAAAATCCTCCCAGTTGTGGTCTTGATGTTGATCAATATGACTCTTTTTTAAGTTCCGTGTATATGTCCTTGTGACGTGCGGTTTCCCACTTATCTTTGGTGAATTTGATATCATTGAAAATGTTGCGTATATGGATCCAATCTTTAGGAATGGTGTTACTGTGTGGCATGGAGTTGCTATATAGATTAGGGTTAATAGTTTTAATTCTTGTTCCCAATGAGTATAAAGCCTCAAAGTGCCAGAATTGGGTTGGGATGTTACCAAGTACCAAAGGCTTCACTATTTCTACTTTGCATGCTTTTATTTTTGCGCCTGGGTCGATCATATTCATACCCCCTTCGTTCCAGGTCTTTTGTAACGTTCGTCTCCCGATGGCTACAATTTTCAGGATACCACAAGAATTTGAACAATAGGCTTTCAATCTTTTTTATCGAATTTGAGGAAATGGGTTTGATTCGCGGGTGGTATGTTATCATTGACATTATTAGGGAGTTTATGATAGTATGTTTTCCGTACCAGGTTAGGCGCCTTGGTTTTATCGAGTTCAGAGTTCTGGTCAATAGGCTTATAATTTCGTCCCACATTTTGTCCAGGGGTTTATTTCCGAAGTGGATTCAGAGTAATTTGACATCTGGTTTTATGAACTTCTGATATGGAGATCTGGAGATTGAGTTTAGGGCGTTTTCGGTTATACATAGAATTTCGGTTTTGTCCTTATTAATACTTTGTCCTGATGCCTGTTTAAATTTATGGAGTTCCTTGAATATCTTCCCGATAGATTTTTGGTCTTTCACTGCGAAAGTCATATCATCCGCGAATTAATCGATTTTATATTCGTATGACCCAAGTTTTATTCCACGTATATTACCAGTGTGTAATTACTCGGCGCCAAGATGTCGCGAAAAACGCCGCCAAGATGTCGCAATATTACGGCGGAAGAGAAATTGCGTAATAAACCAACGCAACCTCGTCTTCGATAAAGCGATTGAGACGGCATAAAAACAACAAAATTTCTCGCGGACCGGCAAAAAAGTTTCGCGGTCGCAGACCGGCGGTTGGGAACCACTATGCAGCTAGATCAGTGGTATCAACCGGATTTCCATGTTACACTAGGGCTCCGCCAGTACAGTTCGAAAGTTTCCACTCAAATCCGATAATCTATCTTTAATATATGCATATTGTTTAAATATAATCAAACACCCATTAGGTGCTCCACTATTATTAAACTTGCTACACTCCAAGGATCCTTGTTTTGCCAGTGTTTGGTTTGCTTTTACTGTATATATATATATTTATATATTTGTATACAATTCAGAAAATGAAAGCCAATTAAACTTTCACACGTCGGTTCATCGAGCCTTTCCTTTCGTATGCATCATTGGGCTTCCGATCCACTAAAGCGGGGGTTCTCGACCTTTTTTCTTTTAAGTACCCCCGAGTCACGAAACAATCAACGCGAACCCCCAGTAATCAGACGGAGATATATTGACTGACAATTTTCTGCAGCGACAATTTATTGACCAACTGCTGTAACTATATTAAATTTTCGTGTTATTGCCCTTGTCCTACGCCTAACTAATGAATTCTTGTCCCCGCTGAAGTTTCGATGATAAGCATATCACTTTCTGCAATGTTTGTAGCACATTGTTTTTTGAGAATTCACAGTTTGGCTGCAGGGCCGTACATGCACATTGTTGCGTCACAATCACAGCATCGCAGAAACAAGGAAAATCTATGTTGAGTTTCAATTGGCACGCATTTTCCTCTGGTAGTCGCTTAGTTTTTCTCGGTCAAAGGATATAAAAAGCAACACTCGAAAACTCGACAGCCATCCAAGTACCCCTGGAAATCTGCTCCTGAACCCCTGGGGGTTAGCGAACCCCAGGTTGAGAACCCCTGCACTAAAGGGATTGTGAAGCACTATGCTAGATCTATCGCCTGGTTGCTCGCAACATATAAACCACGATTGGAAAGTTTTGCGCAATTATTGGCAATATGTCAGCAGTAATCCAAGCTGACAATTTCACCCTCTCTTACCGCGAAATATCATGATTTATAATTGAATGTTTGAATCATGGTAATAAAACAAAAGAAATCAGTTCAAAATTTATAAATCTTGTTCAGTGAAAAAGGTCGACTTATAAAATGTCAAATTATCATTTCAATTGCAGTGGGATCTCGTGTGTGATCGAACAAACCTTGACGCTCTTGCTAATTCTCTATATTTTGCTGGTGTTTTTCTCGGATCTCTTATCATTGGACCGATGATGGACTGGTTAGTTTGATGCATTAGGAGTTTAGAACGACTAGCTTTAATTGATTTCCTTCTTCATTACTTCGGATCTGTACTAGTTGGGTCATGATTTCACACACATTTGCAGGTAATCTGAATAATTCCGCAATTCTTTAAATTCTTTCATATAGGTGGCTATACGTTTATATAAAATTATGATTGTGAGGTCACCCTACGTTTTAAATTTAGTGATATACAATACGTGATAATGTTAGCAGGTTTGGAAGAAAACTCACGATACTTATAGCCGCTATATTATACATTGCGACAGGAATAGCAGGTTCTTGTGCGTCATCTTATGAGATGTACATTTTTCTTCGTGTCGCCGTCGCTATGTGTGGAATCCCCTGTTTTGGTAGCATATTTCACATATGGTAAGAGATACTTGTAATTTTATAGCTCATTTTAATCGCACCAAGTGCAAACCGATTTTAGATTAATCTCATATTTGTAACGATATCAAATTTATGAATCAAAAGTTAGTTAGCCTGACTTCTGTACTTAATATTCAATATCAATAATATGCATCTCGCCTGTGAAAATTAGGTTCACTTATTTATATTAACAGCGTTATATCCAGTAGTGGGATTCAGGGGAATTGCAAGGCTGCGCACAATCCCGGTAATAGGTTAATAAAAATAAACAAAATATGATTGATGTATATTTTGTTTCATACCTCCGAAATATTTGTCCACGATGAAATATAGCTTTATTTAAACACCCGTATGAAGTCTGGCATGCATTACCTGTTTTCGTTTATTTGATGCATAGATTTCTGCGTCACGGAACTTTTTTTATGTTGAAAACCAAGCAATGATGCTATAAGTAATTCTTCATTTTTCATTTAGCCAACGAAATAGCCGGTAAGAAATCAAGAAAGGTTGTTGGCGGGTTCACTCAACTCGTAACTGCAACTGCCCATGTTATCCTTCCATGCTTCGCGTATCTAGTACAGGACTGGAGATACCTTGGCATTATGATATCACTGTTTTCTGCTCCATACCTTATAATATTTTTCTTCATGCCACGAACTCCAAGGTGAGGCTTTTTAAATTGTGAAAAATATAAAAAAATAATTGGAAAAGGTATATACCGGTATTTGATAATTAATTTTTAATTCAAGTGTTATTTAGATGGCTTCTTACACACGGAAAAGAAAACGAAGCAAAAGAAGTGTTAGATAGATTTGCAAAAAGCAAAAATACATCCCTTAAAAAAGAAGATTGGAATTGTCTTGTTAGAACTGAAAAGGAACTTCTTGGCGTAATATCCTTCTCTTCATTTCATTGATTGGTTTTTTCTTTTTCTTAAAAACAAATATTCATTATTTAATATTTTCAGTCTGAATCTGTGTTAAAGAAAATCGTCCTCACCGATTTTTATAGACGCCCGTTCATGCGTGTTGTATCTTTGATCGTGATCTATCTATGGTTTGTAGCGAGCATGGTGTTTTATGGCCTCGTACTAAACGTTGGGAAATTAGCAGGTTTGTTTGGCATGAAACTGCCTTTGATTGTTAATTAGACAAATTTACTAAGCATGTCAAATAAATATTGCTGAAATACATTTTTGTGAAACTCGAATAAGTGGACACGGAGAGCGAAAAGAAATATTTTATCATCAATTTCCCGAAAATCATATGCGGTAACTTACCAGGATCTGTATCAGGGTACCGGCAACGGTGCAATGACAGTCCTAGCCTTCACATGTCCAGTGTCGATCTATTCTTTATGATTTGGTGTAAACGTGAATTGAAATACCAAGTGATCAAAGTCTCTCGTATATTACCAGGTCAGGGGAACCGCAGTCTACCGTTCCCATAAAAAAACTTTCCACTTCCGCTAGACAAGAGATTCGCCGACGTTCGCTAAGCACGAGACCCGCTGATATGCGTTCGCCGAACCGCCACAAGGTGCGCATATTTTAATGAGGTTATAGCACACGAAGAACGAATCGCATAGAGCTCACAAAAATATTTGAAATAAATAAAGTAATAGCCTTTTAGCGTAAATCATTCATCAATCAATTAGCTATCTATTACCACTGAAAATTTCAAAGCAATTGATCTAGTAATTGGAGAAAAATGACGATTTTTTCATATCGATAGGGAGAATAAGAACAACAAACATAATAACAAAACTAGTCGTAGGTCTTGTCCGTGTCCAGCAAGAACAACAACAACATTTAACTAAAACGATCCAGAGGTCCACTCCGTGTCCAATAAATTCTGTAGTTTCTCATTGAAACACTAAAATTTTGTAACAAATATAATATTGAAAGTATTTATTTTAGGAGATCCTTACATAAATCGGGTGTTGAACGGAATTTTTGAACTTCTTGCATATTTTCTATACATACCTCCTATTCACTACTTTGGATTAAGACGATCAACTTGTGCTAGTTACAATCTAGCGGGTTTATGCTGTCTGGGAACAATGATATTTGCACTTGCTGCGAATGGAAATTCAGGTATCCTCGCACTTTAATACGTTTGTAGTCGTTCGTTATTTATTAAATGAAAGGTTAAATTCGCTCAACACGTTCTGTTTTGTAATGTATAGAACGGTTCAAAACGTACATCTTCCAATGTCCAATGTTTTCCTTGTGTGGTAAGATATTGAAATAAATTGTTTTGTGTTTTTTTCCATTGATAGCATTAATAAATGTTGCTAGCATCAATTATTATCATTTGAGGGATTAATTTTATTTGAGGGATCGCGACTGTCCTTGAGGAATATGGGATGAATGGTGTTACGATTTGTCGGAATTCGTCCAGGCACCAGAATAATTTCATACATGTGCTGTAGATAAACGAGGACTCAGTTTTTGCAGCAATTTAGAGATTCTGTATAAAATTGACTGAGAATGTTATCTGTTTTCAGTTCTTTTGCAAATTAGTCGGTGGATCGGCATTTTGGGTAAATTTTTTGCAACTCTGGCTTTTGCAATAATTTACCAATACACCGCAGAAATTTATCCAACAATCGCCAGGTAATATACGTAGATGAGATTACAATTAGTTCAAACAAGTTCTTGATTGAAAAACTGAATCTTTTTTCAGGGAACGGGGATGGGAATGGGTTCAACAGCAGCCAGAATTGGATCAATCATAATGCCATGGACTTTGGAATTGCAACGTTCTGTACCTTGGCTTACGCAAGTAAGTAACATGAATATACAGGGTCATAGGTATAGTATAGTCCCTTTCTAGTTTTAATTTTGTTATGAAGTCAGTTCTCAATATATCTTAACAAGGTTTGTTTTTTTTAATCAGTAATCCCTTATATATTTTCAACTTATTTAATGCATCAGTGAGGGCCAAAACAATATATGGTAGGTCTATCCATAAATTTCCTTTGCCATATGAAAAATTTTTGGACCTTATGAACACCCTATATACTACTAACTAGCGATCCAAACTATCCTTCAAATTGACGAATATAGCGAATAACGAATCTATTAGACAAATAAAATTTGACTATCTATTCTAGACGATATTCGGAAGTCTTTCTGTCCTAGCTGGTGTTTTATCTTTATTGTTGCCTGAAACAAGAGATGCCGATTTAAAACAAGTATGGATGAGCGGAAGAATTTTTATAGAAGCAACATGACGCTAGCTTCGAGATTCATCGGAAAACGGTTTCAATTTGTTATTTATATTATCACATTATTTTAATTAGGTCTTTCCAATATCAACAGTTGTCTTACATTTGAAAAGGCAAGCTTTCTAATTAATGGTAATAGCAAAATAGACTATTATTCTTTGTAGCTACTGGAAAGCTGAAAATTACGCCTTATATCATTATTTTATTTAAGATTTGAACAAAATTCAGTAAATACAAACATAATAACGCACTTTCTACAACCTCCACTATTCACTCGAGTAATTAGAAATAGATAACCGCTTCGACATTCAAATGAAATTTATGTTCATCATTATACGGTGGTTTTCGGTGCGTTTAAAGAAAAAAAATTTAAATAATATTAATAAGATGGAATCGGTTTCTAATTATTAACTATTTCAGGATATTTTTTGTAAGTTTAGTATTTTGAGTCGGATCTCTGCCGACGAAGATACAAAGCTGAACATTGAAACGGGATCAATGCTTGAAGAGAACATGGACACGTATGAATCAGCCGAGACTAAAAACTGACACAACCAATTTACCTGTGTATATCGCTTCATCATCGTAAAATCTCATTAGATAAATAAATTAGATAAATAATTACAGAGGAAAATCAATATTTGTGAATTTGACGCCGACATTTTCATGTAGACGCATTAAGCGAGAAGTCATCTGAAACAAGGAATCCTCCTGAACCGGAAAAATTCCTAAAGTTTTTGATAGCTCATTAAACAAACTTTCAAAATTAAAAAAACGGGAAATAAATTTTGATAGCGAAATCTATCTAATATGGGGAGATGATTTGAAACTAATCATAAACCATGCAACCAATAGATAACCACGAAGTAAAAGGTTCAAGTAATGATATATTAAATACACGAACATACTTGCAATGCTATTTGTCGTTTTCCACCTTCATTTCTAGTTTTCCGTGAAGTTGGTGTTGAAATGGTCAAAATTAGAAGGAGAAATGAATATTGTATCCTACTGCGTGTACCGTTTGTTAATTTTATGGTTAATTTTTATGATTTACTGCGTGTACCGTTTGTTAATTTTATGGTTAATTTTTATGATATTTCATAAATGAATTACATTTATTTAAAAATTGAAAACAAACTGTCAGATGAGTCAGTACGTGCATCCAGCAGTAAAATGGGAAAATATTGCAAAAATTATTAGCGCGGAAGTATAAAAAATAAACAAATCGAAACCGAGGAACCTCGTGTGCATCCCTATTCCTTAATATTTTAAAATACTAAAGGTTCATTTCAATCTGGTATATATACTTGGTTTCATTTTTAGATAGATGATTATATTTCTAACGTTCATTGAATAAATTTCGATAATGAGCACGACTCAAATCACATAAATTTCTCTTACTGAGTAAATTTGAATCTCATACATGGCGGTTGTTAATTTATCCCGTCCAAAACAATTTTCAGTCTAGTACTGAATAAGACAAACCGAACCAATCCCATGGAAAACGTTTCGTATCCTATAGCAGAAAAACGATATGAGGTGTATGACGTAAAATGATGTTGGATTAACATATAGTCACATATGGAATTATAATTTGATTCTTAATATTGATTAAAGAAATAGCCCCTAAACAATTATTTCATTTCTGATCGCTCTTGTTTTTTGTTAATCTTGAATAGTTAAAAATAGTTACCATACATTAGGATTTATGAAGTCTCGACCCTATGTGAATAGCTAGCGCCACAAATTCTAAAAAATATAGGATCGAATACCAAAAAATAAATTCCGTGATAACCCATCTTTAAATAATACATTTTTTTCCGAGCTCTAGTGATCGCTTGCCATTTGTTGATCAATCCTATTTTAATTTTGTGTGAAATTTGTGACAAACGCTAACCAAATTTAAAGAGTTTATGAATTGAGAATGGTTTGGCTGAACTGCATATTTTGCGTTGGAGTTAAATATTCAATATATATATATATCAAGTCAATGGACAATATATCAACATTTCAGGAATCAAGCAAACAACCAAACTGCAGTCTTTAGCGGCATGCCAATTTAATAGACTTTCTAGAAAACCAAAAAGTAATAAAATTCTGACACAAAACGAGGTATCTGGACCAGGACCTCCTACGACCTGACAGGACTAACTCAACTTCAACTCTTCAAGTTTAACGTCCGAGTTCACGGCTCGTGTATTTTTATTTTTTGAGCATCAACCCCCAAATTTTTCGTGTCTCATTATCAAGGTATTCCTACAACTAAATGTTGATACGCATTTGAGCAGATACGCAAGAAGATACGCAATCCGCCTCAGAGAAATTCAAAATCAGCAGGACAACTTCATATTATACCTGGATTTTCAAATTTGTTTACCGACTTCGACAAAGCACTCTATACGCAGGAATTAAAATTGATATTATACCAAATCAATTTTGCCGCGCATGGAATATACGCAAGCCGTTTTCTTATATCAAGGGACCCTACTAAAAAGGTAGGTATCATAGATATCACAGGTATCATAGGTATCACTCCATAAAAAGATAGGTATCAGTAGTAAATGACTAAAAAGGTAGGTATCAGTAGTAGATGACTAAAAAGGTAGGTATCAGTAGTAAATAACTAAAAAGGTAGGTATCAGTAGTAGATGACTAAAAAGGTAGGTATCAGTAGTAAATAACTAAAAAGGTAGGTATCAGTAGTAGATGACTAAAAGGGGGGCTCCCGAAGTATGCAAACCAAGATGGCGGACATCGGAATGTAATATGTGTACTAGGTTAGGGTTAGGCCATAATAAGGTAATAATAAGGTATAAATACTATGGGAGGCCCTTGGCTAGTCTTAGAACTGATAATAGGACTAAAATAAGGAAAATTGGAAAAAAAATTATCGCCTAACCCTAACCTGTTACCCATGTTACGTTCCGATGTCCGCTTAGTCATTTACTACTGATACCTACCTTTTTAGTCATTTACTACTGATACCTACCTTTTAGACACTGATACCTACCTTTTTAGTAGGGCCCATATCAAGCAGCAGCATTTCTACCACCTGTTGTTTGGCAAACGTTTATAAAACATCTTCTTTCTTCTCTCGAGTCCACACTAACATTTGTTCCATCATTGGAAAAAATTACTCGTGGCCCACGGAAAAGGGTCCTATTTCAATACCAGCATTAATCATTGAAGCGAACGTTCTCGTTTCAGGTCGAAAACGATCATATACGATGAAAAGCAATGTGAGCCTAGCGTTATTTTAGGTTACGCTTGAGCAACATCTCAACTTTGCTGATCGTGCGGACATACATTTAAATATTAACCCAAATCCTACAGGGGACATTGTGCGAAAGACCAGTAGTGATTGACCATGCTACAGTAACTAAAAATAGGTAAATTAGGTAGATTGCGTTGAACTTGGAAAAATTAATTAGGTACGTGCTGTACATGTGGTTGAAAGGCTGTATGATGTGCTGATGTTAAAACTATTGAACTGACATTTTGAATAATTACTGTTATATATCGTGTTAGCATAATAAACTTTCAGAAATATATAGCAATGAAATTGGACGATATTGAAGAGAAATTCGGTGGCGTCAGTCGTTATCAAATATTTGTCATCATGATGACAGCAACAGCTGTGTTTGGAACTTCATCGATGTCTCAATCAGCAATTTTTTTCAGTGCTGTTCCAGATCACAGGTAAGTTGGCGAAATTAATCATTTTGGAGAAAATTGGAGCTGTAAGTGGGACCTCAAAAATTTATAGATTGCGTGTGTTTTCGTCTACATCAGGAAGTACATTAGTTTCTGTAGAAATGAACTTGCTAAAATCGCAGCTTGATGTACATTTTTCTGTGTTGGTAATTCTAATAATGTGTGAACAAACACTACTTCTAAACAAAGTAAATTCTGTACATTGATCACTTGCGAATTTTTTCAGATGTGCAATACCACAAATCGACAATCTTACGCTTCTACATTCAAATACTACGGAACGTAACATTTCACTATTTATACCGGTTAGTATATCACATTGTAACAATGAAAACTGCTCTAATACTGCTTCAACGAAATCACCACATTCGGGTCCCATTAATTAACAACCTAAAATTTGCATTAGCTTATTTAAAACGCACATTTGGAAATTATTATATACTTACTATATATAGAGCTGCAAAAACTGACTCATGAGTTATTTGAAATAAACTATTTTGTCGAGTCGAAACGAATCTCGAATATTTATATTGTTTTATTCTTTTCTTATCACAAAAGCATACAAAGTATACTGACATAAAAAAACATCACTGTACTCTATTCTGGGAAAAAATATTCTGCTTATAATTATAAGAGTAAAATATTGATAGAAAGTATAAAGTCAAGTATTTCGAGCTTGCAATTATTCGAATATTGGATAAAAAAGATGATAACCGCGATTATGTTGTTCTGCAGCCAGGAGAGTCTTGTCATAGATACAACTATAATTTATCTGTGTGTGATGAACTCGAAGACTTATCTTGTGTTGCAAACCGAACAAAAGTAGGAAAAATAAAATGTGACAACGGATATGTTTATGATAAAACTTACTTCAAGAGTACGACGGTATCTGAGGCAAGTATTCGTTGACACAATCGGGTAGAAAATATCATTAAATCATACATTAGGTAACGCAAAATGCAATATCCCATCATGAAGCAAATAGTTTAAATATGAATTGAGAATTTATAACCAACGTTATTCCCAACTTTGTTATGATTATAAGAATATTTCTTAGCACAATAAGTACGTATTCAATATTGTAAATTTCCATTGATATTGTGAATTACTTTTAAATATAAGATAATGGTTTTCATCCATCTTGCCTTAATTTTATTTACACCTAGATCATCCATAATTCTTGTTTTTATGTGCGTGGGTTTCATGATCATCTATGATTTTATGTTGACCCCCTTGTCGCTGTTGTTTTGTGCAATTTATAAATTCCATCCATATCTTGGCGTATTGTAGGCATTTTTATGGTCGAAAGTGTATGTTAAATTGTAGCCTGTGCTTATATGCTAGATCAGTGGTATCAACCGGATTTCCATGTTACTCTAGGGTTCCGCCAGTACAGTTTGAAAGTTTCCACTCAAATCCGATAGTCTATATTTAATATATTATGCACATTGTTTAAATATAATCAAACACCTATTAGGTACGCCACTGTTATTAATCTACAATTCAAAGATCACTGTTTTGCCAGTATTAGGTTTGCTTCTTCTGTATATATCTATATACGTTTATGTGTATACAATTGAGATAATCAAAGGCAAATAAACTCCTGCATATCGGTTCATCGATTCTCTGGTATGTATTATTGGGGCTTCGTTCCACCCAATGGGTTGAAAATCACTGTGCTAGATCTCTAGCCTGAATGCCTGCAAATAATTTAAACCACGAGTGGAAAGTTTTACGGAATTATTGGTAATATGTCAGCAGTAATCCAAGCTGACAATTTCACCAATTTCATGAGAAACATCATGATTTATAGTTGATTATGATGATAAAACATAAGAAATCACTTCAAAATTGAGCCAATTTATAGAATGTCAATTATCATTCCAATTGCAGTGGGATCTCGTGTGTGATCGAACAAACCTTGACGCTCTTGCTAATTCTTTATATTTTGCTGGTGTTTTTCTTGGATCTCTTATCATTGGACCGATGATGGACTGGTTAGTTTGATGCATTAAAAGTTTAGTACGAATACCTTAAATTGATTTCCTTTTTTATTACTTCGGATATGTACTTGTTGGGTCATGATTTCACACATTTGCAAGTAATCTAAATATTTCCTCAAATTCTTTTCAACTTTGAATTCTTTCAAGAGTGGCTATACGTTTCTTTAAAATTATATAATTGTAAGGTCAGCACCCTACGTTTTAAAATGTGGTGATGAATATTATTTAATAATGTTATCAGGTTTGGAAGGAAACTCACGATACTTATAGCCGCTATATTATACATTGCGACTGGAATAGCAAGTGCTTGTGCGTCATCTTATGAGATGTACATTTTTCTTCGTGTCGCCGTCGCTATGTGTGGAATCCCCTGTTTTATAGCATATTTCACATATGGTAAGAGATACTTGTTATTTTATGGCTCATTCGCACCAAGTCGCACCAAGTGCAAACCGATTTTAGATTAAATTCATATTTGTAACAATAACAAATTCATAAATCAGAAGTTAGTTAGCTTGACTTCTGTACATATTATTCAATATCAATGTGTGCAGCTATGCATCTCGCCTATAAAAGGTTCACTTATTTATATTAACAGCGTTATATCCAGTAGTGGGATTCAGGGGAATTGCACGGCTGCACGCAATTCCGTTATTGTGAAGTCGTGGTAAGCTACAAACCGGCTCTTGGTTTTTGTTTTCGTTTAATTAATCGTTAGACTACTGCAACAAATAGGTAACGTTCACGGTAACTGGCGACTAGCGTTATATTTTGTGTTTCGAAAACCATGTATAGGAGTTAAGTGAAGCGTGTTATGTTAATGTAGCTTACGTAATGGAACACATTAGGAAGTATGACGTTAGGTTGTTCTTGTCGTGTAGTCCTACATGTTACGTTCTTGTTTTGTTATACGGCTATAAGTTCGGCATTGTCTTGTTAAATAGCGGGACCTGCTAGTGAATTGGACTTAAAAGCGCATATTTATTTTCAATCTTGAATTCCATCACTGGTTATGTATATATATATATATATATATATATATATATATATCCCAATTTTATGGCGTGACATGGTCACATATCGTCACGCTAATAACCGAATTGCGTAAGTCATTTTTAGCAGTTTTGAGAAATACGTAAAAAACTTCCTAATGATATTGTTATGCCATTGAGAGTCAATAATTTGCCATGGTTCAATTTTTTTCATCGTAGCCGGATTTAAGTTAATTTGTATGACGCAGTTATGTGACGTCAAATTGGCTCACTGTGACTTAGGCAGAAATGTGTCTATGACTTGGGGACATACGCAATTTTGCAACTTTACTATGCACCAGTCCTGAAAACTAAACATTCCAAAAACGAATGTAATTCTCAGTATCTACAATGTCTAATCCCCAAAATAGCTAATCAGTTTCAATTACATTATTTTTTTTGTTAAAGAATATATATTTCATCAATATAACACGTTCTGCACACCCACCGAAATAAGACTAAGATAAAATATAAAGAATAAAACAGCAATGCACCCATTATAAAAGCCAACCAAGGTGAATTGGACACGGACTGTGAATATCACAAGTGCACGCCTTCCTATACTGTAGTATAAATTCAAATTAATACGCGCTAAGCTAGTAGAATCCGAGATGCAAAAAACTCGAAAATACTTCGCCGAGGTAATGTTGCCTTTGTGACGTCACAATAGCCCTTCGGTAACAATGATAATTCATTATGACGAAACAATTGCACAAATGGGCATGTCGTACTAAATCTCCATTTTTATGGGTTTCGGAATTCTTAAAATAAAATCTGAGTTAACAGACAGGTGCGCAGCATTACATAAATACCTATTTTATAAAAAACTCAAAATCGCCAAAAATGACTTACGCAATTCGGTTATTAGCGTGACGATATTGTGGCAAAAAAGTCGTATCTTTAAGCAATGATATTGTGTTTTTAATTATGAAGAATCAGTCATATTAAAGGCACCAATACTTTACTTAATATTACAGTAATATGTTTATGACTGGCAAATTTTCAATACTTTCTTTCAAATATTTTCCTAATTTTGATACGATTTAACATATCATTATCTGTATCGGCTGTCCCAGTGAATCGCTTTTATTTGATTAATCACGATATGCTTCAAAGATTGTTCTTGATTGACTAAAAAAAATCGATTGTGCCTATTTTGGTGAATGCCATCGCAATACTCTACAAGGGTCGACTCCAAGGGCATTAAGAATTAGATATAACATTTACGGTAGAGTCCGAGAACGCATAACAGATACGGAATCATTTTGTTGCAATCGAACTAAGCATGAATGCGGTTGATATTCTATTTGAATATTCATAAAGTGATGATAAACAAGACTATGCAATATTGAAGCGCGCATTTATGTAGTGACCCTCTGTTTAATAATCCGTGATAAAACTGATATATGAATAAAGTAAGCCACTATAAGTTAACTACTTCAGGGTGGTCCAAAGTTGCGAGGTTGGAGGGCCTCAAAAACTTTTAAGGATGTCTCGCAGTCGAAAAAAACCCAAATACAGTATGCTCAAAACATCGCGAGTTTTACTTATTTTATATATATTTGAGAATGAGAGTTTACCGTTCTAATCATTTATTCGAGAAAACTATAAAAAGCCTTTAGTTATTTTATAATTGCTTCCCGAAAAATATCGTGATATTTTCGGCATCTTTTCTCGTGTTTGATTTTGTAATGTCGCTTAAAATGATATTCTTTTGTGACAGATAAAACACCAGACACTGGCTGTGGTTTAACGTTGTTGTGGGTAGGAAATAAGTTTCCTCCCAGTTTATCTCGGCCCCCTTTTTTCTACACTCATTGTATGAAAAATTGTACTATTTGTAGCATGAACAGGCGTAGTTCTAACGTCAAAGAACAACCAAGTCCGTCAAAGTTGTGATTCCGGACCCAGATAAAAGAAAACTGAATTGCGCGGCGCTAAGTCAGTTTTGCGGCTCGTCACAGCTGTAGCATGGCCAACGCTTGAAAATATAGGAGTGTTTTTACCAAAATAAAGGCACAAAACGTCTCTTCAAATGAGAAGTTACCTAACGCGAGCTCATCTCATCGGCTTGGTTCTGTCTGCACAAGACAAATTATTCTCTTTGTACCAATCACAGAACGTCATTCCCATATAGGCACCGTCTTGACGTTTATAGATACAACATTGAAATTCCGTGATTTTAACAAACATCAATCCCGACATCGGGATTAGGAAAAGGACTATTCCCAGTTGGAATAGTTTGAAAATATATCAAAATTGTTCTGTTAATAAATACAAATATCTACCAATGATTCAGTAATGTACGCTAATATAGTTCTGCGGGCCGCACGAAATGTGCCCGCGGCCCACTGGTCGCGGTTTGGACCACTCTGAACTACTTAATTGGGGGCTTAATTTGTATAAATATTACGTCCGCTTGGTAAACTAGTTTTGCTTTTCCTTGGCTTTAAATATATACTTATATGGTCCTGATAGGAATTAAAATATATATATATATATATATATACATGATTGATGTATAATTGGTTTCAGACATCTGGAATATTTGTTCACGATGAAATAATAATTTACTTTGAACACTCTTATAAAGTCTGACATGCATCTCTTGTTTTGATTTATTTGATGCATAGATTTCTACGTCAGGGAACATTTTTAATGTCTTAAACCAAGCATTGATGCCATAAATAATTCTTCATTTTTTATTTAGCCAACGAAATAGTCGGTAGGAAATCAAGAAAAGTTGTAGGAGGGTTTACTCAAATCGTAACTGCAACTGCGCATGGTATCCTTCCATGCTTCGCATATCTAGTACAGGACTGGAGATACCTTGGCATTATGATATCACTGTTTTCTGCTCCATACATTATAATATTTTTCTTCATGCCACGAACTCCAAGGTGAAGCTTTAACTATAAATTGTGGGAAAATATAAAAAAAAATTAGGAATAATACCGGTATTTTAAAGTCAAATATTAATACAAGTATTATTTAGATGGCTTCTTACACACGGAAAAGAAAACGAAGCGAAGAAAGTGTTAGATAGGTTGCGAAAAGCAAAAATACATCATTTAAAAAAGAAGATTGGAATCGTCCTTGTTAGAAATGAAAAGAACTTCTTGGCGAATACCCTGCCTCCTTCATTTTCATTGATTGGTTCTCTTATCACAATTTCCTCAATATTGGTTATGTTTAAAATATATTAATTTCATTTTTTCTGTACTAAAACAAATATTCATTGGTTCGATAATCTTCAGTCTGAATCTGTGTTGAAGAAAATCGTTCTCACCGATTTTTATAGACGGGCCCGTTCAATGCGTGTTGGTATCTTTGATCGTGAATCTATCTGTGGGTTTGTAGCCGAGCATGGTGTTTTATGGCCTCATACTAAACGTTGGAAAATTGGCAGGTTTGTTTGGCATAATACTGTGGCTTTGAATTAATAATTAGAAAAAATTAGTTTTTTACTAAAACATGTCAGGTAAATATTTGCTAAAATACATTTTTGTGAAACTTTGAAAAACATTATAATCTATTTTGCATAACACCGCAAAACATAAGAGATATGCTTAAATAAGTGGACACGGAGGGCAAAACGAAAGATTTTATCATCAATCCCCGAAAATCATATGCGGTAACTTACCAGTATCAGGGTACCGGTCCACGCCATGTCCAATAAATTCTGTATTTTCTTACTGAACACTAAAATTTTGTAACAAATATAATATTGAAAGCATTTTTAGGAGATCCTTACATAAATCGGGTGCTGAACGGAATTGTTGAACTTTTTGCATATTTTCTATACATACCTCCTATTCACTACTTTGGATTAAGACGATCAACTTGTGCTAGTTACACTTAGCGGGTTTATGCTGTCTGGGAACAATGATATTTACACTTGCTGCGGATGGAAATGCAGGTATCTTCGCACTTTAATACGTTTGTAGTCGTTCGTTATTTAAAATAAAAATTAAAATCTGACATGTTTTGTTTCGTAATGTATAAAACGGTTCAAAACGTACATCTGTACAATTTGAAGTAATGTTCACCTTACCTAAACTAGCAACAAATAAAGTAGTCTTTTACAAAACTTTCGCACTGAAAATTTCTTCCAATGTTTTCCTTGTGTGGTAAAATGTTGAATTGAATTGTCCGTGTTTTTTCATTAATTTTTATGTTGCTATAGCATTAACCATTATCATTTGAAGGATCAATTTTATTTGAGGAGTCGCGACTGTCCTTAGAGAAATAATGGATTAATGGTGTTACGATTTGTCGGAATTCGTCTAGGCACCAGAATAATTTTAGGCATGTGCTGTGGATGAACGAGGACCAGTTTTTGGAGCAATTTATAGATTCTGTATATAATTGACAGAGAATGTTATTTGTTTTCAGTTCTTCTGCAAATTAGTCGGTGGATCGGCATTTTGGGTAAATTTTTTGCAACTCTGGCTTTTGCAATAATTTATCAATACACCGCAGAAATTTATCCAACAATCGCCAGGTAATGTACGTAGATGAGAATACAAATAGTTCAAACGAATTCATGATTGAAAAACTGAATCTTTTTTCAGGGGAACGGGGATGGGAATGGGTTCAACAGCAGCCAGAATTGGATCAATCATAATGCCATGGACTTTGGAATTGCAACGTTCTGTACCTTGGCTTACGCAAGTAAGTAACATGTATATACCGGGTCATAGGTATAGTATAGTCCCTTTCTAGTTTCAATTTTGTTATAAAGTCAGTTCTCAATATATCTTAACAAGGTTTTTTTTTTAAATTAGTAATCCCTTATATATTTTCAACTTATTTAATACACCAGTGAGGGCCAAAACAATATATGGTAGACCTATCCATAAATTTCCTTGGCCATATGAAAAAATTTTGGACCTTATGAACACCCTATATACTACTAACTAGCGATCCAAACTATCCTTCAAATTGACGAATATAGCAAATAACGAATCTATTAGACAAATAAAATTTGACTATATATTCTAGACGATATTCGGAAGTCTTTCTGTCCTAGCTGGTGTTTTATCTTTATTGTTGCCTGAAACAAGAGATTCCGATTTTAAAACAAGTATGGACGAAGCGGAAGAATTTTATAGAAGCAACATGACGCTAGCTTCGAGATTCATCGAAAAACGGTTCAATTCGTTATTCATTTTAAGTCTTTCCAATATTAACAGTTTTCTTACATTAGAAACGCCAAGCTTTCTAATCAATGGTAAAAGCAAAATAGTCTAATTAGTCTTTGTAGCTACTGGAAAATTACGCTTTATAATAATATTTTATTTAAGATTTGAACTAAGTTTAGTAAATACACACATAACTAGTTCCCGCCCCTAGTAACACTCAGCAGCTCATAGACATTGTGTCGCACTTTCTCCAACCTCTACTATTTACTCAAGTAATTAGAAATAGATAACTGCTTCGACATTCGAATGGAATTTATGTTCCTCATTATACCGTGGTTTTCGGTGCGCTTACGATAAAAACTTCAAGTATTATCAATAAGATGGAATCGGTTTCTAATTATTAACTATTTCGTTATATTTTTTTGTGAATTTAGTATTTCGAGTCAGACCTCTGCCGACGAAGATAGAAAGCTGAATATTGAAACAGGATCGCTGCTTTAAAGAGAACACGGACACGTAGGAATCAGCCGAGACCAAAAACTAACACAACTAATTTACCTGTGTATATCGCTTCATCAACGTAATATATTGTTAGAAATATAAACTAGTTATAGAGGAAAATCAACATTTGTATATTTGGCGCTGACATTTTCATGTAGACGCATTATTAAGCGAATAGTCATCTGAAACAAGGATTTATCTTGGTCCGGATAAATTCAACGTAACGTTTTTGATAGCTTATTGAACAAACATTCAAATAAAAAAATACGGAAATAAATTTTGATAGCGAAATCTATACTGGGAGATGATTTGAGAACAATAATAAACCAGTCAATAGATTGCCACGAAGTAAACGTTTCAAGAAATGATATAATGAATACACCAACATACTTTTCCATTTTCGAAAGCGCATTATCGAGTTCAGTGTCGTTGTAATCTGGATTTTCCATCGGGCGTTTTCAATATGTAGGCCCAAAAATGATGGTAGTCACTTGGAAAAAGCAAGCTTTAAATAATATTGAGATGACCAGACTCGAATGAGGAGAAACGAATATTGTACTGCGTGTATTTACTGTTAGATAATATTATGCTTACTTTTATGTGATTATATTCATGGAACTGCCAGATGAGTCAGTACGTTGATTTAGCAGTAAAATGAATGAAAAAATAAACAAATCAAAATCGAGCAACCTCATATTTGTTCCTACTCCTTGATATTTTAAATTATCAAAGGTTCATTTCAATCTGGTATACTTGATTACTTTTCTAGATAGATACGTTTTATCAATTATTGGACTTTCTAACTTGACTCACTATAAGAAAAGGTTGTTTAATCTAATGAATAAATTCGATATTGAACAGGATTTCTGAACGGTGGTTATTAATTTATCCCGTCCAACCAATTTTCAGTCAGGTATTGAATAAGGCAAACCAAACCAATCCCAATGGAAAACATTCTGTATCCAACAGCAGGTGAACGAGATGAGGTATAACGTAAAATAATCTTGGATTACCATCTAAGTAATATATAGAATTATAATGTAATTGTTATTAAAGAAATAGTTCCAAAACAATTCTTTCATTCCTGACCTCTCTGGTTTTTGTTATTCTTGAATAGTTAAAAAAGGTTACCATACATCTACTCTTTACGTGAAAAGCTAGCGTCAAAAATTCTGGAAAAAGATAGAATCAAACTCCTGAAAAATTAATTCAGTTATAATCCATTATCAAATATTACATATCTTTCCGTGCTATACTGATCGCTTGCCACTCGTTAATCAATCCTATCCTAATTTTGTGTGAAAATTTATAACGAATGCTAATCACGTAAAATCGCAGATCAACCATAAATATTCATATGATGCGATCAATAAAAATGTGTAGTATGTTGAGAATTTGGTCAAGGCTACAGGAGCTGGGCACATTCTTCACTGCCAAGCGACAAGAAACGTGAAATTTCATCAATGCAAAAATATATAGCATCATGTGTACAAAAACATAGTGTGGCAACTTTATGCCTTACCATTTCCAAGTAATAAACTACCAATTTTCAATTTGTGATTAGTGATATTTTGAAGCAATAGGAATTACGCAACGAGGATATAGCTTTGTAGGCGAGTTTCGACTGAACTCCAGAGTTCAATTCTCATATAAACATTTGTCAATGGAATGCTATGATTGTTGAAAAATCATTTGTCCAATATTGAATCCCAGAAAAGAGCTAGACCCAGAGCCTATCTAGGTTTGCTGATACCTCATGCACATATGTTTTCAATACTTCCCAGTCATATAATTTCAGAGATATTATGCTAAAAATGATCTCTATATTGGAACATGAACGAATTTTCGAGAGTATATTTTTCAAAACAAAAATTATGAATGTAACTATCAGTATAGAGGTTAGCCTACAAGACTAACTTCCAATCTTTCCTCAATACCTTTGCGCTGGTGGATCGGCATGCGTCTAATGCAAGGGTACTGTAGCAGGAATGAACATGGCCATACTATGCTATTCAAGAGTCCTACTGCACACTAACACAAACGTGTTTCTGTAACGTTTCGTCTGACCAAAATCAGACTTGCAGCAGTTTACAATAATAACCAGAAAAATCAATCATGCGATTTAAATACACAAGAATTAAATTTGTTCAAAATTGAATACTCAGATTAATTGCAACCAAACAATTAATAAACAAGAATATTAGTCAGAGACCGAAGACTTATCGATCGAAAGTTAGGGGATCCCAAAACAGCGCTCTTACTCCATAGTGACACTTTGTGTCCCATCACTAATCAATTATTAACTCGCTAATTATACTACATAATTCATCCAAAATCTATAGGCTTCTGGTACGACATATGATGATGCACATGCAAAATCTGGAGCAGATTCAAGCTCGCTTTCGTGAGATATCGCGTGCATCTAACAGACAGACAGACAGACAAATACCTATCAACATACTTACCGATTAAAATTGATAAGTAACAATTATCTATATTTAGCAAGCAGATTACGATGTGGAAATACGATCGCTAATCAGCATGGAATAACTGTTCCGTGGTGTAAACTGGTATACTTGATCTTACAATAAATATTACTGGAACATTTCACAAAGTGTTCTAGGCAAAATATCTGCATATCTGGGAATGTCTGATTTAAGTGTGCAGCAATATCCGCTTATGGTTCCACTAGCGCAAAAGCACTAACGAAGGAGAGGAGGTGAGTCTCGCATGACATCTACTGATAATTATATTAACTTTTTCATGTGACTTCTCTATCGACGATGGATCCTCCCGACTCCGGACTCGAAATATTTTCCCCCGTACTGTTCTGAATTAAACGACAAGCAACTGACTACTATATCATTTACCGTGAGTTTTCATTGAATATTATTCACTGATACACATATGTCAATGTTAAAATATGCCATATTTTGTTTGGAATGTAATAATAGATAATCGGGAAGTCTTAAAGCTTTAGGAGGGTGACATTTAACTAGCTTTGTTATGATAAAACCGATGAGAATCCGTAACGTAAAGAGAAAACGATATATTTCAATTTCAAACTTTGTTCGAAGTTAGCTTCATTTATTCTGCGATCGTGTTACTTTGGAACCTTTGGCTTGCAAGTCCACGGCTTGTGCGGTTTACATGAAGGAATGTAACCTTTGGGCACTGGATCTAAATGAAGACCACAATTATAACGTAAATAAAATATATTAGTGAGTTAATTGCAGTTAACCCAATGGAGTATCCTATACATCACGACATGTGCAATGAACAAAGTGGGTTTCATAATGAAGATTGAATATACACAGACTGACATACACAGTATGAGTATACAAACACGCGTGAAATGGTGTCAATGAAACTGTTACAGACGGTGTCATGTATACCGATAATTCAACATATGAATAATATGTTGAAACATTCGTAAATCTAACGCAAACTAATACACTACCAGGTTTTTGACAGCTGAATTGCGGCGATCCGACATCCAAGAATGCAGCCCCCTGTAGTCGCATCAAACGAGAAGTCAGATGAAACAAGGGTTCTTCCGGGGGAGGATAAATTCCTAACGTTTTTGATAGCTCCCTGCACAAACATCAAAATAGAAAAACAAATTTATTTGTACTATGAATGGTAGAAGTGCCACGAAGAAAAATGGTAAAAAAGCAAGACATAATATAATGGATACATTAACATACCTGCAATGCCATTTGTCAGGGTTGTCTCCTTCATTTCTTGTTTTCCATAAACTAAGTAATGTGAGTGACGTTAAGCCTTTGTTCTCAATGTAAATTTCTCCAGCACTTGTGGTAATCATGTTTTTTATTATGTAATCTCTCATTTTTGAAATAACATCATCGAGTTTTGTGACGTTGTAAGCTGGATTTTGCATCAGGCGCAAGCAACCCGTAGGCGCAAGTAGCATAATAGTATTCACTGAAAAAATGCAGCTTTTTATTCAGAGTTTTATATGGATTTGAAATAGTCAAACTAGTACGTAGTGTACTGTAGAGTGTAGAGTGTAGAGTATTGTTAATTTATGCTATGCTCACTTTTTATCATATTTTTTCATAATTTTACTGTCCCCATTTAAATAATTTAAACACAAACTATCGGATATGTCGTTATCTGGATTCAGTAGTAAAAACTGTCAAAAATTTCGTATACAATTAGACCTTGTGTGAAAATCAAATTAAAATCTATAGACCAGTGATTCTCAACCTTTTTGTCTTTGCGGACCCTTCTGGTGCTCTCAGAGCGGTCGCGGAGTCATTAAGTCAAAAATAATTTCATTTATTTTGTCAAATCGAATACACTTAATGGGATTTCTGCTGTTGCATATTAGAAGCAAGTCTTGAAATACATGGTCGTGTTTTTGATAACGATAGACGCATATCTTCTTCGACGTTTAGTTGGTTACGAGCCTTGGATTTGATATAAACGAGAGCAGAAAATCCATTTTCACAAAGGTAAGTGGGGGCGAATGGAACAATAACGCCAAATGCGATCGATACTTTTGGGTACGACGACAAAATGGCGCACCAAAACTGAGAAAGTGATCACTATAGCTGTGTTCTCGTATTTATCATTGTGATGTCATAACTACTAACTAGTATTTGTCGCAATAGGTCTACGGGAGATGAATCAAAATAGTTTTTGTGGGCTATTGTCACATTGTCATAGGCAGAAAATGTTCGAGCGTATTATAAAAAAAACGATATTAAAACCTTTTGTACTCTGTGGTCCCTCGGGGGATTTTTACACTTTTTATATAAACAGTTGTTCCTCCCCGTTCAAACTTGCTAGAATTACCAATCAAGTATCTCTAAATGGATTACTAGACCTCTTTCCGCGTGACGCTGCCAAAGAGCCATATCGCTATTCTCTCTACCGTGGTGGGTTGTTGAATCAGTATTTTTAAAAACTTTTGTTCAAGAATTTTCAATTAAAGTTAGCCGTAGTAAACAGAATAGCGATAACAACTAATTTTCCATTTCCGTGAATAGTACTTTATCTCCCCTTTCCAAAGAAACAAGACTGACAATCTGAATATAAACCAGACACGAGATATCGCCGTGAAAGTCAAAACACGGCTAGATTTTCACTACGATATGACGTCATATGTTTTCTGTTATTTATGCCAATTAAGCTTTTTATGTATCTTTAGAAACGTTATTTCGGTCTCTTCATGTAGTTCATTCAAGAGAGTGATAACTGACTTTGTTTCCATTGCAGTGGGGCGAAAATAACAATTTGGTGAAAAATATTTAGAGCAAAATTTTTTTATTCTGCATCACTATGATATATAAATTGGATAGAAACGATTTGTTTACTTTTCTAAAATGCGTTTTATCTGCCCTTTCAAACAGGTCAAACTGGGAGGGACATATTGTCTTCAAAAGATGCAGAGACTGTCGGCTCCCATTTTTTTTTTCTAAAACTGTGACGTCATAAACATATTTTTCAGCTTTCAATGTATCTTGAATGACGGAATAAACCCAGGTGGTCGTTACAATATCTCCTTCATTGAGATTCTATACTTGAAAGCAATAATTCCTATGTGGAAAGGTCAACATAGGGTTCAATACATCAGGTCTCGCCTATCACCACAATTTAGAAGATCTGATTCCGTAGTTATAAATTCTAACTTTATATAAATACTCCAATTCCAAAACCTACGACAACCTTTTTCTATTTTTGTGACGTATTCTCTCTTTCAGATGAGGCAAGAACCTATTATTACTAGATCATACATTCGGAAGGCGTAAAGTAATCATTACCAATGAGTTACGATCAGGCATGCCCAACCAAAACGATTTTTGTCATTTTCGGCGATGACGCGTCAAGCTTCGAGACGGACCATTTTGGCATTTATTGCGGGCATTAGGGAGGGGCCTAGGGCATGTAATTAATATTCTAGAGTCAATTCATGACCCAGGTGACACAGGGTACACATTAAGGGATAGTCAGATCCAAATAGGTACTGCAAATAATTTCCTAAAATCTTAATTTAGTCGCGGACCCCCTGGAAATGCTTCGCGGACCACTGGGGATCCGCGGAAACCCGGTTGAGAACCACTGCTATAGACCATAAATGAATGGCTTCTTGTAAATATCTTGGTGTCAAAAGCTCATATGGTATATCTTGGTGGCATTTTCAGATTGGTTTGTTGTATATGTATATAATATCGGATTTTTCAACTGGGCGCAGTATATTTGTATGAAATGATTGGAACTTGACTAAATTCTGATGAAATTTTAAACGCGACTAAATTTGCCTGAACTTTAGCTTACTGAGATAGTTTGAATCTCCGAAACTTCCGTCATCATTTTGTCCAGATATGAATTTTTCAAACAACCAATTTTCAATCGGATATCCACTAACACAGACCGAACCAATCCCAATGGAAAACATTCCGTATCCAACAGCCGGAAAACGATCTAAAGTATAATGTAAAATAACGTTTGATTACATTTACTGTGGATTATTGAATTGGAATTATTATTATTATTGAGGTATAATTCCAAAACAATTAATTAACTGTTGAACTTTTTGTCCTTCGTGCATATTGATTAGTTAAAAAGGGTATCACATGTTTTGTTGTATATCTCGGTTCTCGGTTCAAAGTACTTTTAATAGCAATTTTTATCTGTTTTAGGTGAATACTCACTGTTATTTGGAAATTGTAGTTTCAGTTCTTCAGATACGTTTTTCACGGGATCTATTCCACCGATGTTTCTTTCATTCATACACAAAGATTTTATAGCAATTATGTTCTCTGCCTTCTGTCTCAAAGTCATTCTAGAAAAAGAAAGGGTCATGAAAACACAATCGGATTTGCTATATACATAGATTTAATATGAATACCTGTGAAAACTCTTTTTCATTTTTCTCACAATAGATCTTGCTGTTTTTTGACGACCGAAGAACATTTTTGGAACACTAACTTGGAGGACGATAGACGTTGTAACCGCATCATCCAATCAGACTTTCGCCTTGCCATCAAACGTTTCACGATTTCTTTGGTCGCGAGCCGAACGTCATTTTCCGATTGCGGATCTCCTAAAATGATCATTCCATATTTCATATTTATTTTCTACTTAATGATAGCAATTTTATATGTTTTCACTTTTTTTTTTAAAAAACCGTCTCATGTTCAAATTAATAAGCCACAGGGTAATGCCAAATGTCAAAATACATAATATTAAATTTGACATGAACATGATCATTAAAAGGAAACAATTCAGAGATAAATAAGAAACTTTTTTAACTCGGTCGTGTAATTTTGATAAAATATTTGTTGAATAATATTTGTTTTGCATTCACAACGCTCGAATAGTCATCCCACCACCACAAACTGACGTTAAAACAGATGAACAAAATGTCACCGCAAGTAACAATATAACTAAAATAACTTTAGTCAACTTCATCTTCTTGGCTGTTGTTGCCTTCCTCGAATCTCGCAAAATTTCTCACAAATGATTCGAGACAGCGAATTTCATTCCTATATATTTCATTTTGTAGCATCAACGCTATTAAAAAAACGGTTACCACTTCGTGCGATGCCAATATCAAAACAAATAAATTTAACCGTCACTCTGCGACGTATTATTTGACTCGGAGATGTGATCGAAATAAAATTGTAAATTATACTTTATATTTTAGAAATGTTTGAAATAATTAAATTGGGTAAAATTCTTCACGATGTTTCACCAAACAATGCAATAGATACAATGACTTGAACATTTTCCACGACTTCGTATTCAAAATAAAAAAGCCTAAAATTAAGTTTTGGGTTTATTTGGCACTCCAAATGCAAATTATCTGTTGACTTCTCGATATATGATTAATTTCAAAAGTTCATCAATTTAGTGACACATAGTAAAAACGTATTTAGAGTCAGTTGTTTGACATTTGTCAGTTGTCACAAGATATTGATTAGTGAAAATGTTATTTCATGTATCCTTTCTCAAAAAAAAATCAAATATTGTGTTGTTCAATTATCAACTACAGTAGGTTGTAATCGCTTTATCTGTATATATACATATATTTTATGTTTGGCGCCGTATAAAGATGCCAGTAGATATTGTTGACAAGTCTTTTCAAGTATATAATGTCGGAAACAGGGTAAGTTCATTTGCAAAACTGCTGAACGTCTTACCGAAACTGGTTGCTTTGCATAATGAAGAACAAATTGAGCATCACATTATGAAAGCTGTTGGTAACTCGGTATTAAACACGGTTGTGTACTTTTTAAAGAGAAAGGCAATCCATTCATTTCGATGAGTTTTGCTGGTATGGACTGAAGCTATTGAACCAATGATTAAAAATAAGTTATCAAAAACGGTGTAGACAAAAATCAATGTCAAAATAGATCAAGATTTTACAGTTACTACAATTCAACAAATACTTTCATAACAAACATTCCATGCACCCATACAGCTATTTATATAAGCTTTTATATGAAAATCGTAATTTCATCGGTAAGGAAGAGGAATGAGTATGTTTGTTGAGGTCTGAGTAAAACCAATACCACAGCTTACGGCACATTCAATTAGACAGTGCTACACCGGGATTTGCATTTTGATTGTCATCTGTGCAACGGAAAACAACTCACCGTTATCACGATTTCAAGATTATAACGATAGTTCCATAACGGTAAAGAAATTACAGTGGTGGTTTTGACACCAAAGTTATATTGCAGACGGCAGCAATGATATAATTAATGTACAAATATCAAGCAGTCATCACTTTGTCAATCTTATGATCTACTCGTATAATGACGTTTTGAAAATGATTTCTTAAAGTAAATTTCAAAACAAAAGTCGAATGCGAAAAAAAGCAATAACATAAACATCTTTACAACTTTATATCTATACTTTATTCGCCTATTTTGAATGCCAAATCATCATTGAAGATCTGCAATTCGCGTCGTTTACTCCATTTAATTCTAATACAATCTTCTCACTTCAAATGACGCCATATTCAAATAGGACTTCAAACTGGGTATATGAGAAATTGTAAAACATTTGATTGCAATCCGAATGTTTGATCGGGAATAGAACGCAACAGCCACCTTCATTGCATTACAAGTCAGTGTTCACGACATTTTTGAAGGTCGAATGAAATGCAATATCTATTGTCGGGATTATAAAAACATAGTACGAGAGTTTATAATAGTCGACTAGAAATTGCAGCCAAAATCGATGATGTACAAATTTGAATTCACAACCAAAACGATGGAAGAAAAAAAAGTTCAGCGATTCCTCGTCCGTGAAACTGAACAGAAATACAGTCCCAGAATGACGACTATAGGTTTACTGAAACGAGGACTGGTTGAGAATCTTATAAACTTCTTGCGCAAAATTTAATACACTAAAAATTTGAGATTTCAAGATGACTATTCACAAATAAAAACAATTATCCACTATTTTACAGCAAACATGTCACACATCAGCTAAATAGTTTAAATATGAATTTGCAACTCAAGATTCCATTTTGGCATTTGTGATGGAATCTGGAGTGAGTTTGGGTTGTTTATAAAGGCATTCCACTCTGATCGCAATTTGCCAATGTCCATTTCTAAAGCATATAGTTGTTAGAGAATGACTCTTAAGGTTTATTTGGATTGTATTTGAAAACATTTCCATATACGGTTATACCAGTTGCAATGAGAGTAATTGTTGCCCTTTTTCATGTTCTTTCTGTACGTTTGTTGAAATTGTGATCAACTTCAATTAAACTCTATACATAGGATAGTCCTACGATAATTACTGTTCAGCAGCCATACATTTAGGGTAGTTACGAACAATCGATAATACAAAAAATGGTCAGTTAGAACACGCAGTATTGTAGTATCACCTAGCATATATGTAATTTCAAGCATATTTATGGTCGTATGGACTCTAGAAACAAGAGATTAGAACACATATTCATTTCAATTATTACTATTTCGACAAAAATAAGTTGAAATTAAATTTTGCTTTTGGAGCAGTACCTACCTAAGTACACCCGGCGCATTTAAAATTACGTATTGAGGAATTGCTTTGTTTTGTATAAAAAACATTATACTTATATTATATTAGTAAATATTTCTACTAAATGCCACTGCAATAACATGTTTATTAGTGTAACGCGAGTGTTAGTTGGATAATAAGAAAATAATAAAATTGTATAGGTGATTGCCGCATTATCACGCGACATCCACAGAAACGTACATTGCACAAAATATATTTCGTTTCGTGTACCATTCACGTATTTTGGTTTATTGCGTGGTTTGAACATACACTAGGCGAAATGTAGAAAACACTGGCAGCCTTCACGTGATTCAAATTTCAATTTGTTACGCGACATTGGGAGTCTAACTAAAAATGCAAATACGATGGAATTGTTGAATATTTAACGTGATTCCATTAACGTATCTGTTAATATATTTTTTAGTTTTCTCGAAAAAATCGAAAGTTTGTGTTTATTCTCCTATAAACTACAGTGGATTGTAATCGATTTATCAATATTTTTCGCCATATTGTATTTTTGGAGATGTCAGTAGATACTGTTGACAAGATTTTTCAAGTTCATTTACATAACTGCTGAACGTCTCACCGAACTGGTTGTTTTGCAGAATTAAAGACAACTCGAATACCAAATAATAAAATTGGTTAAAACCAATGTTTGAAAGCGTCGAAAACGGTGTAGAAAAAATGAAAAGTTAAATTAGTTTAAATGAAATAGGTATGACATTTATGAAATACCTATATAAGAACATTCCATGCACCCATAAGGCTATTTAAATAAGCTTTCATACAAAAATCGTAATTTCATCTGTAATACCGAAGACCTTGTATGTTTGTTGAGGTCTGACTAAAACCAAATCACACCTTCCAGGCACATTGAATTGAACAGCGCTGGATTGGATTTGTATATTGATTGTCAGCTGTGCAACCTAAATACCTCTTCCTTAACACGTTTTCTATATTATAATGAAAGTTCCATAACCGTATATGAAATTCAGTGGTTGGTTATGACACCAATGTTATATTGCGGACGACAGCAATGAGATCATCCTATATCAAGCAATTATTACTTTGGCAAGTTTATGATCTACTCGTATAATGACGTTTTGAAAAATATTTTTAATAGAAAGTTTCAAATCAAAAGTCGAATACGATGAAAAACATCAACAAATTACATATTTACAAATTTATACCTATACCTCATTCGTTTTTTTTATATGCAATATCATTCTTGGTGATCTGCAATTCACGTCGTTTACTTCATCTAGTAATCATCTCAATCCAGATGACGTCATATTCAAGTAAGACTTCAAATTTGTTATAAGGGAAATTGTAAAATATTTGATGACAATCAGAAAGTCTGATCAAGAATGGAACGCAGGACATTTGTTGGCGGTCAAACACTATCGAGAGTTTGCAGTATCCTGAAATGACAGTGGGGGTGGCTCAAGATAGGACCATGTTTTAAATATAAGTTGCCAAATGTTACAAATTTCATAGCCAAGTCACATGCGGCGCCGAGCATGTCGATGATGCACTATCGTAGCAGTAGCCCGCCGAAGATCGACTGTGCGTGCAGTTACGGCAAAAAACATGCTTACCAAAAAGCTGCGACCAAGCACACAGTATGCATGCGATCCCGTGCGCTGTAGTGCTCCCGTGCTCTGCATAACTCTCACTTAAGCGGGGGCTACACCTTAGCAAGGGGAATTGAGCCAATGGCAATCCTGTCGTTAGCTGCACCGCTCGCTAAAGCATTTGAGTAGCGGCGAACCGAGACGGCGCGGGTGAGAATCAAAATGAATTATTTTTTTTTCGAAGTAATTTTCACTTTCCATTTCTTCACTACTGTATGTAGTCTCAAATGGAGTTTACTATCCGCTTTGGGTAGCATTCTCGAATAAACCGCCTATGACAAAATCCGGAGCGGTCACGGCAAACGCCCCTATATGGGTCTGTCAGGTGCCGCGTGGCGCAGCCTCGATAAGAAGGAGACCTTAGATTGCCGTCGTCACAACTGGGACTTCAGTACGTCGTTGTGAGCGGAACCGCTGTGAGATTTCTAGTCCAACATCGCCA